CCCAGGGCTCGTTCACTCTGGTGCGCGACCGCTTCAAGAGGTTGCGTGCACTCCAGGGTTGGTGCACCTCGTGCCTATGCTCGAACGTATTTCTTCCTTCTGTGCTCCCCCCTGTGGCCCCCAGGGCTCGTTCACTCTGGTGCGCGACCGCTTCAAGAGGTTGCGTGCACTCCAGGGTTGGTGCACCTCGTGCCTATGCTCGAACGTATTTCTTCCTTCTGTGCTCCCCCCTGTGGCCCCCAGGGCTCGTTCACTCTGGTGCGCGACCGCTTCAAGAGGTTGCGTGCACTCCAGGGTTGGTGCACCTCGTGCCTATGCTCGAACGTATTTCTTCCTTCTGTGCTCCCCCCTGTGGCCCCCAGGGCTCGTTCACTCTGGTGCGCGACCGCTTCAAGAGGTTGCGTGCACTCCAGGGTTGGTGCACCTCGTGCCTATGCTCGAACGTATTTCTTCCTTCTGTGCTCCCCCCTGTGGCCCCCAGGGCTCGTTCACTCTGGTGCGCGACCGCTTCAAGAGGTTGCGTGCACTCCAGGGTTGGTGCACCTCGTGCCTATGCTCGAACGTATTTCTTCCTTCTGTGCTCCCCCCTGTGGCCCCCAGGGCTCGTTCACTCTGGTGCGCGACCGCTTCAAGAGGTTGCGTGCACTCCAGGGTTGGTGCACCTCGTGCCTATGCTCGAACGTATTTCTTCCTTCTGTGCTCCCCCCTGTGGCCCCCAGGGCTCGTTCACTCTGGTGCGCGACCGCTTCAAGAGGTTGCGTGCACTCCAGGGTTGGTGCACCTCGTGCCTATGCTCGAACGTATTTCTTCCTTCTGTGCTCCCCCCTGTGGCCCCCAGGGCTCGTTCACTCTGGTGCGCGACCGCTTCAAGAGGTTGCGTGCACTCCAGGGTTGGTGCACCTCGTGCCTATGCTCGAACGTATTTCTTCCTTCTGTGCTCCCCCCTGTGGCCCCCAGGGCTCGTTCACTCTGGTGCGCGACCGCTTCAAGAGGTTGCGTGCACTCCAGGGTTGGTGCACCTCGTGCCTATGCTCGAACGTATTTCTTCCTTCTGTGCTCCCCCTGTGGCCCCCAGGGCTCGTTCACTCTGGTGCGCGACCGCTTCAAGAGGTTGCGTGCACTCCAGGGTTGGTGCACCTCGTGCCTATGCTCGAACGTATTTCTTCCTTCTGTGCTCCCCCCTGTGGCCCCCAGGGCTCGTTCACTCTGGTGCGCGACCGCTTCAAGAGGTTGCGTGCACTCCAGGGTTGGTGCACCTCGTGCCTATGCTCGAACGTATTTCTTCCTTCTGTGCTCCCCCCTGTGGCCCCCAGGGCTCGTTCACTCTGGTGCGCGACCGCTTCAAGAGGTTGCGTGCACTCCAGGGTTGGTGCACCTCGTGCCTATGCTCGAACGTATTTCTTCCTTCTGTGCTCCCCCCTGTGGCCCCCAGGGCTCGTTCACTCTGGTGCGCGACCGCTTCAAGAGGTTGCGTGCACTCCAGGGTTGGTGCACCTCGTGCCTATGCTCGAACGTATTTCTTCCTTCTGTGCTCCCCCCTGTGGCCCCCAGGGCTCGTTCACTCTGGTGCGCGACCGCTTCAAGAGGTTGCGTGCACTCCAGGGTTGGTGCACCTCGTGCCTATGCTCGAACGTATTTCTTCCTTCTGTGCTCCCCCCTGTGGCCCCCAGGGCTCGTTCACTCTGGTGCGCGACCGCTTCAAGAGGTTGCGTGCACTCCAGGGTTGGTGCACCTCGTGCCTATGCTCGAACGTATTTCTTCCTTCTGTGCTCCCCCCTGTGGCCCCCAGGGCTCGTTCACTCTGGTGCGCGACCGCTTCAAGAGGTTGCGTGCACTCCAGGGTTGGTGCACCTCGTGCCTATGCTCGAACGTATTTCTTCCTTCTGTGCTCCCCCCTGTGGCCCCCAGGGCTCGTTCACTCTGGTGCGCGACCGCTTCAAGAGGTTGCGTGCACTCCAGGGTTGGTGCACCTCGTGCCTATGCTCGAACGTATTTCTTCCTTCTGTGCTCCCCCCTGTGGCCCCCAGGGCTCGTTCACTCTGGTGCGCGACCGCTTCAAGAGGTTGCGTGCACTCCAGGGTTGGTGCACCTCGTGCCTATGCTCGAACGTATTTCTTCCTTCTGTGCTCCCCCCTGTGGCCCCCAGGGCTCGTTCACTCTGGTGCGCGACCGCTTCAAGAGGTTGCGTGCACTCCAGGGTTGGTGCACCTCGTGCCTATGCTCGAACGTATTTCTTCCTTCTGTGCTCCCCCCTGTGGCCCCCAGGGCTCGTTCACTCTGGTGCGCGACCGCTTCAAGAGGTTGCGTGCACTCCAGGGTTGGTGCACCTCGTGCCTATGCTCGAACGTATTTCTTCCTTCTGTGCTCCCCCCTGTGGCCCCCAGGGCTCGTTCACTCTGGTGCGCGACCGCTTCAAGAGGTTGCGTGCACTCCAGGGTTGGTGCACCTCGTGCCTATGCTCGAACGTATTTCTTCCTTCTGTGCTCCCCCCTGTGGCCCCCAGGGCTCGTTCACTCTGGTGCGCGACCGCTTCAAGAGGTTGCGTGCACTCCAGGGTTGGTGCACCTCGTGCCTATGCTCGAACGTATTTCTTCCTTCTGTGCTCCCCCCTGTGGCCCCCAGGGCTCGTTCACTCTGGTGCGCGACCGCTTCAAGAGGTTGCGTGCACTCCAGGGTTGGTGCACCTCGTGCCTATGCTCGAACGTATTTCTTCCTTCTGTGCTCCCCCCTGTGGCCCCCAGGGCTCGTTCACTCTGGTGCGCGACCGCTTCAAGAGGTTGCGTGCACTCCAGGGTTGGTGCACCTCGTGCCTATGCTCGAACGTATTTCTTCCTTCTGTGCTCCCCCCTGTGGCCCCCAGGGCTCGTTCACTCTGGTGCGCGACCGCTTCAAGAGGTTGCGTGCACTCCAGGGTTGGTGCACCTCGTGCCTATGCTCGAACGTATTTCTTCCTTCTGTGCTCCCCCCTGTGGCCCCCAGGGCTCGTTCACTCTGGTGCGCGACCGCTTCAAGAGGTTGCGTGCACTCCAGGGTTGGTGCACCTCGTGCCTATGCTCGAACGTATTTCTTCCTTCTGTGCTCCCCCCTGTGGCCCCCAGGGCTCGTTCACTCTGGTGCGCGACCGCTTCAAGAGGTTGCGTGCACTCCAGGGTTGGTGCACCTCGTGCCTATGCTCGAACGTATTTCTTCCTTCTGTGCTCCCCCCTGTGGCCCCCAGGGCTCGTTCACTCTGGTGCGCGACCGCTTCAAGAGGTTGCGTGCACTCCAGGGTTGGTGCACCTCGTGCCTATGCTCGAACGTATTTCTTCCTTCTGTGCTCCCCCCTGTGGCCCCCAGGGCTCGTTCACTCTGGTGCGCGACCGCTTCAAGAGGTTGCGTGCACTCCAGGGTTGGTGCACCTCGTGCCTATGCTCGAACGTATTTCTTCCTTCTGTGCTCCCCCCTGTGGCCCCCAGGGCTCGTTCACTCTGGTGCGCGACCGCTTCAAGAGGTTGCGTGCACTCCAGGGTTGGTGCACCTCGTGCCTATGCTCGAACGTATTTCTTCCTTCTGTGCTCCCCCCTGTGGCCCCCAGGGCTCGTTCACTCTGGTGCGCGACCGCTTCAAGAGGTTGCGTGCACTCCAGGGTTGGTGCACCTCGTGCCTATGCTCGAACGTATTTCTTCCTTCTGTGCTCCCCCCTGTGGCCCCCAGGGCTCGTTCACTCTGGTGCGCGACCGCTTCAAGAGGTTGCGTGCACTCCAGGGTTGGTGCACCTCGTGCCTATGCTCGAACGTATTTCTTCCTTCTGTGCTCCCCCCTGTGGCCCCCAGGGCTCGTTCACTCTGGTGCGCGACCGCTTCAAGAGGTTGCGTGCACTCCAGGGTTGGTGCACCTCGTGCCTATGCTCGAACGTATTTCTTCCTTCTGTGCTCCCCCCTGTGGCCCCCAGGGCTCGTTCACTCTGGTGCGCGACCGCTTCAAGAGGTTGCGTGCACTCCAGGGTTGGTGCACCTCGTGCCTATGCTCGAACGTATTTCTTCCTTCTGTGCTCCCCCCTGTGGCCCCCAGGGCTCGTTCACTCTGGTGCGCGACCGCTTCAAGAGGTTGCGTGCACTCCAGGGTTGGTGCACCTCGTGCCTATGCTCGAACGTATTTCTTCCTTCTGTGCTCCCCCCTGTGGCCCCCAGGGCTCGTTCACTCTGGTGCGCGACCGCTTCAAGAGGTTGCGTGCACTCCAGGGTTGGTGCACCTCGTGCCTATGCTCGAACGTATTTCTTCCTTCTGTGCTCCCCCCTGTGGCCCCCAGGGCTCGTTCACTCTGGTGCGCGACCGCTTCAAGAGGTTGCGTGCACTCCAGGGTTGGTGCACCTCGTGCCTATGCTCGAACGTATTTCTTCCTTCTGTGCTCCCCCCTGTGGCCCCCAGGGCTCGTTCACTCTGGTGCGCGACCGCTTCAAGAGGTTGCGTGCACTCCAGGGTTGGTGCACCTCGTGCCTATGCTCGAACGTATTTCTTCCTTCTGTGCTCCCCCCTGTGGCCCCCAGGGCTCGTTCACTCTGGTGCGCGACCGCTTCAAGAGGTTGCGTGCACTCCAGGGTTGGTGCACCTCGTGCCTATGCTCGAACGTATTTCTTCCTTCTGTGCTCCCCCCTGTGGCCCCCAGGGCTCGTTCACTCTGGTGCGCGACCGCTTCAAGAGGTTGCGTGCACTCCAGGGTTGGTGCACCTCGTGCCTATGCTCGAACGTATTTCTTCCTTCTGTGCTCCCCCCTGTGGCCCCCAGGGCTCGTTCACTCTGGTGCGCGACCGCTTCAAGAGGTTGCGTGCACTCCAGGGTTGGTGCACCTCGTGCCTATGCTCGAACGTATTTCTTCCTTCTGTGCTCCCCCCTGTGGCCCCAGGGCTCGTTCACTCTGGTGCGCGACCGCTTCAAGAGGTTGCGTGCACTCCAGGGTTGGTGCACCTCGTGCCTATGCTCGAACGTATTTCTTCCTTCTGTGCTCCCCCCTGTGCCCCCAGGGCTCGTTCACTCTGGTGCGCGACCGCTTCAAGAGCTTCCAGAAGCGAGGGATGATTGAGACGCACGGCCCCACCATGTAAGTGCAGAGCTGAAGGGGTGTGCGCAGGGCAGGGAGGAGAGTGTGAGTGCTTTTGAGGCGCCTCAAAGGGGTGTGCGCAGGGCGGGGAGGGGAGTGAGGGTGGGGGTGGGGAGGCGGGAGGTGCATTTCGATATCCAGAGGTGAGGATGATTGAGACGCATGGCCCACCATGTAAGTGGAGACAAGGGCTATCATGGAAGAGAAGGGCGGGGAGCAGGGGAGCCAGGGGCTTTTCTTAGGGGTAGCCAGGTAGGGCTATTTTGAGGGGAAGCCGGGGGGCTATTTTTGAGCCAGAGGAGCCAGGAGGCGCCTCAAAAACTAGACTCCTCACGGAAGTGAAGGGTGGGGAGCATGGGAGCCAGGGGGCGAGGGCAACGGAGATGCATCTTACTCACTCTCCCCCATGCCACGAGTCTCTCCATGTGAACATCATACTCATTCCCCCTCTCCCCCGTGTTCTCCCCTCGCCTGGTCATCAGCCAGCAGTCGTGTCGTGGAAGCGGAGGGTGGTGGAGCAGGAACACAGGGAGCGAGGGAGAGGGAGATGCACGCCGAGATTCAGGCCACGCAAGCACCATACTCATTCCCCTACTTCTCTTGGTCGCACCCCCTCCCCCCACTTCCCCGCCTTCCCGCCTTCCCCGCCTTCTCCTCCCCCCCTCCCCCACCCTTTTGCCGTTGTCAACAGCAAGCAGTCGCGATCTAGGAAACGGAGGGTGGTGGGGCCAAGGCAGAGGGGTAAGGCCAGGGAGAGGGAGATGCACGCGGAGATTCAGGCCATGCGGCTAACTTGCTCTCTTTCTTGCATCTCCACTCCTTTCACTCCCCCTCTTCCATCCAACAGTAAGCAGTCGCTATCAAGGAAAAGGAGAGTTGTGGAGCAGGGGAGCCAGGGGCGAGGGAGAGGGAGATGCATGCCGAGATTCAAGCGATGCGAGCAGCAAGCAGGAGACGAAGAAGGCTGCTGCAAAAGAGGCCATGGCATCGAGTAACTTGGAATTGTGATCATGTTTGAGTGTTTCGAGGCGCCTTAGAAGGAGAGATTGGCCTTGCAATGCAAGCGTAGAGTCGAGGCAGGATTGTGATACGCAACCTTTTCTGGCACCTAGAAACGGAGATGTAAGCAAGTGCAATGAATACGCATGGATTTTTGCTCGCTTGCAATGCATGGTCTCATTTGCTTTCCATCATACCAATGCCATCATTATTTCTGATTTTCAAATTGTACCAGTTCTCATGCTATTTTCTTTGTCGTGGGTCAAATTGAGGCTTCCCTTCCCTTTTGTATTTAAAGTTGTAGTTGTAGGTTTGTTTTTTCCCGCATTTAACCCTTGGCGCTATATCTGTGAAGTACCGTATCTTTCCTCGCAGTGTAACGGGATGATTATGTGGGGTCAGATTTTCTCAAGGTCCAACTCGCTGTGGAGTTCGCAAGGATCCTAGATTCCTCCTTGTCAGTTGCCTACTACTCCCAGAAGGGATGTGGAGTTCCGAATTATTAGTTGCTTGCACATGTCCTATACGGTCTTCAGCTATTGTAGTACAGTTGGTTGCTAATCTCCCGGTTTAGAGCTGCGCGGCTGCTTCGTGCGCCTAGGCGCGTGTAATCCTCCGCAGCTTCTTACCAGACTCTCGAGCCGTCTAAGAAAGTGACTTTCGAGTCGGCTCATAAATCTCTCCGTACCGTAGCATCATACCAGGCGATCCACAAGCATCAAGTCATGGATGCTTCGACTCGCGCCTACATTCTTCCCAGGCTCTTCCGCTTTTGGGGAAGTCACCTCGTGATAGGGATTCCCACGTGTGCGCATGCAATTTAGCTGCTCCTAGTCTTCAGGCTGACGTGTCATTGCCCGGAAATCGCTGCGTGTTTTTCGCGCCTGGGTCATCGAGGCGGGAACCGTTAGTATCACGTCGTGAGGTGCCGCTAGCATCCCAGCCAATAGCATCGCTGGGATTCTGGGGCTCCGCGTTTCCCCGAAGTTTCCTGAGCCGTCTTGCGACGGTGACGGCAGTGGCGGAAAGGGGGGGAACGGCGGGATCCGCCCGCGGGAAAGATTCGGCGGATGCGGAAAGGGAGGGAGTTAAGAATAGGAAAAGGATAAGAGCAAGAAGCGTGAGAAGGGAAAGAAGGGGAACGGAGACGAGAAGGGGTGAGAGGGGAGGGGGAGAGAGGAGGAGGAAACCTGGAGAGAGTGAAGGAGAAGAGGGGTGGTGTGATGCGTGCTGGGGAGGGGGGAGGAGAGGAAAGAGAGAGGGAAGGGGAAAGGGAGTAAGAAGGAAAAGAAGGCAAATGAGATGGCTAAGAATGGCCGAGTGGAGGAGCAGGATCAATTCAGGGAGCTTGCTCTCCCTTCCCTATCACAGGAGTCTCCTGCGGCGTCAGCATCGGGCAAGTTACCATCTGGCATGTCGTCATCCCCTACCGCATTATCTGCCACGTCAACACCTGCCACGTCATCAACTGCGAAGGCCTCCCGATGGGACGGAATAGATCCCACCAAGATTCGATTCGTTGACTATTCCTCCATGCCGAGCCAAGAGGAGATCCGAGCCTCCGTCTTCCCGAGCCAAAACAGGAGGTCTTGGCCTGGTGAACGAAGCAGTGGTTTTGACGAGTCTCAGAGCCTGCCGAGCCAAGAGAGGTTTGGGTTCGGCCAAGAGCCAGCTGGCAGAGGTTCGGGACAGGCTCGGCGGGATCTTGCATCGGCTCCAGAGCGAACTGCTGCCAGAGGCTCGGGACAGGTTTGGTGGAGTGAGGAGGGAAGGGACGAGCCAGAGATTGATGACAATAGTGAAAGAGATAGAAGCAGCAAAAGTAATTCTACAAGTAGCAGAGGCAGTAGCAGCGGCAATCGCAGCAGTAGCAACAGCAGTCGCAGTAGTAGCAGCAGCAGTCGCAGTGGTAGCAGCAGCAGTCGCAGTAGTAGCCGCAGAATTCGCAGTACCAGTAACAGGAGTGACAGCTGTGGGAATCCTCAAGAAAACGCACATGGCAGCAGCAGCGGGGGAGAATCAGATGAGTTTCCCGCGCATGACTATAACGAGTACAGCTATGACGAGTGGGAGGAGGGCGAGCAGGACGAAAAGGCAGCAGAGGGAGAGTTTGAAGCCACCCCACGTGACTATAACGAGTATAATAAGTATATCCCGGGGTGGGAGTGGGAGGAGGGCGAGCAGGAGGAGGAGGCAGCAGAGAGCGAGTTTGAGGCCGTGGCGCAGCTGTGGGAGGAGATGGAAGGTGCTGGGAAGCTGCACCCGCTGAGTGCACCAGCGGGGGGGTTAAGATGGAAGCAGGAGGCGCAGGAGCGTTTCCCTGGTGAGATTCTGGGGTTGGGATTGGGTGAGACTGCAGAGGCGATTTCCGGGTGGGATTCTGAGGCTGAGAGGGGAGGGCAAAGGGGAAGGGGGAGATGAGATGGGGAGATGAGATGGGGAGATGAGATGGGGCGATGAGATGGGGAGATGAGATGGGGAGATGAGATGGGGAGATGAGATGGGAGATGAGATAGGGAGATGAGATGGGGGAGGGGAAGGAGAGAGGGGGAGGGGAGAGGGGGGCTTGACATTCCCTATCGCTATACCTTTGATTCCAGTCTCCTCTGTTCCTATGTGAGCATCGGACCCACCCCCCCACCCCCCGGTTTTCCCTGTAATCCCATTTCGTTGGCGGCGTTGCAGACGAGTCTATTTTTGAGGCGCCTCAAAAATAGATTCTTATGTGAGCATCGGACCCACCCCCCCCACCCCCCCGGTTTTCCCTGTAATCCCATTTCGTTGGCGGCGTTGCAGACCTAGCGCGCATGGCTGGCGTGTTTCCTTACATGGGGGATGTGATCGAGAGGGAGGAGCTGGACACGCCCTATGACTACGCCCCTCCTCCAGACATCGACAGTAGATGTGAGTGTGTTGGGTCCGTCTGTCTGTCTGTCTGTCTGTCTGTCTATCTGCCTGTCTGTCTGTCTGTCTGTCCGTCCGTCCGTCCGTCCGTCCGTCCGTCTGTCCGTCCGTCTGGTCTGTCGGTCCGTCCGTCCGTCCGTCCGTCCGTCCGTCCCGTCTGTCTGTCTGTCTGGTCTGTCGGTCCGTCCGTCCGTCCGTCCGTCCGTCCGTCCGTCTGCCTGTCTGTTGAAGTTCAATTTCCTGTTCGCAGCTCTTAAAGTGACTCGGAAACTTACAAGTATTCATGGTGGCCCTCCGCCTATATTGCACAGTACTATCATCCGCTTCTATCGCCCATCACCACGCTTTTGCCGGGTGTTCTTGAGAATTCTCTCAAAAAACACCGTGCAAAATCGTGGCCCCTCGCCTAGATTGCATATTTTTGAGGCGCCTCAAAAATAGAAATCTCTCAAAAACACCCTGCAAAATCGTGGCCCTTCGTCTAGATTGCACAACGCAGGCCCATCAGCTTCTATCGCCCGTCAGTCACCATGCCGCATCTCCTCCCTGCTTTCCTTTCTGCTCCGATCCTCCCAACCTCTGCAATGATCAGCAAGCTCCTGGACCTTATAGAATCCCTCCGGCTCTTTCTCCCGCATGCACTCTCTCCTCTCCCCTCATCCCTCCCCCCCTCTTCTCCCCCCGCTCTGTTCTCCTCTTCCCTCCCAGCCTCTGCAATGATCCACAAGCTCCTGGACCTACTGGACGCCCTCCGGCTCTGTTGCACTGCTATTTGCCCTCCCACTAAAGCCTGTCTCTAAGTCTCAAACCCCAACCCCCCCTCCCACTCCCCCTCTCTGTCCTCTCTCTCCCACCCTGCTCTCCTCCTCCCCTCCAGTTTACGACATGATTGACAAACTCCAGGACCTTATATAAGCCGTCCGGCTATTCCTCCCCCACGCACTATCCCCTCCCCTCGCCACTCCTTCATCCACTCTCATCCCCTTCCGCCCTCTCCGCCACTCTGTTCTGCTACTTCCCTCCCAGCTTCCGACATGATTGACAAACTTCAGGACCTACTGGAAGCCCTCCGGCTCTTTCTCCCACATGTACGCTCTCCTCTCCCCTCATCCCTTCCGCACCCCCCCTCTCCCTCTGCTCTTCTCCCCCCCAGCTTCCGACATGATCGACAAGCTCCAGGACCTTCTAACAGCCCTCCGGCTCTTTCTCCCGTATGCACTCTCTCCTCTCCCTGCTCCGCCTCCTGTCGAGTCGGCAGCTGTAAAAGAGGAGGGAGGGGGAGGGGACAGAGGAGGGGAGAGAGGAGGGGAGAGTGGAGGGGAGAGAGGAGGGGAGAGAGGAGGGGAGAGAGGAGGGGAGAGAGGAGGGGAGAGAGGAAAGGATAGAGGAGGGGACAGAGGAGGGGAGAAGGCAGGAGAGGGAGCAGAGGAAAAGGCGAGAGAGGGAGGAGCAGGGGATAGCCAAGTGAAGCAACGGAAGCAGGTGGATCAGCAAAGACAAGAGGAAGAGCAGCAGCTGAGACAGCAGCAGCAGCGGCAGCAGCAGCAGCAGCAGCAGCAGCGACAGCAGCAGCCACAGGCGGAAGAGCCTGTCGACATCTTCGCGATGGGGTTTGTGGAGGATGAGGTCCGCGTGCAGAATCCGGTGGTGTGCGTTCGAGGGAGACACAGGTGAGCAAACAAGCACAGAAACAGCAGCAGCAGTGGCAGCAGCAGTGGCAGCAGCAGCTACAACAGAAAGAGCCTGTCGACATCTTCGCAATGGGGTTTGTCGAGGAGGGGCTCTGCGTGCAGAATCCGGTGGTTTGCGTTCGAGGGAGAGACACGTGAGCAAACGATTGGATGGGTGGCACAGTGGCTCAGTGGCACAGTGGCAAGGTGGCACTCAACACGCCCCAGCTCAGCTCCCAATGGGCGTTCACGTGGTCACGTGGTCATGCGGTCTCGCCGTGTTGCGTGCTCTGGTTTCCCGTGCGCCTGCCCTGCTTGTTTCCCTCTGCTGCTGGTGGCAGCAGTGGCTGCACCTCATGGGGTCGGCTGGGGGGCACCTGCACCTGCACCACCTGTACTCTGAAACATCACCTGGCTCCGTCCATACCCACTTGCAGGTGGCAGCAGTGGCTGCACGTCATGGGGTCGGCTGGGGGGCACCTGCACCTGCACAACCTGTACTCTGAAACGCTGGTGAAGGAGCCAGGTGATTCTTGCTGCACTGCACCCGTCACGGTATGGTGAATAGAGCAGGTTCCTTCACAGGAGGCGTGCTGGGGGCCACCTGCACCTGCACCTACACCTGCACCACCTGTACTCTGAAACGCTGGTGAAGGAACCAGGTGAGCGGCTTGTGTTCTACCAGTGTGGGTGAAGGCGTGCTGGGGGGCACCAGGCGTGCTGGGGGGCACCTGCACCTGCACCACCTTTATTCCGAAACTCTGGTGAAGGAACCAGGTAACTCTTGCCGCACTGCACCCGTCCCGTCACGGTATGGTGAGTAGAGCAGGTTCCTTCACAGCATTGCGGCGCCTGCACCTGCGCTGCCTCTGCTCCGAGGCACTGGGGAGGAACCAGGTCATTCTTGCTGCACTGCACCCGTCACGGTATGGTGAATAGAGCAGGTTCCTTCACAGCACTGTGGCGCCTGCATCTGCGCCGCCTCTGCTCCGAGGCACTGGGGGAGAAACCAGGTGAGAGGCGACTGTGGTTCCTGTGTGTGAGTACGCTTGATGCTGCACCATGGTGAAGTGAAGGCGTGCTGGGGGCTCTTGCACTATGGTGAAGGCGTTAGACCGCCGCTGGATCACTGCCCTGTGGTCCATCCTCTTAGCTAAGAGTGGGTGGGAAGCGGTGGCAGGTATGGGCAGTCTTACACAATTCTTCCTCCCCTTGTTACCCTTTCCCTTGTCACCTCTCTTTATCTCAGATCGCCTCTGGATCACTGCCCTGTGGACGTTTCTTTTAGCTAAGTGTGGGTGGGAACCAGTGGCAGTCTTGGGGATAGTCACCTGCTTTCCTATTCTCACGCCCCTCTTTTTCCCTCCCCCCAAATCACCTCCCTTCAGACCGCCGCTGGATCACTGCTCTATGGACCATCCTCTTAGCTAAGAGTGGGCGGGAAGCAGTGGCAGCCATGGGGCTGACGGACTGGTGGGATAGGAACCTTCCTGAGCACGAGGCAGAAATCAGGAGGAACCTTCCTGCAGAGGAGGAGGAGGAGGAGGGTGAGAGACAGGGGAACGAGCCAAGCAATAGAGGAGCCAAGCAAGTGGTCCGAAAAGCTAGTGCAGATAAAATGCACGAGGATCCAAGGAAAGAGGGGGAAAGTTTTGAGGCGCCTCAAAACAAGGATCCAAGGAAAGAGGGGCCAAGGGGGAGGATCGGAGGCAGCAGACGTGGGGAAGGAGACGAAGAGGGGGAGGAGGATGTTGGGAGTGATGTTGGTGGGGAGGTGGGGATGGAGTGGGGGGCAAAGGAGGCGGAGAGGGGAGATATGGAGGGGAAGGGAGGGGAGAAGGGAGCAGATGAGATCTACTTGATTGGCAAGACCAGGTTTGAGATGAACACAGATGGGAAGGTAGGTATCTGTGCTCTGTGCTTGCCTTCCTACCTTGGTGCCAGAGCACTGTGTTGCAGTGTTTTGAGGCCCGTGAGTGGGTGTCCTTTTTGTGTTTTCGATGCAATTCTCACACAATAAGCTTGTCTCTGATTGTTGCCCTTCGTGCAGATCTCAGCCGTTGAGAGCACATGGTTCATCGCAGATGATCCAATGGCTGTTAGAGAGACGGCAAGAGGAGAGTTGTTTCTGCGGGCGTTGCTACTCATTGAAGAAGAGAAGACATTGAGGCAAGTGTAGACACGGACCTCCTGGATTTTTCACAAGAGAAACGATATGATTATCGTACAGTAATTGAGTAATGGTGCAAACTAGTTTATTTTAATCAATATCTCCTGCCCTGCATTTCACAACACTACAAAGGTGGCTTATAACTAATTCCAGTGCGCCAGATTGAACTGTACGTTGAGGGCAGCAAGTACGGCTCATAACTCCATTCGCGTTATACGTCGCTCTCGTTAGTAGATTGTAATACCCACACCCATTTTCCAGACTCCGCCGTCCCTTATGTCACACCCGTCGTATCTCACTGATCCGCCCCACCTGCAACGTAGCCGCAGAATTCCCCATGTCTCGCGCACTGATGTTATAACCCCCTCTCCACACCATGCGTCGCGCCGCCCTAGCCCTGCGCGTCGCCTCGGCTTCGACCGCCGATATCGGGCGTAAGTCGCGAAACGCCATATCTCCTGGCGTACTCTCCGCGCATAATAGCCCGCGAGTCCGCGCAAGCACCACCACGGGCGATGCGCGTCTGGATTCCTCTCCCGCGGCATCGTCTCTCGCGCCGAATGCGGCGCGTCTCGCGGCGGCGGGCTCAGTTTCTCCAGCCCTAGTCGCTCCGTTTGCAGCACGAACCTACGCTTCGGCATCGCAACCAGGCTCGGCAGTAAGCGCGCCCGCAGGCTCGCCACTAGCCTCGGCAGCAAGCGCCGCCCCAGGCTCGGGTCCAGGCTCGGATCAGGCGGGAAAAGCCGAATCCGGAGGTTCGGGAAAGCGCGGCGGATGGAACCTGTTGTTCGGAGGGGGAGGGGGCGCGGGTGGGGGAGCCGGGGACGGGGGAGCCGGGGACGGGGGAGCCGGGGACGGGGGAGGCTGGGGGTGGGGGAGGGGGAAGTGGCGGAAAGGGCACAAGCGTTGCAAGGGGAGGGGGAGGGGGAGCGGCGGGGGAGGCGCAGGGGGAGAGTGGCGGATGGCTGGCGCGCATTCAGAGCTTCCTGCGGCTGGGGAAGGGCGGGGGGGAGGGCGGGGGGGAGGGTAAAGGGGGAGGGTACGGGGGGTTCCAAAATCGCGACACATGCGGAGAGTCTGACTGGTGAGAAGAAGCTGAGCATCAGCTGGGCTTTGAGGTGCTGCTGATAGAGGTGTACTACAGCATCAGCTGGGCTTTGAGGTGCCACTGATAGAGGTGTACTACAGCATCAGCTGGGCTTTGAGGTGCCACTGATAGAGGTGTACTACAGCATCAGCTGGGCTTTGAGGTGCCACTGATAGAGGTGTACTACAGCATCAGCTGGGCTTTGAGGTGCCACTGATAGAGGTGTACTACAGCATCAGCTGGGCTTTGAGGTGCCACTGATAGAGGTGTACTACAGCATCAGCTGGGCTTTGAGGTGCCACTGATAGAGGTGTACTACAGCATCAGCTGGGCTTTGAGGTGCCACTGATAGAGGTGTACTACAGCATCAGCTGGGCTTTGAGGTGCTGCTGATAGAGGTGTACTACAGCATCAGCTGGGCTTTTGAGGTGCCACTGATAGAGGTGTACTACAGCATCAGCTGGGCTTTGAGGTGCCACTGATAGAGGTGTACTACAGCATCAGCTGGGCTTTTAGGTGCCACTGATAGAGGTGTACTACAGCATCAGCTGGGCTTTGAGGTGCCACTGATAGAGGTGTACTACAGCATCAGCTGGGCTTTGAGGTGCCACTGATAGAGGTGTACTACAGCATCAGCTGGGCTTTGAGGTGCCACTGATAGAGGTGTACTACAGCATCAGCTGGGCTTTGAGGTGCCACTGATAGAGGTGTACTACAGCATCAGCTGGGCTTTGAGGTGCCACTGATAGAGGTGTACTACAGCATCAGCTGGGCTTTGAGGTGCCACTGATAGAGGTGTACTACAGCATCAGCTGGGCTTTGAGGTGCCACTGATAGAGGTGTACTACAGCATCAGCTGGGCTTTGAGGTGCCACTGATAGAGGTGTACTACAGCATCAGCTGGGCTTTGAGGTGCCACTGATAGAGGTGTACTACAGCATCAGCTGGGCTTTGAGGTGCCACTGATAGAGGTGTACTACAGCATCAGCTGGGCTTTGAGGTGCCACTGATAGAGGTGTACTACAGCATCAGCTGGGCTTTGAGGTGCCACTGATAGAGGTGTACTACAGCATCAGCTGGGCTTTGAGGTGCCACTGATAGAGGTGTACTACAGCATCAGCTGGGCTTTGAGGTGCCACTGATAGAGGTGTACTACAGCATCAGCTGGGCTTTGAGGTGCCACTGATAGAGGTGTACTACAGCATCAGCTGGGCTTTGAGGTGCCACTGATAGAGGTGTACTACAGCATCAGCTGGGCTTTGAGGTGCCACTGATAGAGGTGTACTACAGCATCAGCTGGGCTTTGAGGTGCCACTGATAGAGGTGTACTACAGCATCAGCTGGGCTTTGAGGTGCCACTGATAGAGGTGTACTACAGCATCAGCTGGGCTTTGAGGTGCCACTGATAGAGGTGTACTACAGCATCAGCGGGCTTGAGGCCTGATAGAGGTGTACTGTTATCCACTGATAGAGGTGTACTACAGCATCAGCTGGGCTTTGAGGTGCCACTGATAGAGGTGTACTACAGCATCAGCTGGGCTTTGAGGTGCCACTGATAGAGGTGTACTACAGCATCAGCTGGGCTTTGAGGTGCCACTGATAGAGGTGTACTACAGCATCAGCTGGGCTTTGAGGTGCCACTGATAGAGGTGTACTACAGCATCAGCTGGGCTTTGAGGTGCCACTGATAGAGGTGTACTACAGCATCAGCTGGGCCGAGTCCTTGAGTCCTTGGGGTGGGCTGAGTCCTTGAGGTGCCGCTGATAGAGGTGTACTGCAACTTGCAAGGCAACGGCGGAAAGTTGTCACCTAGGGAATTCACTGGCGATGCTTTTGAGTCGACTCAAAAGTCACCTCGCTCACCTCTCCCTTGCCCCACGAGCCTAGGGACAGCTGGCGATGCTTTTGTTTTGAGGCGCCTCAAAACTAGACTCCTATCACGCGGTTTTGAGGCGCCTCAAAACTAGACTCCTATCACGCGGTTTTGAGGCGCCTCAAACCTAGGGACAGCTGGCGATGCTTTTGAGTCGACTCAAAAGTCACCTCGCTCACCTCTCCCTTGCCCCACGAGCCTAGGGACAGCTGGCGATGCTTTTGTTTTGAGGCGCCTCAAAACTAGACTCCTATCACGCGGTTTTGAGGCGCCTCAAACCTAGGGACAGCTGGCGATGCTTTTGAGTCGACTCAAAAGTCACCTCGCTCACCTCTCCCTTGCCCCACGAGCCTAGGGACAGCTGGCGATGCTTTTGTTTTGAGGCGCCTCAAAACTAGACTCCTATCACGCGGTTTTGAGGCGCCTCAAAACTAGACTCCTATCACGCGGTTTTGAGGCGCCTCAAACCTAGGGACAGCTGGCGATGCTTTTGAGTCGACTCAAAAGTCACCTCGCTCACCTCTCCCTTGCCCCACGAGCCTAGGGACAGCTGGCGATGCTTTTGTTTTGAGGCGCCTCAAAACTAGACTCCTATCACGCGGTTTTGAGGCGCCTCAAACCTAGGGACAGCTGGCGATGCTTTTGAGTCGACTCAAAAGTCACCTCGCTCACCTCTCCCTTGCCCCACGAGCCTAGGGACAGCTGGCGATGCTTTTGTTTTGAGGCGCCTCAAAACTAGACTCCTATCACGCGGTTTTGAGGCGCCTCAAAACTAGACTCCTATCACGCGGTTTTGAGGCGCCTCAAACCTAGGGACAGCTGGCGATGCTTTTGAGTCGACTCAAAAGTCACCTCGCTCACCTCTCCCTTGCCCCACGAGCCTAGGGACAGCTGGCGATGCTTTTGTTTTGAGGCGCCTCAAAACTAGACTCCTATCACGCGGTTTTGAGGCGCCTCAAACCTAGGGACAGCTGGCGATGCTTTTGAGTCGACTCAAAAGTCACCTCGCTCACCTCTCCCTTGCCCCACGAGCCTAGGGACAGCTGGCGATGCTTTTGTTTTGAGGCGCCTCAAAACTAGACTCCTATCACGCGGTTTTGAGGCGCCTCAAAACTAGACTCCTATCACGCGGTTTTGAGGCGCCTCAAACCTAGGGACAGCTGGCGATGCTTTTGAGTCGACTCAAAAGTCACCTCGCTCACCTCTCCCTTGCCCCACGAGCCTAGGGACAGCTGGCGATGCTTTTGTTTTGAGGCGCCTCAAAACTAGACTCCTATCACGCGGTTTTTGAGGCGCCTCAAACCTAGGGACAGCTGGCGATGCTTTTGAGTCGACTCAAAAGTCACCTCGCTCACCTCTCCCTTGCCCCACGAGCCTAGGGACAGCTGGCGATGCTTTTGTTTTGAGGCGCCTCAAAACTAGACTCCTATCACGCGGTTTTGAGGCGCCTCAAAACTAGACTCCTATCACGCGGTTTTGAGGCGCCTCAAACCTAGGGACAGCTGGCGATGCTTTTGAGTCGACTCAAAAGTCACCTCGCTCACCTCTCCCTTGCCCCACGAGCCTAGGGACAGCTGGCGATGCTTTTGTTTTGAGGCGCCTCAAAACTAGACTCCTATCACGCGGTTTTGAGGCGCCTCAAACCTAGGGACAGCTGGCGATGCTTTTGAGTCGACTCAAAAGTCACCTCGCTCACCTCTCCCTTGCCCCACGAGCCTAGGGACAGCTGGCGATGCTTTTGTTTTGAGGCGCCTCAAAACTAGACTCCTATCACGCGGTTTTGAGGCGCCTCAAAACTAGACTCCTATCACGCGGTTTTGAGGCGCCTCAAACCTAGGGACAGCTGGCGATGCTTTTGAGTCGACTCAAAAGTCACCTCGCTCACCTCTCCCTTGCCCCACGAGCCTAGGGACAGCTGGCGATGCTTTTGTTTTGAGGCGCCTCAAAACTAGACTCCTATCACGCGGTTTTGAGGCGCCTCAAACCTAGGGACAGCTGGCGATGCTTTTGAGTCGACTCAAAAGTCACCTCGCTCACCTCTCCCTTGCCCCACGAGCCTAGGGACAGCTGGCGATGCTTTTGTTTTGAGGCGCCTCAAAACTAGACTCCTATCACGCGGTTTTGAGGCGCCTCAAAACTAGACTCCTATCACGCGGTTTTGAGGCGCCTCAAACCTAGGGACAGCTGGCGATGCTTTTGAGTCGACTCAAAAGTCACCTCGCTCACCTCTCCCTTGCCCCACGAGCCTAGGGACAGCTGGCGATGCTTTTGTTTTGAGGCGCCTCAAAACTAGACTCCTATCACGCGGTTTTGAGGCGCCTCAAACCTAGGGACAGCTGGCGATGCTTTTGAGTCGACTCAAAAGTCACCTCGCTCACCTCTCCCTTGCCCCACGAGCCTAGGGACAGCTGGCGATGCTTTTGTTTTGAGGCGCCTCAAAACTAGACTCCTATCACGCGGTTTTGAGGCGCCTCAAAACTAGACTCCTATCACGCGGTTTTGAGGCGCCTCAAACCTAGGGACAGCTGGCGATGCTTTTGAGTCGACTCAAAAGTCACCTCGCTCACCTCTCTCTCTCTCCATGCAGCCTTCTACCCACTCCCTTGCCCCACGGGCCTCGCAGCTGGCTTTTGAGTCGACTCAAAAGTCACCCAGGGACAGCTGGCGATGTTCAGTGACAGCCTGCCGAGGCGGGCGAAATGTGGTGCCAAATCACTCTTGCAGCACATCCTTCCCAATCCCCCCAATCCCCCCAACTCCCCCCAACTCCCCCCAATCCCCCCAATCCCCCCAACTCCCCCCAATCCCCCCAATCCCCCCAACTCCCCCAATCCCCCCAATCCCCCCAATCCCCCCAACTCCCCCCAACTCCCCCAATCCCCCCAATCCCCCCAACTCCCCCCAACTCCCCCCAATCCCCCAATCCCCCCAACTCCCCCCAATCCCCCCAATCCCCCCAATCCCCCCAATCCCCCCAATCCCCCCCAACTCCCCACAATATCCCCCCCCTCCCCCTCCCCCCCCCCCCCCCCCCTCTCCCTCCCGCTCTTCATCCAGAATTTGCCAACCAGCTCAAGCGGGCACGGCAATTCGGGCAGCTGACAACGTTCGGGAAAGGGCTGCCAAAAGGCGGGCAGAATGCCGTGACTGGCTCTCTGAAGAAGCAGGAGGTCATCGCCTTTGCGCTCGCTGCTTATGCCGCTGAGGTCAAGGCAACACACGAGCAGGTGGGGTGTAACCATTTATGAAGGGTAACCATGGAAGGTGGTAACCACAAGAGTGTGAGTGACTGGCTCTCTGAAGAAGCAGGAAGTCTATTGCCATGGCGCTTGCTGCTTACGCTGCTGAGTCCTGACGTCATGTCAAGCACTTGAGCAGGCAGGGGAGGTCGCAACTGTGACGAGGTGTAACCACGGAAGGTGGTAACCAGAAGTGTGTGGTGACAAGCTCTCTCAAAAAGAGGTGAAGAGGTTTTCACCCCGGCGCTTGCTGCTTTTGCTACCAAAGCTAAACCCGCCTGCCCTTTTCCCCCCACCTGCTATCGCCCTGCTATCTATCCCATTCTCAGGGCGCCAGTGCATGGCATAGCATCACATCGGAACGGGTGCCAGCAGCAAAAATCACCGTATCGCCTCAAGAGTTATTTCCTAGGGGGATAAATAACTCTTGAGGCGCCTCAGAAACTGCTCTCACCCAGCTATCTATCCCCTTCCCAGGGCGCCAGAGCATCACTTCGGAGATACGGTGATTTTTGCGTGCTTGACCTCTCTCACCCCTTCTCACCATCTCTCCCCACAACCCTCCCTCCCCAGGCTGTCCATCCGCATAGCGCGGGAGGCTGGGAGCCGCGTCCCATCCGCCTTATCTCTCCTCCCCTCTCCCACCCCACAGCTATCCATCCCCTTCTCCGTTCGCGAGCACATAGCGCGGGAGGCAGGGAGCAGCGTTGCTCATTCCTCTCTTATCAACCCCCTCCTGTTCCCCCCTCCGCCCTATCCGCCAACACTATCCTCTCCTCTCCCTCCCCACAGCTATCCATCCCCTTCTCCGTTCGCGAGCGCATAGCGCGGGAGGCAGGGAGCAGCGTTGCTGACGTGGACTCACTCTTAGCTAAGTACGAGTGGTTTAAAGAGGCAGGCAGGCGAATGCAGGAGCTCCAAGACCAGGGGAAACCGCTGCCCAGATCGTTCACAGAGGTGAGAAAGAGGGGGAGGGATGGGAGGGGAGAAAGAGGGGGGGAGGGGGGGGAGAGGAATTAAGGAAGGGGGGAACCGGGGGGGGGGGGGGGGGCAATTGGTCCTCTTCCGAAGCAGCAGCAAGTGCAGGTGCTGCAGGCGCTGCTGGTGCTGCAGGTGCTGCTGGTGCTGCCGCTGCTGCTGTGGCTGCTGCTGCATCTTATTAATGTTATCTCCTCCCCGGCTTCTTCCTCTGCAGATTGAGAAGATGATGGGCGGCTCGTGGTCCTCGTACAAAGCAGGAGCAGCAGCAAGTGCTGTTGGTGCTGCTGGGCCCGCTGCTGCTGCTGCTGCAGGTGCAGCGTCTCAAGGCCCGGCGCGCAACAGCCCGTGTCCGTGTGGCTCCGGGAAGCGATACAAGAGGTGAGCCTTGGGGAGAATTCTGGAGGGGGGGCAGAGGAAAGGGGTGTTATGCTAAGCGCCTCAAAACACGTGCAGCATTGGTAGCCCTGACGCGCAACAGCCCATGTCCGTGTGGCTCCGGGAAGCGATACAAGAGGTGCGGTTTGGGGGGAGATGAGGAGGGAGTGGTTCAGATGGCTAAGGCATGGTCAAGTGCTCGAGGTGGACTCTCCCCCCCCCCCTTCCTTCGTTTATGGGTTGGTGCAGGTGCTGTGGAGCTGGAATGAAGGCAACGTGACTTGGCTGAAGAACACTTAGGTCCATCATTAAAAAAAGAGAGAAGAGAGAGTGTAATGCACCGCCTCAGGGTGGGTACTGTACAGCCTTGCATCAGGGCCACCTCTCGTCAGACTTGTCTTGCCGAGCTGAAACGCAGTGAACCACGCGTCGAACCATTTGCACCACGCAGCACGGCATGTGTGAAGTGAGGCTGACTCTGGTGCAGGGCGAGTTTTTAAAAATAACGCTCATTAGAATGGAGTGTCTTGCAGCACATTTAGGCGGTTTTTCAAAACACATCATTGCATGGCCTAATGGGTAATGAGTTTTCATGTGATGTTTGTTTTTTTCTTACCGCAATGCTGCACAGAACAGGGAATACGTTGGCATGGGGCCGAACACCTCTCCAACTTCTGCTGAGCATTTTTGGTAGCAAAACACCTAAGCTACGAGCTCGCATATGGCAGCTTCGAACGGTTTGATCCTTCACAATGCATTGGATGAAAGGAAGTTTCTACAGTGAGAATTGTTCTGCACTACTTGATTGTTTAACACATGGGGAAATAAACGATAACCAGGTGGAATGATCGGAAAAAGAAGCTCGCTGCAGCGAGGATGGCTTTGGTCACACATGCGAATTCCATCCTCGGCTTGGCACTTCAGCCTCTTATTTCTCACCCCGTTCGAAGTCTCCCTTGCATCTATTGCGCCTAGATATTACATCTGCCATGCGTCGAGCTGCCTCGCGCGCTGTTTCCGCTTCTGCTTCCGAGCTGTCGCGTCGTAAGTTCGTTCTGACGCGTAACTCCGTTCCGACGCGTGAGTCGCGAAATGCGATACCCCCAGGCGACTTCTCGGCACCTAACCAGCAAATCCTCTCGAATCGCACTCTCGGAGACGCGCGGCTTGACACGTTCCAGGAAGCTTCGTGCCTTGCGCCAAAGGCGGCGAGTTTCGCGCCGGCTGATACGGTCGCTTCGTCCGTGACGACCGGGCTTAGAAAGCCCTTGTTAGTCGCTCCGTTCGCGGCGCGTCCGGTCGCTCCTTCCTCGACGGGTGAACGGAAGGAGAAGTCCTCAGTCGCGCCTTTGCTAGCGGCGGGAAACGAACAATTATTGCGAGTCACTCCTTTCGCAACGAGTGAAAGAAGAGAGGCGACCGCAGCCGTTCCTTTCGCAGCGCGAACCTACGTGTCAGGCTCGGGCAGATCCGCAGCTCCGGCAGCGCAGCCAGGTTCGACAGCGAGCGCACCCGCAGGCTCGCCACTAGCCTCGGCAGCAAGCTCCGCCCGAAGCTCGGGTCCAGGCTCGGAACAGGCTGGGAAAGCCAGACCAGGAGGTTTGACCAAGCGGGGATGGAGCCTTGTGTTCTGCGAAACAGGGGAAGGGGGGGGCGGGGGAGGCGGAGCTGGCGGAAGGGGCGGGGGAACGGCGGGGGAGGCGCAGGGGGAGAGCGGTGGCGGATGGTTTTCGCGAATTCGGAGCTTTCTGCAGCTGGGGAAGGGCGGAGCGGGGGAGAAGGGGGGGCCGAAGCCCCTGACACATGCGGAGAGCTTTTCTGGTGCGTCGGAGAAGGGGAGCAAAGAGGGGCTTGACCCCTGAAACCCCCGACTGACCCCTGAAACCCCCGACTGACCCCTGAAACCCCCGACTGACCCCTGAAACCCCCGACTGACCCCTGAAACCCCCCACTGACCCTGAAACCCCCGACTGACCCCTGAAACCCCCGACTGACCCCTGAAACCCCCGACTGACCCCTGAAACCCCCGACTGACCCCTGAAACCTCCGACTGACCCCTGAAACCCCGACTGACCCCTGAAACCCCCGACTGACCCCTGAAACCCCCGACTGACCCCTGAAACCCCCGACTGACCCCTGAAACCCCCGACTGACCCCTGAAACCCCCGACTGACCCCTGAAACCCCCGACTGACCCCTGAAACCCCCGACTGACCCCTGAAACCCCCGACTGACCCCTGAAACCCCCGACTGACCCCTGAAACCCCCACTGACCCCTGAAACCCCCGACTGACCCCTGAAACCCCCGACTGACCCCTGAAACCCCCGACTGACCCCTGAAACCCCCGACTGACCCCTGAAACCCCCGACTGACCCCTGAAACCCCGACTGACCCCTGAAACCCCCGACTGACCCCTGAAACCCCCGACTGACCCCTGAAACCCCCGACTGACCCCTGAAACCCCCGACTGACCCCTGAAACCCCCGACTGACCCCTGAAACCCCCGACTGACCCCTGAAACCCCCGACTGACCCCTGAAACCCCCGACTGACCCCTGAACCCCCGACTGACCCCTGAGCCCCTGAGCCCCTGAGCCCCTGAGCCCCTGAGCCCCTGAGCCCCTGAGCCCCTGAGCCCTGACTGACCTAACACATGCAGCGAGTGTTTCCGGTGAGAATACTGGCGTGCCTAGGGGCGGGCAGTATGTACGGTGACGTCAGGCACGGCTTATGCATCATGTGCCTGACGTCACTCACTGCCACAAATTCCTCCCATTCCTCCCATTCCGCCCATTCCTCCCATTCCGCCCATTCCTCCCATTCCACCCATTCCGCCCATTCCGCCCATTCCGCCCATTCCTCCCATTCCGCCCACTCCTCCCATTCCGCCCATTCCTCCCATTCCGCCCATTCCTCCCATTCCGCCCATTCCGCCCGTTCCGCACATTCCGCACATTCCGCCCATTCCGCCCATTCCGCCCATTCCGCCCATTCCGCCCATTCCTCCCATTCCGCCCATTCCTCCCATTCCGCCCCTCTCCACCCATTTTACTTCAGAATTTGCGAGCAAGCTCAGGAGAGCGCGGCAGGTGGCACAGCTGACGGTGCGGAGGTGGTCTCCCTGGAGGCGAGCGGGATGTGGTGACGTGTCATGTCACTCATTGCCGCCCATCCCTCCCATCCCAGCCCTCCCATCCCTCCCAGCCCTCCCAGCCCTCCCATCCCTCCCAGCCCTCCCATTCCTCCCCCGCCCACCCTTCACCTTGCAGAATTCGCCTCCAAGCTCAGGAGAGCGCTGCAGGTGGCGCAGCTGACGGTGCTGAGGGGTCGCTCTAGAGGCGAGCGGGATGTGGTGACGTGTCATGTCACTCACTGCCTATGCTGAGGGGTTACTCACCAGGCGTGCGGAACGTGGTGAGCAGTCACTCACTCTCACTCAACCCTCCTATTTCCTCGCAGAATTTGCGAGCAAGTTAAGGAGAGCGCGGCAGGTGGCGCAGCTGACTGTGCTGAGAGGTTATTCCAGAGGCGAGCGCGATTTGGTGATCAGCGGACTCAAGAAGCAAGAGATGATTACCATGGCGCTTGTTGCTTATGCGGCTGACGTCAACTCTGCAGACGAGCACGTAAGGCATGCGGTAACCAGGGGAGCGTAACCGTGAAGGTGGTAACTAGTTGCTAGTAGCAGAGTCCCTCAAGAAGCAAGACATGGTGCTTGTGGCTTATGCCGCTGACGCCAACTCTGCCGACGAGCACGTAAGGCATGCTGAATGCGGTTATCAGGCGAGCGCAACTTTTAAGGTGGTAACCAGCAGAGATTGACAGACTCTTCTGTGGTAACCAACACTCAACCCCCTCTCCCCCCCCCTCTCCTCCCCGTCAACACAATTTCCTCGCCACCCCACCTGAACTGAACATCCCCTTTAGAGTCTGCTTTTGGTGCGACTTAAAAGCAGTGCTTGAAAATGCTCCAACCAACAGCAGTGCGATGCAAAAGCAGTGATGAAGCAGGTCCTGGACCTGGAGCAGGTCTCAAGATGATAGATGCTCATGTCATGATAGGTTCAGCAGAGGAGCTGGAGTCATGATAGGTTCAGCAGAGGAGCTGGAGTCATGATAGGTTCAGCAGAGGAGCTGGAGTCATGATAGACCCCATCTGTAGACCCTTCCCCCCTGCCACCTCATCTCACCTTTCCCACCCTAGCTGTACTTCCCCTGTCGAGTGCGCCAGCACATAGCACGTGAGGCTGGGAGGGAGCAGCAGCAGTAAAGTAAGCCCTTCTCATCCCCCTCCCCCCTTCCCATCACCTTTGCCCTCTCGAAACCCCTCCTCCTCCCCCCCATGCCAACTGTAGGTGACTTTTGAGTCGACTCAAAAGACTCCCCCCTTCCCATCACCTTTCCCCTCCGAAACCCCTCCTCCTCCCCCCTATGCCAACTGTACATCCCCGTAAGAGTGCGCGAGTGCATAGCACGGGAGACAGGAAACAGCGTGATGAGTCTATTTTTGAGGCACCTCAAAAATAGCACGGGAGACAGGGAGCAGCAGTCGCAAAGTGGGCCCTTCTCCTCCCCTTCACCCCTTCATACCACCCCTCCCATCTCCCCCTTCCTCCCCTTCACCCCTTCATACCACCCCTCCCATCTCCCCCTTCCTCCCCTTCACCCCTCCTCCTCACCCCCCACACCAGCTGTACATCCCCTTAAGAGTCCGTGAGCTCATAGCACGTGAGACCGGGCGCAGCATTTTTTAGTGGGCCCTTCTCATCCCCATCACCTCTTCTCACCACTCCTAATCCCTCCCCCCTCCCCCCACCCCCCCACGCCAGCTGTACATCCCCTTTAGAGTGCGCGAGCGCATAGCCCGGGAGACTGGGAGCAGCATTCTTGAGTGGGCCCTTCTCCTCCCCATCACCTCTTCTCACCTCCCCTAATCCCCCCCCCCCCCCCCACGCCAGCTGTACATCCCCTTTAGAGTGCGCGAGCGCATAGCGCGGGAGACTGGGAGCAGCACGCACGAAGTGGACAATCTAATTAATAAGTACGAGTGGTTCAAGGAGGCGGCCGCCAGGATAGAAGCACAGGAGGAGCAGGGAAAGCCAGTACCGAGATCGTTTGCTGAGGTGAGAGGAAGGGGGGAAGGGGGGGATGAGCAGCAGTCACGAGGTGGACAATCTAATAAATAAGTACGAGTGGTTCAAGGAGGCGGCCAGCAAGATGCAGCGGCTGGAACAGCCGTCACCAAGAGCGATTGCAACAGGAAAGGGGAAAGGGGAAAGGGGGGAAGGGGGGAAGGGGGGTGAGACCGGGTGCAACAGCCATGAGATGAACAATCTGATAGCCACGTGCGACTGGCTCAACGAGGCGGCCAGCAAGTTGCAGCGGCTGGAAGAGCCTGGACAGTCATTACCAAGAGCGTTTGCTGAGGTGAGCAAAAGCAGTGGAGGGAGGGAGGGAGGGAGGGAGGGGGAGTAACTTTGGCATAGTAGACATCTGCATAGCCAAGCACGAGTGGTACTTGGCACTTGGTTCTGTACAACGCAGCAGCAGCAGCAGCAGCAGCAAATGGTGCAGCATAGTGTCCTCCCCGTTTCCGTTTCCGTTGCTGGGAGCAGATAGAGCGGATGATGGGTGGCGCTTGGTTCACGAGCAGCACAGCAGTAGCAGCAGCAAATGCTGGTTTTTGAGGCGCCTCAAAAAGGTAGTCTTGGGTCGGCCTCTGATGCAGGTGCAGTGCAGCATCACACCAAACCTGTCTCCTCCCCATTCCCATGTCTGCGAGCAGATAGAGCGGATGATGGGCGGCGCTTGGTTCTCAAACAATGCTACGGCAAGGCCTGGTGGCCGTGGTGGTTCTGGGTCTGCTGCCGCTGCCGGCGCTGCTGCTGGTGCTGCTGGCTCTGCGGCTACTGGTGTGGCATCTGAAGCCCCGGCGCGCAACAGCCCGTGCCCGTGTGGCTCCGGGAGGCGGTATAAGAGGTGAGTCGAGGGGGGAAAGCAGGGCGGTCTGTCTGTGCATTTGGGGGGGCGCGGTGCTAAGCACGTTAAAACACGTGCGGCATTGCTAAGCCCCGGCGCGCAACAGCCCGTGCCCGTGTGGCTCCGGGAGGCGGTATAAGAGGTGAGTCGAGGGGGGAAAGCAGGGCGGTCTGTCTGTGCATTTGGGGGGGCGCGGTGCTAAGCACGTTAAAACACGTGCAGCATTGCTAAGCCCCGGCGCGCAACAGCCCGTGCCTGTGTGGCTCCGGGAGGCGGTATAAGAGGTGAGTCTTGGGGGAAAGGAGGACGGTCTGTCTGTGCATTGGGGGGGGGGAAGTGTGTTTACTAAGTACCAGCAGCATTGCCAGCCCCAGCGCAACAGCCCGTGTCCGTGTCGATTCGGGAAGCGACAAGAGGTGAGGTCAGGCAAAAGCGTGTAGAGAGTGTGTGATTATAGGAAGTGTGCGATTCTAGGAGATGCATGATTGTAGAGAAGGTGTGTGCACTGGGGAAGTCATGTATTGAGGTGCCTCAGATGCAGTGCAACATTGCAAGCCTAACTTTGAACAGCCCGTGCCCACATGGCTATGGAAAGGAAAAAAAGAGGCGAGTTTGAGGAAGAAGCGGGTGTGATGTTGGTGAAAGTCAACAAGCTATCTACAGCCTGTGTTTTGTGACTCTAAGAACGCTAGTGTGATTGAAAAAAAGGGTGTTCGTAAGGTAAGGTGTTTGACCGTGAGTTTTGGCCATTCACCACATGTTAACGAGATATGCAAGCAATTAATGTGGTGGAAAGAGCTAGGATGGTGAGCGAAACTGGAGTTCCCCATTTCCCCATTTTCACCCCATTTTAAATCCTTTTTACTTTGGAATGACGCAGGTGTTGTGGAGCTGCCAAGTGAAGTGCTGTACTTGGAATGACCGCAGAGCTCTTATTTTACCTTAGTAAAAATTATGATAGTGCATTTCTCATGATCAACCAAAGCAATTATGACAAAACAAGGTTTGGTCCATTTGCACGATCTGGAAACAGGCTCGTAAGATGTTTTTGGCGGAAATTCTTCGTAGATACGAGACGATTCGGCATCGGAAGGCTGTACACCTCGGTATAGAGTTTTTCGGACCCTCGGCAATATCAGTGGCTCGCCCGCTGTTCCCTCCTGCACCTATCCTCCTCGTTAGAACATGACTACACTACACTACCTGTCGCTTCAATATGCCGGTATAGAGTTCCTCGTTGCTTTCTCCCTGTCCCTTTCTCCAGAGCCATCGAGAATGGAGCTTCTTGCAGGGAAATGACGTCCTGCTTCAAGGTTTTCCTCCCGCCTCGGCTTTCCGCGTACCAGAGCCGAGGCGTTCCTCTCTTAGAGTCCTTGAGCTCACTTCACGGTGCTTTGAAGTCGAAAAAAACGACTCGAATCTCGCCGAACCCGAAGGAATCTTTGCCAAACCGCAAGGAAAATTCACCACGCGTAGAAGGCCTTCTTTTTTCCGCCATGCTTCCTCGGAGGTCAGCGCGTCTGTCCGCCTTGCAACAATGTAACCAGCTACCTGGTAACCAGCAGCAGCGCTTCGAGCTCTCCACAGTGAATGCGACCTCTTCCCTTCAGGCTTGTTCGGAGGCAGTCGCGCTGCGACAATGCGGCGCCAAAGCCAAGGCCTCAGATCGCAGGGTCGACGGTCAGGCATCCACGGTTGACGAGGCTGCCACGCCAGCAGTTGGGGCTCCTGCGGCTCCTGCATCTCCTGCAGCCCCTGCTGGCGGCTTAAAGCGGAAGCGAGCAGCGTCCAAGGCGAAAGGGCCGGACAGACGCATGGAGGTGAGGAGATGTGCTTGTAATGGTGCGAGGGACGTGAGACGATGTGCTTTCAAGAGGGGAGTGGGGGGAGGTGGGGCAGCGAGCAGCGTCCCAGGCGCGAGTGCCGGATAGATGCGTGGAGGTGAGGAGATGTGGTGTCAATTTTGAGTCGCCTCAAAAGACAATTTTTGAGTCGCCTCAAAAGTCAGCTCGTCCAAGGCGCAAGGGCCGGACAGATGCATGGAGGTGAGGCGATGTGGTGTCAATGGCCTCTCCCCTCTTCCTCCCCTTCACTCCCATTCACTCCCCTTCACTCCCCTTCACTCCCCTTCACTCCCCTTCACTCCCCTTCACTCCCCCTCACTCCCCTTCACTCCCCTTCACTCCCATTCACTCCCCTTCACTCCCTTCACTCCCCTTCACTCCCCTTCACTCCCCTTCACTCCCCTTCACTCCCCTTCACTCCCCCTCACTCCCCTTCACTCCCCCTTCACTCCCCTTCACTCCCCTTCACTCCCCTTCACTCCCCTCTTCCTCCCCTTCACTCCCCTTCACTCCCCTTCACTCCCCTCACTCCCCTTCACTCCCCTTCACTCCCCTTCACTCCCCTTCACTCCCCTTCACTCCCCTTCACTCCCCTTCACTCCCATTCACTCCCCTTCACTCCCCTTCACTCCCCTTCACTCCCCTTCACTCCCCTTCACTCCCCTTCACTCCCCTTCACTCCCCTTCACTCCCCTTCACTCCCCTTCACTCCCCCTCACTCCCCTTCACTCCCCTTCACTCCCCTTCACTTCACTCCCCTTCACTCCCCTTCACTCCCCTTCACTCCCCCTCACTCCCCCTCACTCCCCCTTCACTCCCCTTCACTCCCCTTCACTCCCCTTCACTCCCCCTCACTCCCCCTTCACTCCCCTTCACTCCCCTTCACTCCCCTTCACTCCCCTTCACTCCCCTTCACTCCCATTCACTCCCCTTCACTCCCCTTCACTCCCCTTCACTCCCCTTCACTCCCCTCTTCCTCCCCTTCACTCCCCTTCACTCCCCTTCACTCCCCCTCACTCCCCCTTCACTCCCCTTCACTCCCCTTCACTCCCCTTCACTCCCCTTCACTCCCCTTCACTCCCCTCTTCCTCCCCTTCACTCCCCTTCACTCCCCTTCACTCCCCTTCACTCCCCTTCACCCCCCTTCACTCCCCCTCACTCCCCCTTCACTCCCTTCACTCCCCTTCACTCCCCTTCTCTCCCCTTCACTCCCATTCACTCCCCTTCACTCCCCTTCACTCCCCTTCACTCCCCTTCACTCCCTTTCACTCCCCTTCACTCCCCTTCACTCCCCTTCACTCCCCTTCACTCCCCTTCACTCCCCTTCACTCCCCCTCACTCCCCCTTCACTCCCCTTCACTCCCCTTCACTCCCCTTCACTCCCCTCTTCCTCCCCTTCACTCCCCTTCACTCCCCTTCACTCCCCCTCACTCCCCTCCCTCCCCCTTCACCCCCCTGGCACCCCCACTTCCCAATGACTCAACCCCCCTCTCGCCCTTCTAGCAATCCCTCTGGCTTCGCGGATTCAAGCACGTGTGCGGACGGATAAGGGGGGCGGGGTGAGGATTATTGGTTGCACCTAACTAAATCAATGCTTTGGTTGGTTGTTCCCTCCTCCCCCGGGCAAGCCCGATGATCCCAGGAATTCAAGCACGTGTGCGGGGTGGACGAGGCGGGGAGGAGCCGCCAGCAGGGTCTGTTTTCTCCTCTCAACCTGCTGTCTTGTTCCACCTTCTTCCCCCACCTCCCACTCCCCCACCCCCGCCCCCAAGCAATCCTTATGGTCGCAGGGATTCAAGCACGTGTGCGGGGTGGACGAGGCAGGGAGGGGCCGCTAGCAGGGCCTTTTCTTTAATCACAATCTGCTGTCTTGCTGTTTGGCCTTCTCCCCTCTTCCACCCCCCAGCAATCCGTGTGGTCGCAGGGCTTTAAGCACGTGAATGGGGTGCATTTGGTGGGGCGAGGGCCGTTAGCTAGCAGGGCTCTTTCCTCCCTGAATATGCTGCCTTGTCTCCCCTCCTCCCCCTCTTCCCCCCCAGCAATTCTTGTGGCTTCGCGGCTTCAAGCACGTGTACGGAGTGGATGAGGCGGGACGGGGGCCGCTAGCAGGGCCTTTTCTTAAATCACAATCTGCTGTCTTGCGGTTTGGCCTTCTCCCCTCTTCCACCCCCCAGCAATCCGTGTGGTCACGGGGCTTTAAGCATGTGTACGGGGTGGATGAGGCGGGGCGGGGGCCACTAGCTGGGCCTGTAGTGGCAGCTGCATGCGCTGTACCTGCAGGGCTGGTGATTCCAGGTAGGGTGTGTAAGTTTGATGTACATTTGGCACATGCATGTGCGTGCCATACATGCGCTAGCAGGGCCGGTGGTGGCTGCTGCATGCGCTGTACCTGCAGGGCTGGTGATTCCAGGTTTGTGCGTTCTTGAGAGAGAGGGAAAGTGCTGTATGGTAGACCTGGTGGGATGTTTGAGGCGCCCCAAAACATGATTCCATAGAGAGAGAGGGGAAAGTGCCCTGTGGTAGACCTGGTGGGATGTTTGAGGCGCCCCAAAACATGATTCCATAGAGAGAGAGGGGAAATTGCTCTGTGGTAGACCTGGTGGGATGTTTGAGGCGCCCCAAAACATGATTCCATAGAGAGAGAGGGGAAAGTGCTCTGTGGTAGTCCTGGTGGGATGTTTGAGGCGCCCCAAAACATGATTCCATAGAGAGAGAGGGGAAAGTGCTCTGTGGTAGACCTGGTGGGATGTTTGAGGCGCCCCAAAACATGATTCCATAGAGAGAGAGGGGAAAGTGCTCTGTGGTAGTCCTGGTGGGATGTTTGAGGCGCCCCAAAACATGATTCCATAGAGAGAGAGGGGAAAGTGCTCTGTGGTAGCCCTGGTGGGATGTTTGAGGCGCCCCAAAACATAATTCCATAGAGAGAGAGGGGAAATTGCTCTGTGGTAGTCCTGGTGGGATGTTTGAGGCGCCCCAAAACATGATTCCATAGAGAGAGAGGGGAAAGTGCTCTGTGGTAGTCCTGGTGGGATGTTTGAGGCGCCCCAAAACATGATTCCATAGAGAGAGAGGGGAAAGTGCTCTGTGGTAGACCTGGTGGGATGTTTGAGGCGCGCCAAAACATGATTCCATAGAGAGAGAGGGGAAAGTGCTCTGTGGTAGTCCTGGTGGGATGATTGAGGCGCCCCAAAACATGATTCCATAGAGAGAGAGGGGAAAGTGCTTTGCGGTGGATTTGTTGGCGTGCAAAAGGTTTGTGGGAAGAGGGCCGCTAGCAGGTACCGTGGTGGCTGGCTGGCTGCTGCATGCGCTGTGCCTCCCTGCAGGACTGGAGACTGCAGTGCAGGTACCATATGTGACTTTTGAGAATTCCAAAGAATCACCTACCTGCAGGCAGGACTGGACTGGAGATTGCAGGTAGGTACCATATGTAACTGCCTACGTGTTACAGGTGAAGTTCCACGTCGTGTTTTGACAGGCACGTGCATGTGCAACACATACCTCCGTGCAAAAATAGACTCATGTGCAACGCATACCTCCTCCTCCCTGCTGTGGCGGCTGCATGTGCCGTGCCTGCAAGTCTGGTGATTGATTGCAGGCGTGCTATCGCTCTTCCCATCTAGTGGCTCGATTGATACATGCACGCCCACAAGCAGGCGGCAGGCCCTCTGGTGGCTGCTGCCTGCGCTGTACCGGCAGGGCTAGTTAGTCGTGTCATTGAGTCAACCTTGGGTCTTGCTGTCGTGCTGTAGGCGATTTTTGAGAATTCTAACAAATCACAAGGAGGCCCTCTGGTGGCTGCTGCCTGCGCTGTACCGGCAGGATTAGTTAGTCATGTCATTGACTCAACCTTGGGTCTTGCTGTCGTGCTGTAGGCGATTTTTGAGAATTCTAAAAAATCACAAGGAGGCCCTCTGGTGGCTACTGCCTGCGCTGTACCGGCAGGATTAGTTAGTCATGTCATTGAGTCAACCTTGGGTCTTGCTGTCATGCTGTAGGCGATTTTTGAGAATTCTAAAAAATCACAAGGAGGCCCTCTGGTGGGTGCTGCCTGCGCTGTACCGGCAGGACTAGTTAGTCATGTCATTGAGTCAACCTTGGGTCTTGCTGTCATGCTGTAGGCGATTTTTGAGAATTCTAAAAAATCACAAGCAGGCCCTCTGGTGGCTGCTGCCTGCACTGTACCGGCAGGACTAGTTAGTCATGTCATTGAGTCAACCTTGGGTCTTGCTGTCGTGCTGTTGCAGGTCTAGCGGACAGCAAGAAGCTTTTGGAGAAGCAAAGGGAGGAGATATTGCTGTTTTTGCTGCCTTATTGCCTCACTGTTTCATTCTCGGATTGCCTTCCCTTCGCTGGACTAGATGTCAGCAAGAAGCTCTTGGAGAGGCAAAGGGAGGAGATATTGCTGTTTTGCTGCCTTATTGCCTTGCCTTACTGTCTATTTGGCTCTTGTCGTACTGTTTCATTCTCTGGTTGCCTTCCTGTTGCAGGTCTAGATGACAGCAAGAAACTCTCGGAAGAGCAAAGGGAAGAGATTTTTGACGCCATTGTCTCAAACCCAGACATTTTCTACGCTGTAAGCTCTTGCACGCACTCACCACCATGCTGTGCGGATGGATGCTATATGCTGTATGGATGGATGCTATATGCTGTATGGATCAATGCTATATGCTGTATGGATGGATGCTATTTGCTGTATGGATGAATGCTATATGCTGTACGGATGGATGCTATATGCTGTATGGATGAATGCTATATGCTGTATGGATGGATGCCATATGCTGTACGGATGGATGCTATATGCTGTATGGATGGATGCTATATGCTGTACGGATGGATGCTATATGCTGTACGGATGGATGCTATATGCTGTACGGATGGATGCTATATGCTGTATGGATGAATGCTATATGCTGTACAATATTCTGGCTCGCTCGTTGTACTGTAGACTGTCAGGATTTGAACCAGCGTCCTGTTTGCCTGATTGCATGCTGTTGTTTTTAGGGTATTTTTTAGAGTTCTCAAAAATACCCTGTTTTTCTTGTTTCTGTTTCCCCCCTATGTGCTCTGTGCTTTTGAGTCGACTCAAAAGTCATCTCCCCCTATGTGCTCTGTGCTTTGTTTCTGCAGGTGGACATTGTTGGCCCAGCGGAAATTGATAGAGTGAACATACTTCAGGTGTGTTGACTTTAGGTGTCTTGATTCGGTCTATTTTTTAGGCGCCTCAAAGATAGAGTGAACATGCTTCAGGTGTGTTGACTTTAGGTGTCTTGATTCGGTCTATTTTTGAGGCGCCTCAAAGATAGAGTGAACATACTTCAGGTGTGTTGACTTTAGGTGTCTTGATTCGGTCTATTTTTGAGGCGCCTCAAAGATAGAGTGAACATGCTTCAGGTGTGTTGACTTTAGGTGTGCCTTGATTCGATTTGCGTTGTCTTGAGTTGGCTTCAGTTTCCTTGTAAGCACGCGTTCAGTGCGTTGACTTGCATTGATCTGACCGCCTCGCCTCATCCCGCGCTGCCTGCATGCCCCTTCAGCATAAATTGCCCGACCAGCTCGTGTTGACTTATTACCAGCCGCACCCGTGTTGCCCCTCCCCCCCCTTTTGGAAAGACCTCAACAACTCCCCCGCCCACCCCCGCAACCCCCCCCCTGGACCCCTTCAATCTTCACTCAACGATTGTAGCGACGGCTAACATGATTGCCAAGGCAGGGGAGGATCCCATCTGGTCGTCGCATGTTGAATCCACATGATTCTGAGGCTCTCCCTCAATCCTCTCCCCCCCACACCACTCCCCCTTTTCTCTCCAACGTTTTCAGGCAACGATGCTAGCGATGGCCAACACTACACGCTCGGCCGTGGACGACCCCCCCATGTGTCTTTCTGTCCCCAGTCCCCAGTTCTTTGGCTTACCCTTCTAGTCCCCCCTCTTCCCCCCTCCCGTACACCCCCCCATGGGACTTCAGGCAACGATGCTGGCAATGGGCAACACTATAACGAAGGTTGGGGAGGACCCCAGGTGTCCCTCGCCTGACTATGTGCTTGTGGACGGCAACAGGGTGCCTGAGGGGCTGCCTTGTGCTGCTGAAGCCATTGTGAAGGTACTGATCAATTGTTGTATGCATGTCATATATGGCATGGCATGGCATGGCATGGCATGTATGGCACAGCATGGAGTCCCAGGTGTACTTCCCCCGACTGTGTGCTGGTTGGCGGTAACAAGGTGCCTGAGGGGCTGCCGTACGCCGCTGAAGCCAGAGTCAAGATACATGCTTGCTGCACTCATACTGTGCATGGCATGGAGTGGCACGGCATGGCACAGCAAGAGACCCCAGGTGTACTTCCCCCAACTGTGTGCTGGTTGGCGGCAACAAGGTGCCTGAGGGGCTGCCGTACGCCGCTGAAGGTGTGGCCAAGGTACATGCTTACTGCACTCATACTGTGCATGGCATGGCATGGCATGGCATGGCATGGAGTCTATCTGAGGCTGCGACGCTCCCTGCATCATGTGCCCCGACTATGCTCGTTCCATACCACACCGGGAAGTTCCTCTCACCGTTACACCAGATCAGGAAAGTGCTTCCCTTCCCGCTTTCTCGTCAACTGAGACTAGTTTTGAGGCGCCTAAAGAGTAATTTGGAAGTGCTTCCTTTCCCCATCTCCCATCATTCTCCTCCATGCCCCTCCCTGTGCGTGTTGTAGGTGATTTTTGAGATTTCTAAAAAATCATCTACAATACGCACATCCCAGGCGAAATTTGTCTAGATGTTTGACTAGTAAGTCTTTTTTCTGCTCAAAATTTCTCTCCCAGGAGATGGTTAGATCTATACATCAGGCGTAGATTTCTCTGGTTAGCTTGCTGCGGATCCAACCCATTTCATCGCAAAAATCAGGAAATTGCTTCATTTCCCAATTTCCCGTCATTCTCCTCCCCTGCCCCTCCCCGCGTGCTTTCTTCGCAGGGTGATGCGACATGCTACGCCATTGCGGCTGCCTCCATTCTCGCCAAGGTCACAAGGGACCGACTCATGCTCAAATTCGACAGGTGCGACCGGTGCCCTTGTGTCCTGTTGTGAACACAATGATGAGTTGAAATGGCGCATGATATGCCGTCGAGCAGCTGCTTCCATTCTCGCCAAGGTCATAAGGGACCGACTCATGCTGAAATTCTACAGGTGAGGCCATGTGAAAACGCGATGACGAGTCGAATGACTGCATGCATGCTAAATCCTGGCCTTGTCGTCGTGGCTGGTTCCATCCTGACCAATGTTACAACGGACCGACTCATCCTCCAATTTGACAGGTATGGGAAAAATGCATGTGATTTGATTGCCACATGTATTTGGCCACATGTTGTAATTCCACTCGTGTTGCCCGTGTCTACATCATCATGTATGGTTGAATTGGAGCAGCGTGACGCACGCCAAGGAAGAAGAATGCCACATGTGTGCTTCCCATTGCCAGTGTGACTCATGATATGTCCTCCCATCCCATGGCCCGTGTCCCATCCATCCCGTCCTGCTATTTTCCCATCTAATTTATTTCTGATCTCTTGCTGCGGTACGGTATGCACCCGGACATAAGCGCATATGTGCTTATAATGGAACCTCTTGCAAAATCACATGCGCTTATAATCGTCTAAATTGTATAAGCGCATGCATTTAATAAAAGTATTTTAAGGAAAAGTTACTTCAAGGCATTAAAATGTAGCTCTGAGAATTTTTGTTCGAGTGGCATTACCTCCATAGGGGGTCATGTTGGTAGATTGCGTGGAATCGGCTCTCGAAGAATCCCCTATCAAAACCTTGCTATATCGAGTCAATCGGAGCCATTCAGAGCCAAATTTACAAATCGGAATTGGCGCTACTGTCTTGCGAGGTGCCCGGGGGGGCTGTGGTAGGGGTGGCTTGAGATTCGGATATGAAAAATCCGCGTTTCACTCGTTTTTTACAACAGTGTAATGCGCTCACAATAAACACCACCTGCAAAAAATAGGTGCGCAAATAATGAAATTACGGATATAAGCGCGTTCGCACTGTATAATCCCAATGTGCTTAATAATCGGGTGTACACGGTATGTATGTCCTCCCATCCCATCCCCCTCAGGCTCTACCCGGCTTATGGCTTCAAGCAGCACAAGGGCTACGGCACAGCGGCACACATAAAAGCAATATTGGCACACGGCCCTGGTGCCATCCCATTCCACTCAATCCCATCCCATCCCCCTCAGGCTCTACCCGGCTTATGGCTTCAAGCAGCACAAGGGCTACGGCACAGCAGCCCACATGAAAGCACTCTTGGCGCACGGTGCCTGCCCTATCCACCGGAGATCCTTTGCCCCCATTAAGGACTGGGCTGTCCTTGACAAAAGCGACTAGATTATGGCCTTGAGTGTAGTGGAGTGTCACTTCACAATGCGACTCACTTTTGTTATGAAAGCTTACACATGTTTCATAAAATAATCTGCATATCATCATAGTCCTCAGCAAGCTTCTTGCTTTTTTTTTTTTTTTTTTTTGAACACGATCGTTTTATTGAGGGCTTTTCGCAACAGAAAACGTTCCTCACATCCTTATCTCTTGTTACCATGTTTGTAACACAGCATATGCGCAAGAATCTTCACATGTTGCCAAACCACTTCCGAGTCATAGTTCACTCCATCCCCTCTACAAGCCTCGCTCCTGGTCCTAGTAGTGGAGTAGAAGTCCGCAACCGAGTGCCCAGTAGCAGCGAAGCGGGAGGCAGCGTGGCGCTGGTAGCGGCTGTGGTATCGCCGAATCGTAAATAATTGCTCTCCCCTAATCTTGCCTGGCGGGTGAAGGGGAAGAGGTGGCGTGAGGGGATGCAAACAAAGGGTGTGCTTATGGGAGGCGGGGAAAGAGAGGCAGCGTGGCGCTGGTAGCCGCTGTGATATCAACAAATTGTGAGGGAGTGAGGGGGCGAGGTTGAGGAGGGGGAAGAGAGGGGGGGAAGAGGGGGCGGTGGGAATGAGGGGTGAGGGGATGGATGAACTCAAGCCTTGCTCCTAGTCCATCCTTGCTCCTTCTTCACTGCAGTGGAGAACGATCCGCTACGGACTGCCAGCGTCGCGCTGATTCTCGCATTGCTACCGAATGCCTGTTGGCAGAAATGCGAGAATCAGCACGTCGCTGGTAGCGGTGGCAAATGGTAATCAGCTGCTCCCCTGGATTTGGGGGAGCAAATGGATCTCTACTGGATTTGCAGAGGAAGGGGTGGCAGTGTGGCACGAAAAAGGGAGGGAGGGGGGGGGGGGGGGGGGGAGGTGGAAGGTGGGGCAGGGGCGAAGCGAGAGTCGGCGTGGCGCTGGTAGCGGCGAAGATAAGCGGATGCTCGCCCTGATACTCTGAGCTGAGCCTGGTGGGTTATCAGGGAGCCTGGTGGAATATTCATCGTTTGAGATGTTTCAGGTTTCGTCAGCCAGTGATTTTTTATTAATGATTTTCACAGATTTCTTCCCACCTTGTTGGATGTAATGCGCTTTCCACCATATAACTCTCTGCTCTGGGAAGCTGCCCTGAACCTTTCCCAGCAGCTCCTCGGTATCCTCTTTAAAAGCAGTCAGGTTGAGCTTCACGCGCGGCCGCCCCGACCACCCAAACACCTCGTGCACCCCCATACTCATTATAAGCACGTCTGGTCTATCCGCTGCAGGGTCCTGTAGGCCCTCGAAGAAGAAATCGTTGACATCATCTTTTGGTGAATCCCCTGGCTGGGGGAGGAAGAGAGGGAAAGGAAAAAAAGGGGGGGTTGGGGGGGAGGGGGGAAGGGGACGAGGCAGGGATTACCCACTGCTGGAGCCGTTGCTTGGTGCGCCATCTTGGCTCGAAACAGGAAAGACACCACGGGGCGATACCAGACCAGCCAGTACCCTTAATGCCAAGTGCACCACTTCGGATACCGCAACCAGCACTGTCCAAACTCACTGCATGCAGGGGCTCGTTGGTCGTCTTCGCTCATAGTAGAAGGGCAGCAGTGGGTGAAGTAGCGCACATGCACCAACGAGCACTCACTGCCGGGGCTCGCTGGTCCGGAACAGTACTAATGCTAACACCACATACCAAAACCAGCACAACCTGCACCACCAGCACCACCAGCACGACCAGCACGACCAGCACCACATGCACCACCAGCACCACCAGCACCACATTCACTCACTGCAGGGGCTTGCCGGTGCGCCATCTTGGCTCGAAACAAGAACGAAAGACAGCACGCGGCCATCGGGGCTATGCTCAACAGCCAAGCTCAGAACCAACCACCAACGCCACATGCACTCACTGCAGGGGCTTGTTGGCGTGCCATCTTAGCGCGGAACATGTAAGACACCACGGGGCGATCAATGCTCCTTTCTACTGGCCGCCACTAACGGCACACACCACAACTAGCACAACCAAGCCACCACCACCACCACATTGACTTGCACTCACTGCAGGGGGCTCGCTGGTGCGCCATCTTGGCTCGGAACAAGTAAGACACCACGGGGCGATCGGTGCTCCTTTCTACAGGCCGCCACTAACGGCACACACCACAACGAGCACAACCACACCCAGCACCACCACATTGACTTGCGCCCACTGCAGGGGCTCGCTGGTGCGCCATCTTAGCTCGAAACAAGTAAGACACCATGGGGCGATCGGTGCTCCATTCTACAGGCCGCCACTAACGGCACACACCACAACGAGCACAACCACACCCAGCACCACCACATTGACTTGCGCCCACTGAAGGGGCTCGCTGGTGCGCCATCTGGGCCTGAAACAGGTAAGACACCGCGGGGCGATCGGGACTCGGGCTTCCTCCCGACTGCCCAGTGCCCACCCACCACTAACACCACATACCCAAACCAGCACAACCAGTACCACCACATCGACTTTGCACTCACTGCAGGGGCTCGTTGGTGCGCCATCTTGGCTCGGAACAAGTAAGACACCACGGGGCGATCGGCGCTCCTCTCTACAGGCTGCCATCCCCTTGCATCCTCTGCCTCAGTGCTCTCCTCGTTACTGCCACTCCCGTTATTGCCACTCTTGTTACTGTCGCTTCCGTCACTGTCACTCCCGTTATTGTCACTCCCATTACTGTCACTTCCGTTGCTGTCGATTATTGGACCACCACTAGAGTCACTGCCGCCGCTGCTGCTGCTACTACTGCTGCTCGTGTCTTCATTGGCCGGATCGTCCTCATTAGAAGCAAGCCTTCTTCTGTTACTGGAGCTTTGCTCGTCCTGTTGGGTATTCTCTGTATTTTCATCCAAGACAAGAGTAGAAGAGGACGAAGAAGAGGGCGCCGATGGGACTTCGGACGAGGAAGAGGAGGAGGAGGAGGAGGAGGAGAGGAGGAGGAGGAGGAGGAGGAGGAGGAGGAGGAGGAGGAGGAAGATTTGGAGGAGGAGGGTGAAGCAAAGGAGGAGGAAGATGGCGAAGGGGGTCTCAAATACTCTGGTGGCTTGATGCCGACTTTCTTAATCCGCATTTTCTTGGCGAGGAAGGTGGAGAGTGTGCGAGAGGTCTGGTCGCCAACGAAGTGGATCCACTGGCCCTTGAGGCACTTGTGAAGCTCTGGACCGGAGAAGTCACTGGTAACAGGGGATGAGTGGAGAGGGGAGGAGAATAAAGGAGAGATGGGAATATGGCAAGGAAGGTGGAGAGTGTGCGAGAGGTCTGGTCGCCAAAGAAGTGGATCCACTGGCCCTTGAGGTACTCAAACAGCTCTGCACCCGAAAAGTCACTGTGTGGTGTGAGCGGGGGTTGGAGAGCTTTGGAGGGTTTGAGTGGTCTGGTCGCCAAAGAAGTGGATCCACTGGCCCTTGAGGCACTCTCGAATAGCTCCGAACCAGAGAAGTCGCTGGGGGGACAGGGAACGCGGGAATCGGGACGGAAGGAAGGAAGGGAGGAAGGAAGGAGAGACGGAGGAGAGTTGAGAACAACGAAAGTGGGAATACGGTGGAGAGCGTGCGAGACCTCTCTCCACTCTCTCCACTCTCTCCACTCTCTCCACTCTCTCCACTCTCTCCACTCTCTCCACTCTCTCCACTCTCTCCACTCTCTCCACTCTCTCCACTCTCTCCACTCTCTCCACTCTCTCCACTCTCTCCACTCTCTCCACTCTCTCCACTCTCTCCACTCTCTCCACTCTCTCCACTCTCTCCACTCTCTCCACGCCCTCGCAGATGGACAGGAAGGAAGGAAGGAGGGAAGGAAGGAAGGAGGGAAGGAAGGAAGGAGGGAAGGAAGGAAGAGGAAGGAGGAAGGGGAAGGAAGGAAGGAGGGAAGGAAGGAAGGAGGGAAGGAAGGAAGGAGGGAAGGAAGGAAGGAGGGAAGGAAGGAAGGAGGGAAGGAAGGAAGGAGGGAAGGAAGGAAGGAGGGAAGGAAGGAAGGAGGGAAGGAAGGAAGGAGGGAAGGAAGGAAGGAGGGAAGGAAGGAAGGAGGGAAGGAAGGAAGGAGGGAAGGAAGGAAGGAGGGAAGGAAGGAAGGAGGGAAGGAAGGAAGGAGGAGGGAAGGAAGGAAGGAGGGAAGGAAGGAAGGAGGGAAGGAAGGAAGGAGGGAAGGAAGGAAGGAGGGAAGGAAGGAGGGAAGGAAGGAAGGAGGGAAGGAAGGAAGGAGGGAAGGAAGGAAGGAGGGAAGGAAGGAAGGAGGGAAGGAAGGAAGGAGGGAAGGAAGGAAGGAGGGAAGGAAGGAAGGAGGGAAGGAAGGAAGGAGGGAAGGAAGGAAGGAGGGAAGGAAGGAAGGAGGGAAGGAAGGAAGGAGGGAAGGAAGGAAGGAGGAAGGAAGGAAGGAGGGGAAGGAAGGAAGGAAGGGGAAGGAAGGAAGGAGGGAAGGAAGGAAGGAGGGAAGGAAGGAAGGAGGGAAGGAAGGAAGGAGGGAAGGAAGGAAGGAGGGAAGGAAGGAAGGAGGGAAGGAAGGAAGGAGGGAAGGAGAGAGAGGTCTTATCACCAAAGAGCCATATCTCTCAGCTATAGCCACAATGTTCTGCCCCTTTCAAATATAGTCACAACGTTCTGCCCCTTTCAAATATAGTCACAACGTACTGCCTCTTTCAAGTGTAGTCACAACGTACTGCCCCTTTCAAATATAGTCACAACGTACTGCCTCTTTCAAATATAGTCACAACGTACTGCCTCTTTCAAATATAGTCACAACGTACTGCCCCTTTCAAATATAGTCACAACGTACTGCCTCTTTCAAATATAGTCACAACGTACTGCCTCTTTCAAATATAGTCACAACGTACTGCCCCTTTCAAATATAGTCACAACGTACTGCCTCTTTCAAATATAGTCACAACGTACTGCCTCTTTCAAATATAGTCACAACGTTCTGCCTCTTTCAAATATAGTCACAACGTTCAGCCCCTTTCAAATATAGTCACAACGTACTGCCTCTTTCAAATATAGTCACAACGTACTGCCTCTTTCGAATATAGTCACAACGTTCTGCCTCTTTCAAATATAGTAACAACGTTCTGCCTCTTTCAAATATAGTCACAACGTTCTGCCTCTTTCAAATATAGTCACAACGTACTGCCTCTTTCAAATATAGTCACAACGTACTGCCTCTTTCGAATATAGTCACAACGTTCTGCCTCTTTCAAATATAGTCCCAACATTCTGCCTCTTTCAAATATAGTAACAACGTTCTGCCTCTTTCAAATATAGTCACAACGTTCTGCCTCTTTCAAATATAGTCACAACGTACTGCCTCTTTCAAATATAGTCACAACGTACTGCCCCTCTCACCTATAGTCACAAATTTCAGCTGTAGTCACACACAATCATCTGCCTCCCGCCACATGTAGTGGTCCCATGGAGTCGTATATGGATTACAGGTAGGCTGCGGAGGCCTTAATTACGACTCAATCAGCCCACCTGTAATCCATCTACGACTCAATCATCCGCCTCCCGCCACATGTAGTTGTCCCACGGACCATACCAAAGAACACATCCATCCATACGCCTTCCACCATATGCAACGCACTCATGTGTCATGTTGTCGGCGATTTTTTAGAATTCTCAAAAATCGCCTTCCACTATATGCAATGCACTCACGTGTCATGTTGTAGGCGATTTTTTAGAATGATAAAAAATCGCCTTCCACCATATGCAATGCACTCACCCGTATTGACACTCATCCGCCTCCCACCACCATGTGTAGTTGCCCCATCACGCCGCACATACTCACCCCACCTATCATCGCTTCAAAGCGCATCCTCACCTGCATTCACAGTCATCCGCCTCCCACCAAGTGCACTTCACCCATCGACCCACCGCCATGCCATGTAGGCTTGAGCAACGGGTCGGGTCGGGTCAACATTTGCGGAGGGTCGACCCAACCCTCAGGTACCCGACCCGACCCGACCCGACCCGACCCGACCCGACCGACAAAACCCGACCCGTCGGGTCGGCTTATTACCCGTCCCTGCCCCTATGCCAACCCGACCGGACCCGGCCCGATATCGGGTCAGGTAGCACCCGACCTATTAAACCCGGGTCGGGTTGACATTTCCTGAACTCCGACCCGACTTGACCCGACTTGACCCGACCCAACCCGAACCGACCCGAACCCGACATCGGGCAGGGGCAAGTCGGGTCGGGTCGGGTCGGGTTCATGCTCAAGCTGCCATGTCATGTGCACTTTTCCAACCTATAACCACTTCACAACCCAACCATAGTCACATCATCTGCCCTTCTCCCACCTGTATTCACAGTCATCCGCCTCCCACCAAGTGTAGTTCACCCATCGGCCCGCCGCCATGCCATCAACACATGCCGGCTTCCTCCCCTCCCCGCCCCCCTCCCCTCCTCCTCCCACCACACTCTCAGGAACCCTGGGCGGCATCCCACACAATTGTGACGCACCCTGCGCTCCCCCTACAGTCACACCTCCTCCACTCCCTCCCATATTGTCACCTTCTGCTCCAAACGCACTGGTATCAGCACCGCTGCTTTCAACAGCACCAGTGTTCCCAGCAGCAGCACCCTCTGTTCCACCACCACCACCACCACCACCTGCAGCCGCAGCACCGAAGCCTTCTGAACCAAAAGCACTTCCACCAAAATCCCCATCACCAGGACCCCCCCCATCAGAATCCCCATCGTCAGAATCCCCCTCCAAGTCAGCAACGTTGGCAGCGGTGTCGGGGCGGCGGCAGCAGGAGCAGGGGAGGGAGGGCACGCGGGAGCAGTTGAGTGGACGTATGCAGGTAGCGCAGAAGGTGTCGCACCCGGAGTGATCCTCCAAACGGGAGTGAGAACCAAGACGAGAGTGATTATCCAGAGGAGTGGCGGTAGTGGGGTCTGGATGAGAAGCAGTGGGAGTGTGATCGGCAGGAGTGGGAGCATCAGGGTCGGACAACGGAGGTGGGGAAACTGTGGAAGGGAGGTTGGAGGAGGAGGAGGAGGAGAAGGAGGAGAGGAAGGGGGCGGGAAGCAGGAGCTGCACGAAGGCAGCACGGGCAGCAGCATCGGCTAGAGCTGGCAGGGGCTTGTCCACCTGGGTGCGTGAATGCAGCAAAGGGAAAGGGGGAGGAAGGGTTAATTGCTTGCAAGCATTGAGGGAGGAGGGAGCAGGAAGCAAGAGATGCACGAAGGCGGCACGGGCAGCAGCGTCGGCGAGAGCTAACAAGGGTTTGTCCACCTGCGTGCGTGAATGCAGCAAAGGGAAAGGGGGAGGAAGGGTTGACTTTTGAGTGAATGCATTCACACACTTAAAAGTCACCCAGTGTGTGAATGCAGCAGCAGCAACGAGGAAAAGGGGAGGAAGGGTTGACTGCAAGCGTAGAGGAGGAAGGGAGGGAGTGGGAAGCAGGAGGTGCGCAAAGGCAGCATGGGCAGCAGCGTTAGCTCAAGATGGCAGGGGCTTGTCAACCTGGATACAAGTGATGGGAAAGTTAGAGGAGCACGCAAAAAGAACAATGCACGGCAGGGGGGAGGGTAATGCCAATGGAAAAAGGCTTTTGATCATGGAATATTCATGTTCCTTTTTTAAGTGTGGACATCGGTCTTTAAGAAACGAAGTATCTTTGAAATAATTGAAATCCCTGCCGTCGTTGTACCATCAGGGCTCGTATGGCTTGCTCGAGTGCTTTGGCTGCCTCCTCGTTGTGCTCTTGCTGCCATGCCAACACCACGCCATACCAAGCCATGCCATGTCAACACCATGCCATACAATACCAAGCCATGCCATGCCATACCAAGCAATGCCATACCATACCAAGCCATGCCATGCCATACCAAGCAATGCCATGCCACACCAAGCAATGCCATGCCACACCAAGCAATGCCATGCCAAACCAAGCCATGCCATGCCACACCAAGCAATGCCATGCCAAACCAAGCCATGCCATGCCACACCAAGCAATGCCATGCCATGGCACACCAAGCCATGCCATGCCATACCACGCAATGCCATGCCAAACCAAGCAATGCCATGCCACACCAAGCAATGCCATGCCAAACCAAGCCATGCCATGCCACACCAGGCAATGCCATGCCATACCGTGGAAAACAGAACAGATTAAAGACAGACGGGAGCAGGGAACATGCAATCAATGGGGAGGGAGAGCCCGTCCGAACAGGAATCCACGAAAAAGGCCATGGAACGAGAAGAGGCACGGACACGGAGGGGTGAACGATAGTGAACTGAGAGGTGACTTTTGAGTCGACTCAAAAGTCCCTCAATCAAGGGGGAGAGCCCGCTTGAATCGGGATCCATGAAAAGGCGATGGAACGAGAAGAGGCGCGGAATGCGGAAGGCGGACACGGAGGGGAGAATGATAGTGGACTGAGGGGTTGGAAGGGATGGTACCTGGTCTAGTAGGGTTGCATTGATGTGATCCTGAGGGAAATAAACACAGGAGGTGAGGAGGGGGAGAAACAAGGAGAAGGAGGATTAGAAGGGGGGGGCGGGTGGGTAGGAAGAGCAGGAGGAGGGGGAAGAGGAGAGCAGGGAGGCATGCGGGAGGAGAGCAGGGAGGCATGCGGGAGGAGAGCAGGGAGGCATGCGGGAGGAGAGCAGGGAGGCATGCGAGAGGAGAGCAGGGAGGCATGCGAGAGGAGAGCAGGGAGGCATGCGAGAGGAGAGCAGGGAGGCATGCGGGAGGAGAGCAGGGAGGCATGCGAGAGGAGAGCAGGGAGGCATGCGGGAGGAGAGCAGGGGGGCATGTCGGAGGAGGGGAGGGAGGCATGTGGGAGGGGGGGAGGGAGGGACGAACGGATACTTACCGACAGATCGCACGAGAAATTCACAAAGGAGGATGAGAGCAGAGAGCGCGAGACCCAGGCGACCAGAGCGATTCCCAGGATGGCTTGGACGAGCCAGAAGGTGACGTGGCGGCTGCGCGGTGCTGACGTGGACGGGCGGAAAGATTTCGCAGCTCCACCGTCGTCCATCGCAGCACCATCGACGAACGCGATGAGCGATCTCTACTGAGTCGCCGGGCGAAGCTAATGATCGCTGACGACTCGCCAGGCGACGTTGACGATCGTTCACGACTCGCCTAGCGACGTTGTCAATTTCCGGCAGCCCTCCTAGCTTCGCCAGCAGTGACTGTGGGACACTGACATGGGGAGACGCGACATGTTGGATTGGGTAGATACTAGATAGTAGAAGCCTCGCTTATAGCTACGAAGTAGGCTTCTACAAGTGAGAGAGGATGCAGCAGTCGGTGGACTGGTAGGAATTGTCGTCGCGTTAGGAAGTGGGTAGAATGGTGCTTCGATACTGGCATAGTACACTTGACGAATACACTATCCTGTTGCCATAACGATTTTTTTGTGATTTAGTGAAACTAATGAAATTGGAGCCAATTCGACGAGGCGGGTTGTATCGAGTACGGCATACATGTTCTCTAACTCGATCATCCTGTCTTGCAGCCCGTCGTCTCTGCCGCCACGACCAACCATCGCGAATTCTGGCAGCACGCTGGTACGGAGAGAAACCGTGGAACCAGGAGCAACCGACTCTGAATCAACTGCTCGCTACTCACGGGAAAGGAACCACGAGGAGCTTGCGCTTGTCGCGAATGGTACATGTTTGCCTTGACGTGGCAGCAGATATTGCCACGTGGATTCAGATGCGCTTATCCGCGTATACTCGCAGCAGAATTCGCATATGAAGGATCAGAGTGTTCGTTCCGCGGCAATGAAAAGCGACGTGACTGTAGCGAACGGGGAGCAAGCAGACGAATTCGAGAGGTTCCATCCGGGAAGGCGGAAGGTGTTCTTGTACCCGTTAGAGAGACGGAGTGGATCAGACGAGGAAACTCTCGTTACAGTCACCGTTTTGGATGCTCCCGATGGCGAAGGTGATTCAAACGAGGGCGAAGGCGATTTAAGCGAGGGTGTCAGGAATCCACCTCAGTATGCTCACTTGTTCGCAGCCATGCTCGTGCCACGTGGCAGCGAGAGAGACTGGGTGTACACGTCAGCAGGCGGGCAGTGGCAGCTCCTCCGCAGTGCCAATACAAGACGACTCGTTATAATCACGAGAAGGAATCGCACCAGTCCGATTCAGCAACTCTTTCATGCAAAACCATTTCATTCTCTTAAGCGTAGTACTTACTCTCCTCGCCAACGCAGATTCTCCGCTTCCTCTTCAGCGGCGGCTATGGCTGCTGGTTCTAGGTTCAGGCCCCTCTTTCGGCGATGCTTCCAGAGGCGAATGCTGCAGAATCTGAAGCCAGAAAGGGAGGAGGCAGTTCGGAATAAGGAAGAGAAGAAGCGGAGGAGAATGACCCGCAGGATTAGCGGGAGCAGCGTTAGCAGGTTACAGCAGAGGTCTGTTGGTGCGTGGGTCGGCCAGGGAGGAAGCAAGTGGGAACTGTTGGCAGCGCGTGAGGGGGTTGAAAGCTGCAGAAGCAGCAGGGAGTATGGTGGTGGTGGTGGTGGTGGTGGTGGTGGTGGTGGTGGTGGTGGTGCTGCTGCTGCTGCTGCTGCTGCTGTTGCTGCTAGTGGTGGCGGTGGCAGCAGCTGCTGGGACGGCAGCAGCGGACACGAGGCAAGGCCAGCAGGCCACACGGTATTCATGAGAAGGTTTTCTTCCAAGGGAAGCAAAGCTGCTGGTACCTGTGCTTCGCATGCCTGTGCTGCTGATGCCTGTGCTGCTGATTGCTGCTCTGCTGCTGCTGCTACTGCTGATAGCCCTGGCGGTGATTCGTCACTCAAATCCACCATGGCCGGGCTCCTCACAGCCCTTGCACCGCGGCAGCTCTTCTCTCCCTCACACTCGGTTGAGTCACATTCACCACAGTCACCACCACCCACCACCCCTTGCATCCCATGGCTGGTGTTCCAGGATGATGTGATTGCAAGGAGGGTGGTGCTGCTGGCACACTCTAGACTCACGAGAACCCTATTGGTAGAAGATGTAGCAGTAGCAGTGGCAGCAGATGCTGCATCAGGATTACACAGTGCACCAGCAGTAAACAGTACACATGTCTTTGCAAGCGGGAGTAGTAACCCTAACCCTGGGGGTGGTAACCCTAACCCTGGGGGTGGTAACCACCCTGGGTATGACGACAATCCGTTGATCCCTGTAGTCTTACGCCGACGGCTGCGATTTCAGCGCCTTCCAAATCTTATCCAGTCTGAAGTCCCACTTAATGTAGTCACATCACATTCTCCAACGCCTCCTCCTGTCTCCCCGCTCCATATAGTCACACCGCATACACTCACACCTCCTCCTCTCTCTTCCCCAGGCTCTCCTCCTCCTCCTCCTCCTCATTCCTCCTCCTCCCCGCCCGTCCTGCCAACCTGTTTTGCCCCCTCTTGCCCCTTCACTTCCCCTGTCCGTCTTGCTCCAGACTACTCCTACCTAACTCACAAGTATCTCCCTCCTATTCTTGCTGGTTTCCCCCTCGTTTCTCCTGCTCTTGAGGGAGAGGAGGAAGAAGAGACAGGGGAGGGAGATAGGGCAGGAAGAGAGTGGAGAGAGTGGGAGAGGAATGCGGAGCAGGTTTCAGCAGGGGGGAGAAGGGAAGGAGATACAGGAGGCACAGGAGGCACGGGAGGCACGGGAGGCACAGGGTGCACAGGAGGAGAGGGGAGAAGGCAAGCAGTGCGAGTGCTCGTGTTGGGGGGAGGCGCTTTCACTCTCCCCATTTTCCTGCATTCACATCGACCCGAGTATCACATTCAGGTCAGCTAGCTTCAGTGGAGTCATTTTTTAGAATTCTCAAAAATGCTTTCACTCTCCCCATTTTCCTGCACACACACCGACCCGAGTACTTTTGAGGCGCCTCAAAAGTCCTCAAAAGGCACCTCAAAATTCCTCAAAAGGCGCCTCAAAAGTCCCATTTTCCTGCACGATTTTTGAGGCGCCTCAAAAAAAATTGAGGCGCCTCAAAAATCGACTGAGAAGTCCCATTTTCCTGCACACACACCGACCCGAGTATCACATTCAGGTAAGCTAGCTCTATGACTGGCACAGGAGGAACATGGTGCACAGGAGGAGAGGGGAGAGAAGGCAAGCAGTGCGAGTGCTCGTGTTGGGGGGAGGCTCTTGCACTCTCCCCATTTACCTGTACACACACCGCCCCAACTATCACATCCATTTTTGAGGCGCCTCAAAAATAGACGCCCCAACTATCACATACGGGTAAGCTGGCTTCAGTGGAGTCATTTTTTAGAATTCTAAAGGATGCTTTCACTCTCCCCAGGTACCTGCACTGCACACACACCGTCCCGAGTATTTAATTCAGGCGAGCGACTATCAAGGTTCCTGAGGATAGGCATCTGACCCCCCCACATACTGTCAGGGGTCTAGTCGAAATCCCGCGTGTCAGCTTTAGGCTCGCCGCTTTCTCATCTGTCTCAATTTCCCTGGAATTGACGAGGCAAGAATCGAGCACTGTACCTGTACGTCCCTCCGTTCCCTTCACTCCCCCCAACACCCCTACACCCTAGGTGGTGGAGATTGACTCTCGGATTCACCACGTTCTGAGAGTGGATTCAACAGGGATGGTTTTTCTACTCATTCTGAGCTGAGAGTGTACTTCGGCATGGCTTAAAGGACTCGTCAGGAAAGGGGTTGGTTTCCCAACTCATTCCACCCCCACCTCCTCCCCCCCCACCTCTTCCTCCTCGCTTCTCAATCTCCAGATGGTGGAGATTTGCCTCCCTGATGCACAACATTGCGAGAGTATCAGGGAGTCAATCCATTTAGTCGCAATGTGGTGGAGATTGACTTCTTACTTCGGGCACGGCTGAAGGGAGTGGTCACTGGTCAGGAAAGGGGTTGGTTTCCCTACCCCTACTCATTCCACCCCCCCTCCTCCTCCGCTTTTCTCAATCTCCAGGTGGTGGAGATCGACCCCCTGATGCACCGCATTGCAAGAGATTACTTTGGGCTCGGACACAACGAACGCCCGGAAGGAAGGAGATGGACAGGGATGCAGTCTGAAGAGGCACGAGTTAAGAGGAAGAGGGTGAGGGAGAGAGGGAGCGAGAGGGAGAGGGGGCCAAAGGGGAAGAGGGGAAGGGAGGGGGAAAGGATGGGGGAAGGGGAGAAGGGGGGTGGCATTCACACGCGCATTGGAGATGCGAGGACGTATGTGATGCAACTGGCCGTGCAAATTCGATCAGAGCAGCTGTCTAATCTGCATTTGCAAGGGACACAGGAGAAGGTTCAGTACGAGTCACTGGAGCAGCAGCAGCTACAGCAGGTCAAGGAGCATCATCACCAACAGCAGCAGCAGCAGCAGCAGCAGCAGCAGCAGCAGCAGCAGCAGCAGCAGCAGCAGCGGCGGCAGCAGGGGAGGAAGAGGCAGAGGAACGGACAGGTGTCAGATTGCACTCAACAGCAGCAGGAAGGATTGCGAGCAGTTACAAGCAGCCCACTCCTTTCCGATTCCACCTCTTCTACACCCTCTTCTCTCCAATTTCATGTGGTCGTCCTCGATATAGACTCCTGGGACCCTCGTTCCGGCCTCAATGCGCCTCCGAAAGAGTTCAGTACACCTCAATTCCTCCTCGCACTTGCTACTGTAGTTCGACCAGACGGGCTCCTTGCTATAAATGTTGTTCCCTGGGCAGTTTCCGCCTACCAAACTTTTCTTGGGCAGCTGAGAAAAGCTTTCCCTAGGGGGGAAATGTTTGAGTGTATTGTGCCTGGGGATGTAAATAAGGTGGTGTTTGTTTTGCCTCAACCGCCAGGGGATGAGGATAGAATGGCGTTTGTTGAGAGGTGGAAGGGGCTTGTATCGTTAGATATTATGCAAGGGGTGGTTCCAATATGAGTTAATTCACTTCCTAACCTTCAAAGACTTAAGTTATGCATCAAAGTTGAAGAAGTTGAAACTTCACTATAGCGATGTTATATATGAAGATTTGGATGGCATTTTCTCGATTCCTTATCGGTATAACTGTATGCAGTTTCCACTTCGCGTACAATGCGTTTGCGCCACTGTCACACACTCATTCATGCTCACCATCGCGCCACCCCACCCAGAAAGCGAGCTGAGTAGAGCTAGCCACCAGGCACAAATTTAATATCACTTGCTCGTTTCGCAGGCACAAGCTAGCGTACGTTGCGTTCGGTCAGACGAGGTTAGTAGGTGCGAGAGTGAGGGTGGGGATAGAGGTCACTTTTGGGCCGACTCAAGTGGGGTTGGAGACAGACGACGGAGGACGTGGACGTGCCAATTTGTCAGAGTGAGGGTTTGAGGTCTTGCTGATTTGCTCGCCGCGTGAAACGCCGCACATGGCGGGATCGCACGAGCCAGCGCACGTGCTGCACGAGCTGACCGAAGCAGGCGATCTCGATCTTCTTTCCGCGATCTTCGCCAGGCTGCCGTTCAAGACGCTTCTGGCCGCTTCGCAGGTACCGTAGTTTTGTAACGTAGTAACATCTCAATTAGTGCCTGCACGAATCGGCGTGCGCTTCGCCTTTTTCAAGCTGTCCCGTGATCTTCACCGAATTGCCGTTAAAGACGCTTCTGGCTGCGGCGCAGGTGCCTTGGTTTTGTAACGTAGTAACATCTCAATCAGTGCATGCTTACATCGCGAACCTCTGTCCGCGATTGTCGCCAAGCTGCCGATTAAGACGCTCCTGGCCGCGTCTCAGGTACCCTTCCTGCTGCTGAGCAGCCGCGGCTGCATCGGATGTACAAAACTCAAGCCAACACAATTAAACGCCCTACTAGGGTGTGAGATGGTACTAAAAGTCACACTTAGTAACATCTCACACCCTCTTCTTCCCCTTGCCCTTTGGTGCAGGTGTGTTGCCTCTGGTCGCAGGCGAGCGAGCATCTCTTTCAGAGGGAGTGCGAGAGGAAAGGGTGGAAACCACCCAGACGACCCCGAGGACAGACAGAACTGTCGTCCTTTCGCCCTGTAAGCTTGAGCTTTCTGCCTCCATCCATCTCCCTTTCTTAATAAATTTAAATAGCAGAACTATCACTTGCCTGTCGACCTGATTGCATCGGGTATTTTTTAGTATTCTCAAGAACACTCTGCACAACTCAAAGAGCAGAACTGTCTCGTTTGCCTGTCGATCTGATTGCGTCGATTTCCTTTATCCAACTCCCTTCCTGCCCCTCTCTTTTCTCCTCCTCTCTTTCCTCTACGAACATGCACCTTCCACTTCACAGGTGAATCTCTCTTTTCACAGCTGCTCCATGTATCTCACTTCGTATTCTCATTCCTTGCCTTATGCTTTTTTTCTGCCACCATGCGGTTCAATTTAGGCGCCTCAAAAATAGACTCCTCATGCATGAAGGCGTACTCTCATTCCTGCCTTATGTCTTTTTCTTCCACCATGCGGTTCTACCACTGGTGCTGCTTCCCTTGTCCGTATCCCCTATGTTACCCTTTCCCTTCTCCTTTCCCTTCCGCCTCCTCCTCTTCTTGCTCCCCTCCCCTGTCCCCCAGTGGCGCCCTCTCTTCTTCCCCCGTGCCTGCAAGTTCTGCGGCGGCCATGGGGGAAGTTCACTATCTCACTCACACGCCTTCCAGCTCCTCCTTCCTGGTGCTTCCTTCGTGCACTCTTAACTGTAATCTTCCCCGTTCTCTCCCTTCCCCCCCCCCCTTCCCCCCCCCTTCCTCCTCCCCCAGTGGCGCTCGCTCTTCTTCCGCCATGCCTGCAGGTGCTGCGGCGCCCATGGGGAGTTCATAGTCCGACACGCCAAGCCCTCCCCCTCTTGCCCTCCTTACTGTGCTCTCCTCTCCGCCCCCCTTCCCCTTTCCCCCTTCTCCCCTTCCCCCTCCCCCCAGTGGCGCTCGCTCTTCTTCCGCCATGCCTGCAGGTGCTGCGGCGCCCATGGGGAGTTCATAGTGCGACACGCCAAGCCCCCCCCCCCCGGCCCTGCTTCCTCCGACCCTGCTACACCTTCGGTTTCTGCTTCCAAGCATTCTGATTCTGCCCACCACCACCCCACAGCCGCAGCAGCTGACAAACCCTCTTCCACCAAACTCCGTGCCCCTCAAAAACTTCAAAATCCACAAAAGAAGTTGCTTGTATCGAATCCGCATGCGTCTAGAGACCTGTGGTTCCTGCTGTGCCTGCAGTGCACGCGCCTGCCAGGTGTCCAGCTGCGATTGGTGCGGCTGAATGCGTGCGTGGACACTGTTGGGATAACAGGGTCGCGACTGGGATGCAGGGAGCAAGATCGTTCTGTGAAGAGGAAGAGGAAGCAGGAGAGGAGTGGGAGGAGGAGGGGAGATCAAGCAGAATACACTGCGTGAGAGAGGAGGGGGGAAGCATTTCACTGCGTTTGTGGACGCCGTTGGGGTGACAGGGTCGAGATTGGGATGCAGGGGGTGGTTGCGAGAAGAGGAAGAGGAGGAAGCAGGACTGCGATGGGGAAATGCAGGTGTGTGTGGCACGTGGTGGGAGAAGGGGAGGAGAAGGAGAAAAGCAAATATTAGCATTTTTAGTGCGATTTGTGGATACAGCTGGGGTACAGGCTACAGCGTACAGGGTTAAGGTTGGGGTGCAAGGCCAAGTGACTTGGGTGTTTGGATTTGTAGTAACGTGGGAGAAGCATGAGCACAGTTGACCGACGAGACGAATGTGCTGGTGTTTTTGTGTTAGGTCGATGGGTTTGAACGTGTTTCTTCCAGCTGCTCGTAAAGTCTTTTTCTAATCATTAATGCACATTCTTGATTTAAGGAACACAAACAATAAAGTATATTATTTAATGTGTTGAATAAGCATGTCCTTGTGCCAACTACAATAAGAGTGGTGCTCTCTACCAGACACCGCCTGGGTAGCCAAGTGCCACTTTGTAGCGGGGAACTTTGGTGCAGCATTTGGCTCTGCCCTGCACTCCCCGCACTCCCTCCTAGTTGCCTAACAGACAAGAGGGCCAGAAGGAGGCTCGGGCCAGAAGTAAGCTCCCGTCACTACTCCAAAGCTATGGCCGCAATGTGCGTTTTCGCCTCGCCGCTCTGGCGTCTCCAGCGTCTCCGGCTTTCTCTCCTCCTCGCTCCTCTCCTCCTCGTTCTCTCGCTCTCTCCCCGCGCGTCCCGTGCCTTGTATTCTCGTCCGTACGATCCCATTCCCGCCGTCGTGCTGCCGGCTTTAAGTCCCGAAGACGTCCCGCTCCCTTTTTGGGGCACGAGTGTGACTAGTATGAAAGTTTCGATGAACGCGTCGCTCGTGCGTGCTTATAACGGGGACGACAAGAATAATATCGTCGTCAATATCGAGGGCCAGGGCCCCATTCCGTTCTCGCTGTCGCGGTGGAATCAGGGGGATTTCGCGCCGAGGCTCGCGCCCAGGCACCCGTATTCGCAGACGAACCTCGGTATTCCCGGGGGAAAGGATGGTTACCAGTCGGATAACCCGATGGAGTTTCCCCTTCAGGTAGGATTTTGTAGGAAATATTTCATTAATTTAATAAAATGTATATGCCCTGTGTTCTAGTGTTGATTTTCAGCTTCAACTAGTGCGTTTTCCCCTGTTGGGGATGGGGGAGATGAAACGAACCGACTCTGGATGGATAGTCCATGGTGTGGTGTGGTGTGGTGTGGTGTGTATCTGTCTGTCTGTCCGAACCTGGCTCTCAGGCTTGGCGTCCGAGCTTGGACAAGGGTGTGGTGCTCGGCTCGGTGGCTCAAAACGGGCAGCAGTGGGACGATGGCGCCCCTTTCTTTTATGGCACCGTGGTGAGTGAGTGAGTGGTGGTATGGTGCGTAAATCTACTGCTTTTGAGTCGGCTCAAAACGGGCAGCAGTGGGATGATGGCGCCCCATTCTTCTATGGCACCGTGGTGAGTACATAGAGATTCGCCCCATGTCATCACATTCATTGGCATGCCATGCCATGCCATGCTATTTAATGCCAGGCCATGCCATGCCATTTAATGCCAGGCCATGCCATGCCATTTAATGCCAGGCCATGCCATTCAATGCCATGCCATGCCATTTAATGCCAGGCCATGCCATGCCATGCCATCCCGTTCAACCCGAGCCCATTTTACCCGTTGCTCTCCCCCCTCCTGCAATTTTCCCTGTGCAGTCATGCATATACGACTCACACGGTTACGGTTACAGGTGCGATAACCTCCACCTTGGCTCCGTTTTTCCCAATTGGTACCTTTGAAAGAACTACAACTAGGTGATTTTTGAGTCGACTCAAAAATCTTTGAAAGGACTACAACTAGCTGTTGTTACTTAGTCGACCCTAGCTGTCTGCACTGGGTGTTGCTGCGAATAATCTCACTCTCCTTCCTTCCTTTCCACCATATCTCCTATCTCTGTCTTTTCTCTGGCCTCATCCTCTCCTATCCGTATCTATCTCCTATCTCCTTTCTTCCTCCCCACCTCATCCTTCCCCTCCCGTGCTCGTTTTGCTGTTCCTTCCATAGTATTCCCTGGTCAGGAAAAGTTTTGAGGCGCCTCAAAATTTGTTCCTTCCATAGTATTCCCTGGTCAGGAAAAGTTTTGAGGCGCCTCAAAATTTGTTCCTTCCATAGTATTCCCTAGTCAGGAAAAGTTTTGAGGCGCCTCAAAATTTGTTCCTTCCATAGTATTCCCTGGTCAGGAAAAGTTTTGAGGCGCCTCAAAATTTGTTCCATCCATAGTATTCCCTGGTCAGGAAAAGTTTTGAGGCGCCTCAAAATTTGTTCCTTCCATAGTATTCCCTGGTCAGGAAAAGACCCTGGAACCAGGGGGGTGAAAAATGCTGCATACACGCAGCATTTACCCATGCTCATCTTGCCTTTTCCCCAGCCTCATACTTCCCTTCACGTGCTCATCCCACCGTCCCCCTCATGTTCATTAAAGAAAGAAAGAAAGAAAGAAAATAAAAACAGCCTGAACTTTTTGTTCAACTGTGTTTCCCACACACGGAATCCTCACCAAACAGCCTGAAACTTTGGAACCCCCAGGGTGTTTTTGAGAATTCTCAAAAACATCCTGCAAAATCAGGGTGTTTTTTAGAATTCTCAAAAACACCCTCCTCACCAAACAGCCTGAAACTTTGGAATCCCCACCCGCCTCAGAAAATTTATCCAGCTCCCCCCCTCGCACACTGCATGAGCACAGGAGAGTTTGGCATTTGAACTTGAACTCGCCCCTTGACTTTCCTCCCCCCCTCGCCCTCCCTGCTACCCGTCCCTTGTCACTCGACCCTTGTGCACCCTCGCACACACACAGCATGGATACAGGAGAGTTTGGCAACGATAATCCCAACATCGACAGTACGTGCCTCGCTGCATGCGTTCATGTAGCAGTACGTGCCAGGCTGTGTTAGGTATTTTAAATTCCTAGAACATACCTAACACATTGACAGCACATGCGTCAGTGCATGCCTGTGTTGACTTTTGAGTCCATTCAAGTTGTAGGTGGTTTTTTAGAATTCCAAACAATATCAGGTCATGTGTTGACTGTTGAGTCCATTCAAGAGTCAGTCATTTGTGCTCCGTGCTTGTTCTCTCCTTCATCTCCCCCCTCTCCCCCCTCCCCCCTCCCCCCTCCCCCTCTCCCCCCTCCCCCTCTCCCCCCTCCCCCCTCCCCTCTCTTCTCCAATGACTTCTCTATGTTCTCATCTAATGCCCCTTTTGGTTCCTGTGAGCCCTCTCTGTTGCTTCCGATTTCCATGTGTTTCTGTTTGCATGCGGCTTAGACGAAGCATTAAGACTACCATCACGAGAGCACTGCCCCTTGCCAATATCTCCCTCCCTGCGACTGCTTTTGAGTGGACTCTCAAATGCCTTCAATTTCATTTCAATGTCTTCGTCACTTCAAGCAACTGCTTCCCGCCTTGTTTTGCTATCACTTGCTGTGTGTGTTACTCTCAGTTGCTATTGGGAAAGCAGGGGAGCAGGACGAAGGAAACATCGATGTCTCCATAGCATGGTTTCCTTACCACCAAGGCACGTATAGCGGCTACAGTAAGACCCGTTACACACAGAGTTTGTTGTCCTTGTTTGTAACATGAAAATCAACATCGATGTCTCCATCGCATGGTTCCCCTACCACCAAGGCACGTGAAATGGATGGTAGCAGCAGTAGTACAACCCCCGGTGAACACAAGGTACCCACTCCTGCATCTGACTTTCTCAGCTGCTATCAATTTTGGCGGAATGTAGGATGAAGGCAACGTCAGTGTCTCCTTCACATCGTTCCCATACCACCAAGGTGATTAAGTTTTGATAAGGTGATTAAGTTTTGATAAGGTGATTAAGTTTTTATAAGGTGATTAAGTTTTGATAAGGTGATTAGGTTTTGATAAGGCACCTCAAAACCATGCCACCAAGGTGATTAAGGCTTCTTGAATCAACTTAATAATTGGTAAAGGGGGACAGCAGGATGAATGGAGGTAGCATTGACATCTCTATTGCAGGGTTCCTCCCATACCTCTCTTCCCTTTTTTTCCCACAGGCTGGACGGCTGGGTATGTGGATGCTCCTTCTTAATTGGACAAGGGCGGAGAGGCCAAGTGGGCCACCAACGCGCCCCACTCGCCCAACCTCCCAAGTGACCTCTCTCGCATTCTGCGCTGGGACAAGCAGGGAGCTAGTCGATTCTTGAGGCGCCTCAAAGCTGGAGCCAGTCTGAGCTGTCGTTCCCAAGCCCTGGCATTCTCTCCTCCCTACCCTTCCCACAGGCTGGACGGCTGGGTATGTGGACGCTCCCTCAGAGCTCAACAAGGGCGGGGAGGCCAAGTGGGCCACCAACACGCCCCACTCGCCCAACCTCCCAAGTGACCTTCTCAACGCAACCTCCCGCCCACCTTCTCCTTCGCCTGTCGCCCCTTTTGTCCCCCAGGCTGGACGGCTGGGTACGTGGATGCTCCCTCGGAGTTAGACAAGGGCGGAGAGGCCAAATGGGCCACCAACGCGTCCCACTCGTCCAACCTGCCAAGCGACCTTTCCCGCATTCTGCACTGGGACAAGCGCGGAGCCAGTCTGGAGCTGCCAGGTGTCAACCCGTCACGGGACGGCATGCTCTTCCTCACCTCGTGAGTGAGATTCATGCTTTTCGTTAAGGATTGCCTCCTTGCTATATTTGTAGCCAGCCATTAAGCGTTAGGGTGGGCTGCAGCGAAGAGGAAAACTTTTAGCAAAGCCCACCCATGCTAACGCTTAATGGCTACAGATTCATGCCTTTTCGTTTAGGATTGCCTGCCCATTATATTATAACTCGGTGACTTTTGAGTCGACTCAAAAGTCACTTTATATTATAACTCTACCAGCGGGGAGTGGGTCTGGTTTCTGTTTTCTTCTTCGATTCACCTTCTCACTGCCACGAACTCTTTCACTCTTTCGCCGTTGATTGCAGCACGGACCCGGGTCAGTGGAGCAACGAGCTCAACATAATGAGCACCTACGTCAAGAGAAAGTGCGTGAGTGAGTAGGTAGGACATGCGTTGTAATGTGACTGTACAGAATGTGCTCTTATCCCTGCTCGGAGTACGGACTTGGGTCAGAGGAGCAACGAGCCCAACATCATTAACACTTTCGTCAAGAGAACGTGAGTGAGTGACACGGGTTGTACTGTGACTGTACACAGGGTGCTCTGATCCCTGATAGGAGGACGGGCCTGGTCAGTGGAGCAACGAGGTAAACATAATGAGCACCTATGTCAAGAGAACCAGAGTGAGTGAGTGAGTGAGTGAGTGCGTGAGTGAGTGAGTGAGTGAGTGAGTGAGAGAGGGGGGGGTTGCGGTAGTGTAGTGTGACTGTAAGTAACGTGCCCCAATGCCTGCTAAGCGCATGGCTTTCGACCATGGAATTGAGCCTAGCACAATCATCACCTTTGTGACACTATAGTGAATCTGCTGAATGCCGTCTGACTGTAAGAATTGTGCTCTTATTCCGCCACGGGGGGACACATTCCCTCTTCCTCCTCCTGTATTCCTACGTCCTTTTCCTTCCGTCCCTTTCCTTCCACCATCAGTGCCCGTGGGTGGTCTATTTTCGAGGCGCCTCAAAAATAGACACGATCAGTGCCCGTGGGTGGCGCATCCAGGCGCGGGAGGACGCCTTCGGGGATGAGAATGAGCTGGTGGGGAGTCTGGCATCTCTTTCTATGGAACCTGAAGGACAGTTCCGCCCATGCCTCCCCTCCTCCTGACATCCTTCCCGCCCCTCCTGGGACTGCCAGTGGCCGCAGGTGGCGCATCCAGGCACGGGAGAACGCGTTTCGCAATGTGACTGAGCTAGAGGAAACTCGAGTCCCTTCTTCCCCTCTGCTCTCCACCTGCTTCTCCCTCCCCCCCCACTCCCCAGTGGCCGCGGGTGGCGCATCCAGGCGCGGGAGGACGCCTTCGGGGATGTGACGGAGCTTGTGGAGAGTCAGGAGCACATGTTCGCATTCCTCTACATCCCGTTCACCGCTCCTGGGTACGGGAACACCACCATTGCTCCTTCCTGGGTAGGAAGGTCCTCTAGACTAGCGCTGTGTGCTTTCCTCTATGCCTCTCTGTACCTCTCTATGCCTCTCTGCACCTCTCTGTAGCTCTCTCCTGGGTGCTTCTCTCATCCGCAACCTAATAGGAGCCACCGTAGCAGCAGATGACTCAGTGGTGCATGTCACAGGGATATCATATGCCGACACCTTGTTACTGCGATTTATTAATCAATTGTCTCTCCCCCCTCCTCCCCCCCCCTCCTCCCTGCTGCAGCCTAGTAGGAGCCACCATAGCAGCCGATGGCTCAGTGGTGCATGGAGCAGGGGTGTTCACATGCACTGGGCATGTGAACAGTGGTGCATGTGAACAGTGGTACATCCCAGTGACTGGGCACTGGGATGTACGAGATCAGCATCTCTCTCCATCTCCTCTCTCCCCCACCCCCTGCTGCCCCTCCTTCTCCCCCATCGGCAGCCTTGTAGGAGCCACCATAGCAGCCGATGGCTCAGTGGTACATGGAGAAGGCGTGTTCACATGCAAGCGATTGGCTACTGGGATGTACGAAATCAGCATCTCTCTCCATCTCCTCTCTCCCCCACCCCCTGCTGCCCCTCCTTCTCCCCCATTGGCAGCCTTATAGGGGCCACCATAGCAGCCGATGGCTCAGTGGTGCATGGAGCAGGCGTGTTCACATGCAAGCGACTGGCTGCTGGGATGTATGAGATTACCATTGGCGACGAGCACAAGACACACAAGTGAGTGAAAGGGATGAAGAAGGGTGTAGTGCGGTGACAAGCATACAGACGTGGGTACTGCTGGATACGGCAATAAGCACAAGGCATACATGATACAAGTACGGTGAAGGTGCGGAAAATGGTGGGGAGTGAGAAGGGGCTTAGGGGATGGTCTGTCCACCACATGCCTTACGTGCTCGTCTGCAGAGTTGGCGTCAGGGGCATAAGCAACGAGCGCCATGGTAATAATCTCTTGCTTCTTGAGGGACTCTGTCACTAGCTACTAGTTACCACCGTCAAGGTTATGCTCCCCTGGTTACCGCATGCCTTACGTGCTCGTCGGCAGAGTTGGCGTCGGTCGCATAAGCAACGAGCGCCATGGTAATCATCTCTTGCTTCTTGAGTCTGCTGATCGCCACATCCCGCTCGCCTCCGGAATAACCTCTCAGCACAGCCAGGTTCGGCAGCGAGCGCACCCGCAGGCTCTGAAGGAACTAGCTTAGAAGAGAAAAGATTGAATTGAGTAGGGAGCCAAGAGGCTCTTTTGTACAAAAACAAGGAGCAAGGAAGAGTTGGAAGGGAAGCTCTTCTATTGGTCACAAAGTGGACCAATGGGAGAGGTTGCTTGTAGGGCAAGCAACCACAAAGTGTGGTGCTCTCCAATTGGCCACAATGTGGACCAATGAGAGATATTGCTTGGAAGGCAAGCAACCACAAATTGTGGTGTTGGGTGATTGGTTGGTTCCTAGGACCAAGGACCATTTGGTTGGAATAGTTCCAACCAAATGTCTATGACCAAATCCAATCTTGACCAACCCAAATGTGGGGTTGGTCAACCCAACCAACAACCCCCCAATAATTATAATGACTACACCTCCTAATCTAGGCATGCATGTTGTATAGATATATATTTTACAACAGGCTCGCCACTAGCGTCGGCTGCAAGCTCCGCCCGAAGCTCGGGTCCATGTAGGCACGTGGGTACTGGGTACAGGAAATGGATGTGTGAGTGATGAGGCGGGACGACAGCAACAGGCACTATGCCCGGCATGCCTGCCTGTCATACAACTTCACGGCGCAGGGGTCCTCGCTGGTGTGGAGGGGCATCGGCTGGTGAAGGAACCCTCTCACAAGGACGCAGGGGTCCTTGCCTGCTGGTGGAGGGGCATCGGCTGGTGAAAGACTAAGAAACCGTCCTGTCGAGTCAACTTTACCTCCTCGTTTCCCTCTCCCCCTTGCATTCTTCTCCCTCTCTGCCCCTTGTACCTTGCATTCGTCCCTACTGTTTCAGCGACTGCATCCTTCTATTGCAGGTGCTGGGGCGGGACGACAGCAGCACGCGCAGGTGTCCCTACCTTGCAGTCGTCCCTACTGTCCCTACTGTTGCAGGTGCTGGGGCGGGACGACTGCAACATGCGCGACGCCCGACATGCCTTCTTCTCAAACCCCCCCCCCCCCCCCCCCCCCCTCACTCGTATTTCGTTCTCTCCCACTCTCTCACTCTTCGTCAGGGACGGCGTGGGCCGGGATGACAGCAGCAGGCACTACGGGCGGCATGCGCTCACTCCCACTCTCAATCCCCCCCCCCACCCGTATTTTGCTCTCTCCCACTCTCTCACTCTTCGTCAGGGACGGCGTCCTTTTACTCCAAGTGATGGGGCGGGATGACAGCAACAGGCGCTACGCTCGGCATGCCTTCCTGTCCGTCCGTCTCATCTCTCCTTCCCCTCATCCCAATCCCCTCTGCTGCCGTGTCCCTACAATTGCCAGTGACGGCATTCTCTTGCTGCAAGTGATGGGGCGGGACGACAGCAACAGGCACTATGCCCGACACGCCTTCCTGTCGTACAACTTCACAGCACAGGGATCGGTGCTGGTGGAAGGGCATAGGCTGGTGAAGGAGCCCTCTCAGATGTTTAAGGAGACGTTTCCATACACCGATACAGGTACGATGTGCTTGTAATGAGTTGTCTCGCAGCCAGGATGAGAACAAGGGCACAGGGGTCCTTGAGGAGGGGCATAGGCTGGTGAAAGAACCCTCCAAGATGTTCAAGGAGACGTTTCCGTACACCGATACAGGTACGATGTGCTTGTAATGAGTTGTCTCCCAGCCAGGATGAGAACAAGGGCACAGGGGTCCTTGAGGAGGGGCATAGGCTGGTGAAAGAACCCTCCAAGATGTTCAAGGAGACATTTCCGTACACCGATACAGGTACGATGTGCTTGTAATGAGTTGTCTCGCAGCCAGGATGAGAACAAGGGCACATGGGTCCTTGAGGAGGGGCATAGGCTGGTGAAAGAACCCTCCCAGATGTTCAAGGAGGCATTTCAGTACACCGATACAGGTAAGATGTGCTTGTAATGAGTTGTCTCGCAGCCAGGATGAGAACAAGGGCACATGGGTCCTTGAGGAGGGGCATCAGCTGGTGAAAGAGCCCTCCCAGATGTTTAAGGAGACGTTTCCGTACACCGATGCAGGTATGCTGGACTCGTGTTGAGATGCTTGCTTTAGAGATGGCTCAGAACGGGGATGGTAGCAACAGGGTTGCTTCACCAGCAGCAACGGGGTGGTCCATGCTCGTGGGAGGGGCACAGGCCCAGTGAAATGTTCAAAGAGACGTTTACACTGATACAGGCACTACAAGGGCGTGTATTGTAGTAGTAAGAAACCTGTTATTAGAGCGTGTTGCAGTGCAGACCAACCTTGACAAGTCTGCTTTTGAGTCGACTCAAAAAACAATCTTGACAAGAGCTCCTCCCTCTTCCCCTGCGCCCCCTTCTCTACACCCCCCCCATTCCCCCCCCCTCCGCCTCCTCTCTCCCCACTCAAGTTTGACCTCTGTCCCATGCCGTGCCGTGCCATGCCGTGCCGCCCTTCAGGATTTGCTTTTGTGCGGGTTGCCATGCAACAGTCGCAGTCCCACCCTCCGTCTCCATTCCCCCTCCCTCCCTCCCTGCCGCCCCTTTTCTTTCCCGTCTAGCAGACTTCGCTTTTGTGTGGGTCGATTTTTGAGGCGCCTAAATCTCCATTCCCCCTCCCTCCCTCCCTGCCGCCCCTTTTCTTTCCCGTCTTGGCAGACTTCGCTTTCGTGTGGGTCGACTTCCGCAACCCTCTCAGTCCCACACTCCGCTCCTACACTGGTAGGCACCCAACCCCATACACGCTTTCCTACTATTTGAGTCGACTAAGAAACCCCCCTACACTGGTAATCACCCAACCCCATACACTCTTTCCTACTATTTGAGTCGACTAAAAAACCCTCCTACACTGGTAATCACCCAACCCTGTGCGCTCCTCTCCTACACTGCTACACTTCCTACTATGTGGGTGCCCTAATCTCTCTTTCCTAACCTTCCATGCTCCCCTTCCATGCTCCCCTTCCATTAGCTTGAACTCTGTTCTTTCCCTCCTCCCACACTCCCTCCCTCCCTCCCTCCCTCCCTCCCTCCCTCCCTCCCTCCCTCCCTCCCTCCCTCCCTCCCTCCCTCCCTCCCTCCCTCCATTCATTCCTTACCTCTACTATCCTCTGTTCTCCAACCGTCCAACCTAACCTCTTTATTTCCTCCCTCCATCCCTTTACCCTATTTATTCCGGGTTCCATTTTTCAAATTGCTTTTATTACTCACAATCTGGGATAAGGTGGAATATTTCTGGAACAACATTGCTAATCGTAACTTTGTTTGGCTTGAATTCACAGGGCCTCTCCCAGAGCGCCTCTCCGGTTACCGCTTTTGGAGTGGCATCGTTACGGGAATAGTCGCCATGGCAGTGGCGACTGTAGCAGCTCTCTTCTTCCTCTCCTACTACTCCATCTCTCAAGTAAGTGTGGAGACTTTAATTCCCATACTCAACTCAAATCCACAGGCCCTCTCCTGGCCCGCCTCTCCGGTTACCGCTTTTGGAGCGGAATTGTTACAGGAATAGTTGTGGCGACCGTAGCAGCTTTCTTCGTCCTCTCCTACTACTTCAGGATATAAGAGACTTAAGCTCAAGTAAGTACGAAGTAAGTACGAAGCTTCAGGATATAGAGACTTAAGCTTCAGTGCACTTCGTTAACCTCTCGAACAACCCATATAAAACTGCACCGCTTCACCAGTCTTCCATGTAGGGTGATTTCGTCCGTACACAACTTCACTTTCCTTGCTGCCTCCTTGACCCGCCTCTCCACTGTCGCAGAGTTGGCCATGGTACATACCCACTCAGAATCATTTTTTAGAATTCTCATAAATGCCTCCTTGACCCACCTCTCCACGGTCGCAGAGGTGGCCATGGTACCGAGGTGACTTTTGAGTCGACTCAAAAGTCACCACGGTCGCAGAGGTGGCCATGGTAGTACCCCCTGTGAATATTAACCAGGAATATACTTTTGAGGCGCCTCAAAAGTCGCAGAGGTGGCCATGGTAGTACCCCCTCTGAATATTGACCAGGAATATTTTCTCCTCCCCCTTCTGCTCCAGCCGATGATTTTTTAGGCGCCTCAAAAATCTTCTGCTCCAGCCGATGGAGCCCCTAGACTAGACACGAGGAGACCTGAGGAGACCCTAGACCTGAGACCCCTCCCCTCGTTCTCCTGAATTCATCGAGCTCTTGTTTTCCCTCGTCCCTTCTGCAATGAATTATACTTTTGCCTATCCTCCTCCCCTATCTCCACCTATCTGCAGGTGCCCTCTGTTTTCACTCCTCTGACGTCGCTCCAGCCTACGCAGTCTGTATCTGCAGAAACCGAGTTGGCAGAGGAGCTGCTGAGGGGGGTGTACATTAATGCTGAGGATTAGATATGTACAGTGCACTTCGGATTTATTTTTATGAACTTATGGGTAACCACAGAAGCCAGTTCTTGATCTGCAAAAAAAAAAGGGTTCCCAAAAGAAATTTTTTTGGGGGTAGTGTACATTTATGCAGAGTAAATGTCCACACTGATTTGTTTTGTATCTAAGTGCAGATCAGAACAATACATGGCCGTGTGCCCTATTTCCATATGCTTAATTGATGGTGAGAAGAGCTGATTTTATTGTTTAACCAATCATGCAGTGTACATAATAGAGCACATGAATTGAGTAGAACAGTGTGCTCGTTTGACACACTCCGAAAAGCAGTAGAATCACGGTATGAAACAAGTAGCCATGTGTCTCCCACGTAGTTCCACTCATGCCAACCTCCTCCACGTCTAAAACCACAGCCGAGTCTTCCCACCATCCCATGCTGTCCGCATCTGCCACTAAGTCCACTTAAAACCACTGTACACGAGCCACTGTTGCCTCAAAATCCATCCGCAGGTTCATGAAACAAGAAGCCATGCCCCTCCCATGTGGTTCCATTCATTCCAACCTCCTCCACATCTAAGCCCACAGCCGAATCTTCCCACCATCCCATGCCGTCCGCATCTGCCAGGCGCATAAGGAAATAGTGAGTCAGATGAAATGAGACCGAGTCCCAGGGGATCAACCAAGAGAGTTCATTATCAGCCTCCACACCACATCCACACCCGCAGAAGAAGATTTTTCCCTCCATCTTATTGCGTACCCATTGTCACGCATAGAACCTTGGGCACATGCATTCGCGGAGAGGGCGGCATACTCATGCATGAAATATATTCATGCAATAAAACCACAAGAGGATCAACATGCGAGTTGACTGACTGAAAGATAACTCCAAAATGGACTCACAAAAGGGAACTGGAAACGGCGGCATGATGCAACAAGCAAACGAGGATGGATGAGTAAAAAGAACACGCACAGTGGTTGAAATGGGGACGTTTTGTGGAGCACGGTCCTTGGCTGCTAGTCAACACTCGTTGTTTCCTTTTGCTTCCCCTCCGCTGCTCGCCTGCTGTATCATCCCCTACCCTTCCCCCACCAGTCCCTACTCTTCCTCCACTCGTGACATCCCCTCCGCCAACTCCTTCATTTTCACTAAGCACAAGCACTCGGGAGGACCGCTGGGGAGGACGCACGCTGCTATGGCTCCTGGCACCCGCACTAGCACGAGCACTGGCGCTGGCGCTGGCACTGGCACTGGCACTGGCACTGGCCGGATTCCTCACATTCCTGTCACAAGTCACATTTCTCGCACGAAACAAATCCTTGTCAGCAACCATGTCTATGGAATCACTGTCATGGCTCCTCCTAGCATCGTCATTTAAGAAGGCTGCTGCACCGCTGCTGCTCGGTTGTGCTGCATCCCTGCTGCTTGGTTGTGCTGCACCGCTGCTGCTTGGTTGTGCTGCACCAATGCTGGCACGAACTGCACACTCGCGCTTGTCGCCAAGAGTGGTCTGAGCCCTCTGTCGCACTGCCCTCACTGTTGAAACGGTTGGTGCTTTGTTGCTTGGGCGTGCTGTCCTGTTGCTGTCACGAGCTGCACACTCGCTGTGCATCAATGGAGTGTGACTATGTCGAGACGCATCTGCTAAGATGTTAGACTGCTGCTTCAAAACTTCCTGATGCTGCTCCTTCGCTGGCTGATCATCACACACCAAAAGTGGGGAGATGGAAAAAAAACATCTTTAGATGGGTGCAAGGGTCCAAAAGGATCCAGCTGATTCGAAGGCTCTTGAGATAAACTAAAATTACAGCGTTTACAGAATTGAAGTAAAAAAAAAACTTAAAAAAAAAAGGGAGTGGCCTACCTTGGTGCGAATCTCAGATGGCTGTGAGGATGAGCGGCGAGGGGGATGAGCGGCGAGAAGGGAGACAAGAAAAGGGTTGCTTAGAGGCGTCTTAGAGCGGCCTACCCTGGTGCAAGTCTCGGATGGGAGTGAGTATGAGCGGCGTGGAGGTTGAGCAACGGAATGCAGAAGGGAGAAAATCGAAGGGTTGCTATGAGGCATCTTAGAGTGGCCTACCTTGGTGCAAGTCTCAGATGGCTGTGAGGTTGCGCAGCGAGGGGGATGAGAAACGGCGTGGAGGAGAGAGAAGAGGGAAGGGTTGCTTTCTCGAAGGTTCGGTGCGTCCACCGATACCCGCGACCTGAGATTATGAGGAGTGGGCGAGGCAGCGGCGAACGGTAGAAGGATGCATAGGTAAGTATTACTGATTTAAAGGATTGCTGTCCCGAAATTGTGGTGCATTCCTTGATACCCGAGACCTGAGATTATGAGGAGTGGGCGAGGCAACGGTGAAAAAGAGCAGGGAAGTGCTATTGTCTTAAAGGGTTGCTGTCCCAAAATGATGGTGCATGGACCTAATGTGAGGTGTGGACGGAGTAAGGGGGAATAGGAGGAGGAAAGGTAAATGGAATGTAATTACCAATCAAAGACATATGATACTGGTTCAGAATACGTTACCTCTTCTGAGAGAAAGCTCCATGTAACGTGAGTTGCCCGGACATTCCGCAGCTGAATCAGCCGAGTTAATCAGCCGCGTCGTAATAAAATCGTCGTTGAAAAAAGGTCGCGTAAAAGAATTCGTCCCTGACCTAAAATCGGCCCCAACAGCTCGCCAGGGACCCAAGTTTCTAGAACCTGGGGCAAGTGTTTTACAGTTGGTTGGGAAAAAAACAGGTTTTGTGTCGCGAGGGTGCGTGAATTGCAACACTCGCAGGCGATTTCACGGTGCCTACAGCTCGCCGGCTAAACTTGGGTCCCTGGCTTTAATCGATGCACGATAGCCTACTCGTATATCCCACGCTAACCAAGAGACTAGTGATGCTTGCGGGAGCGCAATAGAATGTGAAAGAAATAAATGGATTAGCTGTTGACATAAAGGGAGCCTGATGTGTGTGCCTTGGAAGGAAGGGAATATTCTACTGCACGATTAGGTCATTCGCCTATGGCGTGCTGATTGCCTAAACTTGAAGGTGACGCCAACCTCGCCAAAGAAGTTCTCGTTTTCCGTAGAGTATCTGACATCTACCAGACGGTGCAAAATTTGAAAGCAGCAGCTCAAAACGTTTCCGAGCCTGCCGAGGAGGCCAGGGGAAGACTCGTTCGATCAAAGTAGGCTTACCGAGCCAAAGCCGGCATCTCGAAGGCCCTCGGCCAATGAAAGAAGCTCTGAGTCGTTCTTTTGGGGTTCGGGGAAAGGAGGACAGCCTTGGGATTTGTTTCCCGCGCTGTGTCTCCACAACCAGCCTTCTGACCAGACCAGATTTCCTGCTGGTGTTGTTTGCGGGAGAGCGAGGAGGTTCGGCTCCGCCTGCTGCCTCACTTCGTTCAGGCGACTCTTCAGTTCAGATGTATTGCCGCAGTCTCCAGTCTCCCAAGGAAGATCGCCAAGGGCTGCTGTTCTGCAGGCCCTCTCACTCCGATACAGCTTATTCCTCGCGCGTCGCCTCGAGCTTTTCACTGAGTCTACGTTACGACCAGCGACCTTAAGCACGCGACAGAATCACGTATTTCTTAGCACAGCAATTGGACACCTCCTCGCTGTCTCGGAATACTGTTACTAGAGAGGTCACGTCTTTCACGGTGAAACCGGAAATTCGTCCGAAAGTTGCTCTTCAACGAACCATTCATTCTTCTCGCATCGCCTAGATTCCGATCGTTCGCCGAAATGGAGCGGTCATTCCTAGCGCTCTCGCCGCAGCCGGGCGTTCTTCCGTCAGAGTCGCGCGCGGCAACATTCGACGCAACGATTAAGCCGGCTCAAAGACCAAGAGCCTCCCGTGCCGCAGCCTCTCGCAACTCGCCGTTTATCCCTAGAACCACTCATAGAAACAGCAATTCGTGGCCGACTAAGAGATTAGCAGCCCGGAGGTTTTTGTCAGTCAGAGCAGTAAACAAGCGAGATTCCGCCAACGGATCCATCGGACCTTCTAGCCCGGCCCCTTTACCAGAATCGCCGTCGCGAACCTCTCCCTCTTCTGCGTCCCTGGCGACAGCAGCTGCCAGCGATCCAGCCAGCTCCAACCGCAGCAGTAATACTAGTAGTACCGACGATCCCGTTTCGAATTCCCCTCAAGAGGAGACGAAACGGCGTGTTCAATCGGACGTTGGAGAGATTCGGGCGTCCGCAGCGGCAGAAGACGCGAATGAGAATGACGAGAACGATGCGAAGGTGCGGCGACAGGTGGATGAGTTAATAAGGATATATGCTACAGTGCAGCAGGTTCGAAGGGAATACGTGGCGCCGGATATATTCGATTACCTTGGCGAATTGCGTGCTTTTATCGAATCTGATGCAGCGACAGGAGACAGGGGGGCTCTACGGGGGAAGGGACAGGTGGCGGACGGTAACGGATTACAGTTACCGTTACCGTTTCCGTTCCAGTTACCACTACCGTTACCGTTTCCGTTCCAGTTACCACTACCGTTACCATCACCAGAATCGATGAAGCTAATAGAGGAGCTCATCCCTATCCCAGATGTATTGAGGCCTCTTCTCCCTGACCTCGGGAGCAGCAGACAAGACAACATCAGCAGAAACAGCAGCCGGACCAGCAGCAGCAGCAGAGAAAGCAGATCCACCAGCAGCAGTAGCCAGCAACCCAGCGAAAATACAGCAGCAGCAGCAGCAGCAGCAGCAGCAGCAGTCCCGCGGTTCTTCTGCCCGCTAGACGCCAGGCCACCAGCAGCACAGCAGCAGCAGCAAAAGGAGGAACCCCTTCCGCGGCTGCTGTTTCTTCCTGGGGTGGACGGGGTTGGCTACGGCCTCAAGCTGCATCACAAATCGCTGGGGCGGTTGTTTGAAGTCACATGCTTGCACATACCGCTCTCTGACCGGACAGACTTCCAAGGTGTGTGTTTGTGTGTGTGCCTGTATGTCTGTGGGGTGTAAGTGTGTGGACGGGATTGGCCAAGGCCTCAAGCTGCACCACAAATCCCTGGGCCAATTGTTTGCGAGTAACGTGCCTGCACATACCACTCTCTGACAGAACCGACGTCCATGGTGCGCGTGCATTGAGTGTATCCATAGGGGTAGGCATGCAAGCGCGTGCAAATATTAAGCCTGAAGCTACATCACAAATCGCTGGGGCGACAATTTGAAGTGACGAGCCTGCACATTCCGCTCTGTGGCTCGACAAACTTCCAAAGCATGCTTTATGAACAAACGTGTATCAGCTGGCCTTTCCTGTCTCAACCCCCCGCCTTCCCAGGCCTGTTATCCCTGGTGGAATCTGAGGTGCTTCAACAGCACGTGCAGTCGCCCAACCGACCGCTCTTTCTTGTTGGGGAGTCGTTCGGTGCGCTTCTTGCTGCAGCAGTGGCTGCAAGGAACCCATCTGTGCCTATCAGCCTTGTTCTGATCAACTCGGGTGAGGAAGAACGACCTGCGGTGTGGTAGGCTCTGCTTTAAGGGACCTGAATGACGTGCTCTCCTTGCTGCAGCAGTTGCTGCAAGGAACCCGAGCTTGCCCATCAGCCTTGTTCTGATCAACTCGGGTGAGGAAGAAGGTCTTGCAGTGTGGTGGGTTCTGCTTTAAGGTGGCTGAAAAACCTGCTGTCTTTTAGGCTGCAGTGGCTGCAAGGAAGCACAGCCGTACTTCTCAGCCTTGTTCTGGTCCATTTTTGCTGGAAAATCAGGCTTTCGTGTTTAGAACGCTATGAAGAAACGAAATTGGTGTTCTGTGTTTTCAATCACCCGAAGATATAACCCTGCTTCTCCTTTCTTCTCCCCCCCCTCCCCCCCCTCCTCCCGCCCCTCCCATCCCTCTCCACTTTCCTCCACCAGGCCCCATCCTTCCCCATCCTCTCTCAATGCCTTCCCATTCACTCCCATTCACCAGCTTTCCCCGAACCCCCTTAAAGAACGTCCCACCTTTCCCGAGGCACCTCAAACGACCCTCCCCCATCCTCCCTATGCCTATATGTCTTCCCCCATTCCCTCCCTCCCAGCCACCAGCTTTCCCCGCTCCTCCCTTCAGCCCCTCATACCCCTGCTAAAGAGCGTCCCTGCAGACGCCTACTCTGCTCTCCCGTTCCTATTCAGCCTGTCCATAGGTGAGGATAAAAGATGTGCTTTCTAAGAGAATTACTTGACTGTTAGCTCATACCTCAGCTCAAGGGCGTCCCTCCAGAGCTTAATCTGCTCTCCCGTTCCCATTCAGCCTGTCCATAGGTGGGGCTAAGAGACGTGTATGATAATTATAGTCAGAATCCCGCCATTCTCCCGTGCCACATGGGCATCTCTCTGTTCGTGTCAAATAACTCTCTCCACTTCCACACCGGGCGTTTCCAATTTTCCACTTAGCGCACTTCTCCCCTCCTTTCTCCCACACCGCACATCTCCTCGTATCTCCTCATCTCCCCTCGCTTTTCCTCATCTCCCCTCGCTTTTCCTCATCTCCTTTCATCCCCCCTCGTATCTCCTCATCTCCCCTCATCTCTCCTCGTATCCCCTCATCTCCCCTCCTCTCCCTGCCCTCTCACCTCTCTCACCCCTCTCACATCTCCCCTCCTCTCCTCCCATCTCCCCGCAGTGAAACCTCTACGCATAGCATCTGGTGGTTTGCCTCTTGATGCCTCTCCCTTGGATCGCTTGGAGAAGCTAAGGGACAATCTGCTTAATCTGCTGCCCTTTCTGCCTGTAAGCCACTCCCTCTGCTGCTCCGTCTCCTCTTGAATGCCCTCTCCCTTGGATCACTCGGAACGGAGGGGAAGAAAGACAAAGGAACAATCAGCTCAACCTGCTGCCCTCTCTGCCTGTGAGCCCCCCTCTGCTCTGCTGTCTTCGTCGTGACGCCTCTCCCTTGGGTCGCTTGAACCCAAGGAAGGAGAAATGATGGGACAGTCTGCTCAACCTGCGGCCTGCCATCTCTACCTGTTAGAAAGCCCCCCTGTTAAGAATGTGCGCATGCAGCGCATGCATCACTTGCATTCTTACCCAGGCATGCAGCGCATGCATCACTTGCATTCTTACCCGGGCATGCAGCGCTTGCATCACTTGCATTCTTACCCGGGCATGCAGCGCATGCATCACTTGCATTCTTACCCGGGCATGCAGCGCATGCATCACTTGCATTCTTACCCCGGCATGCAGCGCATGCATCACTTGCATTCGTACCCGGGCATGCAGCGCATGCATCACTTGCATTCATACCCGGGCATGCAGCGCATGCATCACTTGCATTCATACCCGGGCATGCAGCGCATGCATCACTTGCATTCGTACCCGGGCATGCAGCGCATGCATCACTTGCACTCATCTTCTCTGCTTGCACTACCCATCACATGTGGTATTCGCTCCTTTCTCTACATGTTTCTGCATGTTTTCTGCTACCCTTGTTCGGGCCCTTGCAGGCGCGTTTCTGGGGCCACTTTGAAGCGGAAGCTACCCCCTGCGGGATAAAGGCTGTGATTCCATTCCGTGCTTATTTCCCCCCGTGCTCCCATGCCCCCATGCTCCCTCTATATCTTCTCCCCCTGCTCTCAGCTCCTTATAGAATGCTCCCTCAAGCCATTCTCGAGTGGAAGCTACGCCTATTGGAGACAGGCTGTCCCTTACCGACCCACTGTTTCTAGGTTATGATCCCGTGCTCCCTCGATCTGCCCCCCCTGCTCTCAGCTCCTTGCAGAAATGCTCCCTCAAGCCACTTTGGAGTGGAAGCTTCATCTTCTGGAAACCGGATCTGCCTTTACAGAGCGTCTGCTCCCTCGTGTTCGTGCACCAACACTCATTATTGCTGGGTATGTCTCTAACATCTTGGTATAAATATATATATATATATATATATATATTATTTATTTATTTACCCTGTGGTCGTTCCTGCTGACTGCCAATTTCTTAATTTTCAAACAAGCAGTCCAAATCTACCTAGTCTTTGTTCAACCCCTCCCTCCCATGCTGTGGCCTTCCCGCCCCTCCCCATGCCTTCTAAACCCAGGTGCAAGGACCACTTGCTTTCCAGCAAGCAAGAAGCCCTTCTCTTCTCGTCTCAGCAGCACTCATTTTCCCTTTCGGTGTCGCTTTCTGCCCTTCCCTTCTCTCTAACATTGACACCCCCCCAACCTCCCCCCCCCCCCGCCACACTTCTTCCCCCATATTCCAGGAGCGACGATCAGCTGCTTCCTAGCCAGCAAGAGGCGACCCGACTGCAGGAGATTCTGACCCGGGCCAGAGTGAGGACGGCTGTGCGAGTGTTTGAAGGCTCGGGCCATGCCCTACTGCTGGTAACTGTTGGTCTCTGGTAGGTGTTGTTGTCTAGAGGAGATTTTGACCAGGGCCAGAGTGAGGACGAGTGTGCGAGCGTTTGAAGGCTCGGGCCATGCCCGACTGCTGGTAAACGACTGCTTGAAACGTTCTTTTGTGATGATTGCTTGTAACGATTTCTTGTAATGATTGCTTGTGATAATTGCTTGTGATGATTGCTTGTGATTACTGCTTTTAATTATTGCTTGTGATGATTTCTTGTAGTAATTGCTCGCACAACTTGTCTAGAGGAGATTCTGGCCAGGGCCAGAGTGAGGACGCTTGTGTGCGTTTTTTATTTCTCAAGGCTCGGAGCGTGTGCTGCTGGTAATGCTACTTAATGCGCTCTACTTGTTGCTGGTGAGTGTCACCTTAAGGGCGCTCCTAGCTGCTCTTGTGCTGAGTCTACTGGAACACGTCGTCTCCCATTCTCCCCTCTCCACCAGGAGTCAAGCTTGGACCTCGCATCAACCATCAAGGGCGCTCACATGTACATCCAGAGGCGGGGCGATGACCCCGTGGTTTCAGGCTTCCAGGCGCCCACAGTGGAGGAACTAGCTCGGGCCAAATCAGGGCTGGACGGGTGAGTGGAGTGAGAGAGAGGAAGGACCAATTGAGGAAGGACCAACTGAGGAAGGACCAGTTGAGGAAGGACCAATTGAGGAAGGTGAAAAACATTCCAGTGTGAGGCACTGTGAGGTGGAAGGCACGGGGATGACCCCGTGGCTTTTTCAGGCTTCCAGGCGCCTAGCCTACAGTGGAGGAACTAGCTCGGGCCAAGTCAGGGCTGGACGGGTGAGCGGAGAGGGAGAGAGAGGTGCCTGGGGTAAGTGTGGTGAGGTGGGCCTCAGAAGTCTAGTTTTGAGGCGCCTCAAAACTAAATCAGGGCTGGACGGGTGAGCGGAGAGAGAGAGAGAGGTGCATGGGGTAAGTGTGGTGAGGTGGGGCTCAGAATGCGACCCTGTGAGGCGAGAGGCATGGGGATGGGCTTCCAGGCGCCTAGCCTACAGTGGAGAAACTAGCTCGGGCCAAGTCAGGGCTGGACGGGTGAGTGGAGAGGGAGAGAGAGGTGGAGGTACGCGTGGCAGAGGGGGTTTCTGAGTGAGAATCTGTGGTGGGAAGGCGAGGCGACGACCCAGTAGCTTCAGGCTTGCAGGCACCCATGGTGGAGGAACTAGCTCGGGCTAAATCATGGTCAGATGGTTAAGTAAGCATTAACAAGGATGGTCTTGACTCTGTTTTGTATAAGCAAGCCCCGCTACAAGGGCTAGTGCTGTTAAACTCCTAGTTACAGGAACCCATGCCTTTCCTTCCCTAGTAACAACCATGCTGTTCAACCCACCCACCCCAGGTTCCTCCGCCGCTTTTGCAGCCCGGTGTTTCTGTCGACCATCGTGGAAGAGACAGGGGAGGGGAGAGTAGCGGATGCACTATCGACTAACGGCACTGTGGCTGCTGGACGTGCAAGCGCTAGTGGTGCTAGTGAAGCATCTAGTAACGGGAATGCACTTGCTGCTGGTAGCGGGAATGCACTTGCTGGTAACGGGAATGCACCTGCCGGTAACGGGGCTGCTGTTGCGCAGAACGCGAGTGCGAGCCCAAGAAACAGCAGCAGCACGAGCCAAAAGAATCACCACCAAAAGCAGCAGCAGCAGCAGCAGCAGCAGCAGCAGCAGCAGCAGCAGCAGCAGCGGCAGCGACGGCGGCAGCAGGTGGTGGTGGGGCTGGAGGGCGTGCCGGCCTGCGAGCGCCCGCTGCTGTTCGTAGGCAACCACCAGACCCTGGCGCCTGAGATGAGCGTGCTGGTATCAGAGCTCATGGCGCACGGCGTGGTGGTCAGAGGGCTGGCACACCCCTTGGCAATAGAAATGGTGAGCTTGTGTATAGGTATAGGGAGGTAGCGGAGGGGCTTGCTGTTGTTTGTAGGCTTGCAAGCAAGCAACCAACCAACCACCACCAGACGCTGGCGCCTGAGATGAGCGTGCTGGTATCAGAGCTCATGGCGCACGGCGTGGTGGTCAGAGGGCTGGCGCACCCTCTAGCGATAGAGATGGTGAGCGTTTCATACATACTGTGCCTGCATGCAAACACACACACACTCACACACCACACCACACACACACACCGACACATACACACACACACATGCACACACACACATGCACACACACACACACACGTACACACACACGCATGCACACACACACGCACACACACACACACGCACACACACACACACGCACGCACACACACACACACTCACACACACACGCACATGCACACACGCATACACACTCACACAACACACACACACACACATACACGCACACACACACACACGCACGCACACACACACACACACTCACACACCACACACACACGCAGGCACGCAAGCACGCTCACACGCACACACATACATACATACATACATACATACATACATACATACATACATACATACATACATACATACATACATACATACATACATACATACATACATACATACATACATACATACATACATACATACATACATACATACATACATACATACATACATACATACATACATACATACATACATACATACATACATAAATACATACATACATACATACATACATACACACACACACATATATATACACAAATATACATACATACCATGCTGGTAGAGCAATGTGAGCAGTGCAAGCTAATTGGAGCGCTTGCCAACAGGGAATCTGACCCTTCAACCTTGAATCCTCCCTTACCCTTACCCCAAACCCCTTACCCTGAACCCTCATTTCCATGCAGTGAGCGTGCTGGTAGAGCGTGCTGGTAGAGCATGCTGGTAGAGCATGCTGGTAGAGCGTGCTGGTAGAGCATGCAGGTAAAGCATGCTGGTAGAGCGTGCTGGTAGAGCATGCTAGTAGAGCGTGCTGGTAAAGCATGCTGGTAGAGCAGGGCGAGCAGTACAAGCTGTTTGGCGCGGTTCCTGTGATTCCCAATCATGTCTTGTGGCACCACATGCCCCATACCCCATGCCTCATACCCCATGCCCCATACCACATGCCCCATACCCCATGCCCCGTACCCCATGCCCCATACCACATGCCCCATACCCCATGCCCCATACCCCATGCCCCATGCCCCATAACCCAAGCCCCATTCCCCATTCCCTATAACCCAAGCCCCATACCTCATGCCCCATGCCCCATGCCCCATACCCCATACCCCATGCCCCATAACCCATGCCCCATGCCCCACGCCCCATACCCCATGCCCCATACCCCATGCCCCATACCCCACGCCCCATACCCCATGCCCCATAACCCATGCCCCATGCCCTACCCCCCCATGCTGGTGGAGCAGGGAGAGCAGTACAAGCTGTTTGGAGCAGTCCCCGTGTAATGAGTCGATTTTTTAGTCGACTCAAAAATCGACTCATTACACACGCATAACCCATGCCCCATGCCCTACCCCCCCAGTTCCATGACATCAGCATGCTGGTGGAGCAGGGCGAGCAGTACAAGCTGTTTGGAGCAGTCCCCGTGTAATGAGTCGATTTTTTAGTCGACTCAAAAATCGACTCATTACACACGCACGCATAACCCATGCCCCATGCCCTACCCCCCCAGTTCCATGACATCAGCATGCTGGTGGAGCAGGGCGAGCAGTACAAGCTGTTTGGAGCAGTCCCCGTGTAATGAGTCGATTTTTTAGTCGACTCAAAAATCGACTCATTACACACGCATAACCCATGCCCCATGCCCTACCCCCCCAGTTCCATGACATCAGCATGCTGGTGGAGCAGGGCGAGCAGTACAAGCTGTTTGGAGCAGTCCCCGTGTAATGAGTCGATTTTTTAGTCGACTCAAAAATCGACTCATTACACACGCATAACCCATGCCCCATGCCCTACCCCCCCAGTTCCATGACATCAGCATGCTGGTGGAGCAGGGCGAGCAGTACAAGCTGTTTGGAGCAGTCCCCGTGTAATGAGTCGATTTTTTAGTCGACTCAAAAATCGACTCATTACACACGCATAACCCATGCCCCATGCCCTACCCCCCCAGTTCCATGACATCAGCATGCTGGTGGAGCAGGGCGAGCAGTACAAGCTGTTTGGAGCAGTCCCCGTGTAATGAGTCGATTTTTTAGTCGACTCAAAAATCGACTCATTACACACGCATAACCCATGCCCCATGCCCTACCCCCCCAGTTCCATGACATCAGCATGCTGGTGGAGCAGGGCGAGCAGTACAAGCTGTTTGGAGCAGTCCCCGTGTAATGAGTCGATTTTTTAGTCGACTCAAAAATCGACTCATTACACACGCATAACCCATGCCCCATGCCCTACCCCCCCAGTTCCATGACATCAGCATGCTGGTGGAGCAGGGCGAGCAGTACAAGCTGTTTGGAGCAGTCCCCGTGTAATGAGTCGATTTTTTATTCGACTCAAAAATCGACTCATTACACACGCATAACCCATGCCCCATGCCCTACCCCCCCAGTTCCATGACATCAGCATGCTGGTGGAGCAGGGCGAGCAGTACAAGCTGTTTGGAGCAGTCCCCGTGTAATGAGTCAATTTTTTAGTCGACTCAAAAATTGACTCATTACACACGCATAACCCATGCCCCATGCCCTACCCCCCCAGTTCCATGACATCAGCATGCTGGTGGAGCAGGGCGAGCAGTACAAGCTGTTTGGAGCGGTCCCCGTGACTCCCACCAACACCTACAAAGTACTCGCCAACAAGGAAGCTGCGCTGCTGTTTCCTGGAGGCGTGCGGGAGGCCCTCAAGAAGCGGGTGAGGCGAGGAATGGGGGGAATGTTGGTGGCGGGTTTGGGGCCAATTTGTGTTTGACAAGGTTTTTTTTTGGTGTGCGGAGGGGAATTTGAGGGAATGTTGGTGGCGGTTTTGGGGCCAATTTGTGTTTGACAAGGTTTTTTTTTGGTGTGCGGAGGGGAATTTGAGGGAATGTTGGTGGCGGTTTTGGGGCCAATTTGTGTTTGACAAGGTTTTTTTTTGGTGTGCGGAGGGGAATTTGAGGGAATGTTGGTGGCGGTTTTGGGGCCAATTTGTGTTTGACAAGGTTTTTTTTTGGTGTGCGGAGGGGAATTTGAGGGAAGTTTATTTGAGGGAAGGCTCATGGCATGGCGTGGTTTGGTGTGCGGAGGGGAATTTGAGGGAATGTTGGTGGCGTGTTGGTGGCATGTTGGTGGCGTGTTGGTGGCATGTTGGTGGCATGTTGGTGGCATGTTGGTGGCATGTTTGTCCTGATATGATAAGGTTGTTTCAGGCGTGCAGCGGGGAATTGAGGGAAAGTTCGTGGCATGTTTGCTCCTGATGAGGTTGTTTTAGGCGTGCGGGAGGATTTCAAGTAGTGGGTGATTTGAGGGAAGGGGAATGAGGGAAGGTCCGTGGCATGTTTGCTCCTGCTGACGTTGTTTTAGGCGTGCGGGAGGATTTCAAGTAGTGGGTGAGGAAGGGGAATGAGGGAAGGTTATTTGAGGGAAGGTTATTTGAGGGAGGGTTATTTGAGGGAGGGTTATTCGAGGGAAGGTTATTTGAGGGAAGGTTATTTGAGGGAAGGTTATTTGAGGGAAGGTTCATGGCATGGCGTGTTTCGGCCACTTGTGCTGATGATAAGGGTTTAGGCAAGGCGGAGCGGGTGAGGAAGGGGATTGAGGAATCGTTCATGCTGCGTTTGAAAGAGGGTGAGGGGGGGGAAGGGGATTGAGGGAAGGTTCATGGCACGGCACGGCGTTTTTGGGGGGCTGTTTGAGCTGGTGATAAGGGTTTTTTTAGGCGTTATTGTGGTGCTTTCGATACTGAGCGGGGGATGGCAGGCATTTGAAAAAAAATGGCAGGCATTTGAAAATGGCAGGCAAATTCGTATAGATGGCGAGGCGAGCGCATCTAGTGTTGAGGGGGATTTGAAGGCCTTTGGCCAAAGGGATCTCCGTTTTGGCTCTGTCTGAATTTTGAGTCGACTCAAGATCCTAAAGATTGGGAGCCCAGCCCATTTAGTGTTGAGGGGGATTTGAAGTTCGTGGGTCAAAAGGATCTCCGTTTTGGCTCTATCTGTCTTACCTGTGACTCTATTAGGTCTTACTACTGGCTGGATAGACCTGATGTTTCTCCCTGGTCTCGTCTTGATATTGCATTGATATTGCCTTGATATTGCCCTTCCTGCATAACATTCTATTTGCTTTCTGTTTGCTTTCTGTTTGCTTTCTGTTTCTTGGTCCTCTACAGGGGGAGGACTACCAGCTGTTCTGGCCAGAGAGGGCTGAGTTTGTGCGCATGGCGGTGAGTTGTGATCCTTTAGGGAGTTGCCTTCTTTGTGTTGTTAGTTGTTCTTAACGGAATGACCTTTATTGAGTTTTTTCAAGGGAGGACTACCAGCTGTTCTGGCCAGAGAGGGCTGAGTTCATGCGCATGGCGGTGAGTTGCGATCCACCATCGAGTGATTCTTTATGAGTTTATTATTCTTTATGAGTTAATTATTCTTCATGGTGTGGTTTACTTTTCGTGTGACTACCCTGGAGACCTATTTCCCTCATGATGAAGGTGTGAAATTGTCTTCAGTCGAGTGCTGATTTGTGGTGTAGCTTTATTTGCGTCTTACTGATGTTTCACGTGCTGTGTGCTACTTCATTCATGTGAAGTTCTATTTTCCATGTGCTGTTTCAATTTTCATGTTATCTTTCACGTTCTTTGTTTTACAAATCGGAATCGGCGCTGCTGCCTTGCGAGGTGCCCGGGGGGGGGCTGTGGTAGGGGTGGCTTGAGATTCGGATACAAAAAATCCCCGTTTCACTCGTTTTTTACAACAATGTAATGCGCTTACAATAAACACCACCTCCAATATATATATATACATATATATATATATATATATATTTCGTCACGCGCAGTGAAAATTTAATGCTATTCTTCACGTGCTGTTTCACTCATCACATTGCAGGCGAAGCACGAGGCGACCATTGTTCCCTTTGCATGCATCGGCGTGGATGACGGGTTTGATGTAAGTGGGAGATTATAGGAAGTTTGACAGTAGGGAGTATAACATTGTATATGCACCTGGCATAAAATTGTCCCATTTGCATGCATCAGGGCGGATGATGGATTTGATGTAAGTGAGACACTATAGCTGTGTGACTATTACGAGTGTGGATATAGGGACTGTGCTGCTGTGACTGTAGGGAGTGTGCTGACGTGACGTGGCCATGCTTTGGCTGTAATCATAACTAGCGCACATGCATGCACCCATCATTGGCATCAATGATGCGTTTGATGATTGTGTGTGATTGTAGGGGTGCCCTGCTGTGACTGTAGGAAGTGTGCTGTTGTGAGTGTAGGAAGTGTGATGTTGTGACTGTGGGAAGTGTGCTGTTGTGACTGTAGGAAGTGTGATGTTGTGACTGTAGGAAGTGTGATGTTGTGACTGTAGGAAGTGTATTGGTGGAGTTTAATCCACGATGCATGTATCCCGTGCATCCATCCATGCGTGTGGTCATGGGATGTGCTCACGCCCTTCTATGGAATGTCACACATTGATGTGCATTTCACTCGCCCTTCACTGGAGTTTTTAATCTTATTTTCTACACTTTCGCTCCACCAAATAACTTGGCCCCTATATTTCCAGATTGTCCTAGACGCTGACAAAATGCCCAGCGTGCCAATTCTGACTCTCTCACTCAGTGCTCTCTCCTCCCTGTGCAGATCGTCCTAGATGCTGACAAAGTGCCCAGCGTGCCCATCATTGGCTCCATGGCAGTGGAGGGCGTTGATGCCCCTTTCATTGGGAATGCTCATCTTAAGTCCCACCTTTCCCTCCACCTAATCTCTTGCCCCTATGCATCCAGATCGTCCTAGACGCGATGAAATGCCCAGCATGCCAGTTCTGACTCTCTTACTCACTGCTCTCTCTTCCTGTTGCAGATTGTCGTAGACGCTGACGAAATGCCCAGCGTGCCAATCATCGGTCCCATGGCAGTGGAGGGCGTGCAGGCATGGCCCCGAGTCAGGTAGGGTTCAGTGCGGTGCAGTGCGGTGAAAAGCAGTGCTGTACATGCAGTGTGGGGCAAGGTTCACTGAGAGTTAAGTATGTTACAAGGGCCAATGCGGTGCAGTGTGGTGAATGACCAGCCCTGCATGCCCATTATTGGCCCCGTGGCAGTGGATTGCGTGCAGGCGTGGGCCTGAGTCAGGTATGAGGATAGGTGCAGTGCAGAGTGGTGTGCAGCAGCAAACCCTGACGGTGAAAGATGCAGTGCGGTGCAGTGCAGTGAAATGCCCAGCCCAGCATGCCCATCATCGGTCCCATGGCAGTGGACGGCATGCAGGCATGGCCCAGAGTCAGATACAAGGGAAGGTGCAATGCGATGTAATGCGGTGTAGCCCATTGGTAAAGCTGCAGTGTGGTGCAGGCATGGCCCCTGGTAACATCGAGGTGTAGTAGGCTCGGTGGAAGACGTGTAGGCAGGCCTTGAGGGGCAGTAGATGCAGTGCGGTGCATAGATGCTGAGAGGGGTACAGTATGGTCCATGCATGGCCTATATCCAGGCACGTTTCAATAGAGTCCCCTGATGCCTCACTCCCCCGTCCCAATCAAATCCCCACCTGATTTTTGCAGGGACGCAGCAGCAGCAGGGGCTTCAGCAGAACAGTGCGATCCACCAGTTTTAGTGTCAACAGGGGAGTTGTGTTTAGACACTTCACAACTCCCCTTCCCCCTTTCTCTTCTACCCCTCAAACCCCTTCTCTCCCACCCTTCAAACCCCTCTCATTATTGCCAGGGATGCAGCAGCCGCCGGGGCTGCAGCAGAGCAGTTCATCCCTCCAGTTGTCATCCCCAAGGGGCTAAACCGCCTCTACTTCATCTTCCAAGCACCCATCAGAACAAAGGGTGAGTCACTCTGAGGTGTCTCAGAAGCCAGCCACAGCAGCAGCTGTCGGGGCATCAGAGCAAGTGGTGAGAGTAATGTCATTTCCGCACGTAAGCGAGGGAGCTCCCTCAGGGGAGGCTTGCAAAAACGAGATGTGCGATCCCTACTCACTTCTCGTAGGGAGCTCCCTTCTGCTATGGTGATGCCCAAGGGGCTAAACTGCCTCTAATTCCTCTCTTCCCTCCTCCCGTCTCACACACTCTCTCCCATGCTCTTCCTCACCATCCACTCCCCCTCCTATCCACTCCACTCCGCGTCTCTCACGTCGCACCTGCTGACAGACAAGGCAACTACGTCATCCACACCCCTTTCCCTCCCACACCCTCTGTCCCATGCTGTTCCGCCACTCCCTTTCCTCCTTTCCCCCAGGCATGTCCCACCTGCTGATGAACAAGGCAGCAGCAGCAGAGCTCTACGCGCGAGTGAAGGGGGGATTTGAAGAGGGTATGTGCGCTCATGCACTTCAGTGTCCTCTCTTCTCCCACCCTCCACTTTCCCCCAGGCATGTCCCACCTGCTGATGAACAAGGCAGCAGCAGCAGAGCTATGTGCGCATGTGAAGGGGAGGCCCAAGATGGGCTCCAGCATCTTTTGTTTTTGCGGCCTAAAGCCCTGAGGTGTCTGGGTTGCCCTGAGGTGTCTGGGTTGCCCTGAGGTGTCTGGGTTGCCCTGAGGTGTCTGGGTTGCCCTGAGGTGTCTGGGTTGCCCTGAGGTGTCTGGGTTGCCCTGAGGTGTCTGGGTTGCCCTGAGGTGTCTGGGTTGCCCTGAGGTGTCTGGGTTGCCCTGAGGTGTCTGGGTTGCCCTGAGGTGTCTGGGTTGCCCTGAGGTGTCTGGGTTGCCCTGAGGTGTCTGGGTTGCCCTGAGGTGTCTGGGTTGCCCTGAGGTGTCTGGGTTGCCCTGAGGTGTCTGGGTTGCCCTGAGGTGTCTGGGTTGCCCTGAGGTGTCTGGGTTGCCCTGAGGTGTCTGGGTTGCCCTGAGGTGTCTGGGTTGCCCTGAGGTGTCTGGGTTGCCCTGAGGTGTCTGGGTTGCCCTGAGGTGTCTGGCTTGCCCTGAGGTGTCTGGCTTGCCCTGAGGTGTCTGGGTTGCCCTGAGGTGTCTGGGTTGCCCTGAGGTGTCTGGGTTGCCCTGAGGTGTCTGGGTTGCCCTGAGGTGTCTGGGTTGCCCTGAGGTGTCTGGGTTGCCCTGAGGTGTCTGGGTTGCCCTGAGGTGTCTGGGTTGCCCTGAGGTGTCTGGGTTGCCCTGAGGTGTCTGGGTTGCCCTGAGGTGTCTGGGTTGCCCTGAGGTGTCTGGGTTGCCCTGAGGTGTCTGGGTTGCCCTGAGGTGTCTGGGTTGCCCTGAGGTGTCTGGGTTGCCCTGAGGTGTCTGGGTTGCCCTGAGGTGTCTGGGTTGCCCTGAGGTGTCTGGGTTGCCCTGAGGTGTCCAGCCCTCAGGGGAAAGGAGAATGACCCTCGCAAGGGCAAGCTGTTGCTCTGCATTCCTAAATCGCATCCCCCCCCCCTTCCCCACCCTCACCCCCCCCCCCAGGCATGTCGCACCTGCTGACGGACAAGGCAGCAGCAGCAGAGCTGTATGCGCATGTTAAGGGGGAGGTGGAAGGTGGGCTGCAGTACCTGCTGAAGAAAAGAGAGGAGGACCCTTATAATGATCCGGTGTCGCGGTTGGTGTATGAGGCTACCTGGGGAGGGGAGAGGCAGGCCCCCACATTCAAACCCTAGGTAACCCGGTATGTGAAGGGGAAGGTTGAAGGTGGGCTGCATAACCTGCTGAAGAAAAGAGAGGAGGACCCTTATAATGATCTGGTGTCACGATTGGTGTGTGAGGCCACATGGGGAGGGGAGAGGCAGGCCCCCACATTCAAACCCTAGGCATCCCATTATGTGTATGGGGAGGAGAGAACCCTTACCGGGATGTGGTGATGCGGTTGGTTTGTGAGGCAGTGTGGCACCCTAAGCCCTTGCAAGGTGGTAACCCCTGCTCTTCATGGATGTGTCTGTGGTTGGTGCACTATTAATCGGCCATGCCACAAAGACGAAGCCGGCATACATGTATTGTGTACACCTCCACGTCAGATGCCACAAAGGGTGAACTTTGTCGTATGGCTGGGAAGGAGCAACACAATGCCCTTTGTATATGAAAAGGCCATATATTCTTGGCATTCTTCGCACCCAACTATGTACTATGACTTCCCTTCCATTTGAGATTGATTCATTGCACTGCTAGGTAAAGATCAGGTTCAAGCGCCAGGCCACTCAATAGAATAACGGGTTTCATTAGTACATTGAATGCGTTGAAATTAGAAGTGGAATGTATTGTATGGTTGGTCTAGTTATGGACCTAACTGCACTGCGACCTCATTGTACGCATGGCGAACTCGACAATTGTTACCTTCACATGGCGAATTACCTGCGCCTCCACTGCGCCTCCAAATCCCAAATCCCAGGTCGCGCGACTCCCAGCCCAAACAGCCGAAATCTCTGAGACACCTGCGGCTTGAAATATGTGTGGTACAGTAATAGGAAGCAGCCTCCCCTAGCATGGTCACGCAGCAGTACACCTTGAGCCTGACAGAGGAACACAACTTTTCAGGGTGCCGGTAAACAAAAACGCGCATGGGTTTCGCACGGCATCGTCACGGGCATGTGGGCCTTTCGCACGGGCACGAAGGTTACCATTTTGATGTTTTGCGGGGTAGGTTTGAGTGGCATATTTTGGCGAGCCATTGTTCACTTAGTTACCCTATGTTAAGTTTCGGCGCTTTCAAGCGAGAGTGAGTTTCTCTGGTGTAGCACCAGAGTGGTGGTTGGCGGGTGAGATGTTGAGTGAGTTCTTCTGGTTTGGTTTGCTCCCTTTTATACTCAGTGGGATTGGGTGAGGTGTTGGAGTCTCATTTCAGCTCCAAATATTGCGGGCGTGTTCTAAATATTTCTTACATTACGAATTGAAGGTTTGTGTCGCAACAATAACTACTACGTGGATTGTGGGAATTTGTTTTCGAGTCTGTTCCTGGGTTGGCTGTCGGATGTTGAGAACGACCCCTGGCATCGGGACATCGCGACTCCATTTCGCTGCCAAGTCAGCGTTCCGTTTCATGCGGCGACGCTCAAGCCACAAACAAACCCAGCGAGGCGTGTGTAATTTTGCGAGCTCAACGAAAGGCTCGCTGACCTTCGCCGGAGCGCTATTCCGAGCGTGGCTGGAAGTTTATGGCGAAAACGATTGCGGCGCACATCTTTCGTCTTGTGCCGCATGTTTGTCACCGCTGTCATGATGACGCTGCACTGCTGGCTCTGTTCACGGCCCACGTTGAGTGGGCCGTTGCCCGTGTGATAACGCTAATGGGCGATGGTTTCTGATTTGGCCACGTATTGAGCTAGGCCTCCGGCGGGCACCATGTGTAGCCGCAGATGGGACCTGCCCTGTGTCACCCACCCAATCACAATCCAGCATTGCAACACATCCAACAACATCTGCGGAATCACCTGCTCATATAAATTTGCCCCTCGAATTCGTTCACATTACAGCGAGCGTCAATCTCTTCGTTCTCAACCCGTTCTTACGTGGATAGATTATCACCTTCGCTTAATCTATACTCTCTCACGCCCCCACAGCTCGTCACAATGGTTCGGCCCGCGCTTCTAGTGCTCTCCCTCGCGCTGCTCGTCGTTGCCGCGCGCGCCGGAAGCCCCATCACTAGCTCCTCCGCGAATGAGAAACCCGACCCGAGCGGGAAGAAGGACGATGGGCTCATGACCGACATCCCGAAAGACATCGCGAAACAGGCCGCTGCTGGTAACGCTGAGGGAGTTACATACGTCGATACCGCGCAGGATACGTTTTTCATGGCCGATGTGAAGAAGGCCGGGTGGAACGCGCAGAAATGCCCGCCCGGTTTGAACAAGGAGCTCGCGGGAGCGTGCACGCCGAAAAATTGCTCCAAGGGCGGATTTGCTGCGAAGTGGAAAACCGCATATCTGCAGAAGAACAAGCTGGGCTTCGAATTGTACGTGCCTGGTAACCCGCTGACCCTGCTCAAGGCGAACCCCGCCTCGTGCTGTAACACGTGCGCCGCTACACCGCTCTGCACCTACTGGCAATACATCCCCGATATTACCATCGACGGGAAGAAGGGCAAGGGCGCGTGCTACCTCATCCACGACCAAATCGACTTCACCTGCGGAGAAATGACCGCGCAGTACAGCACCGAGACAAAGCCCGTGCATCTTCAGGTGCGCATCGGCGGCGAGTGCAACCCGAGCGCGAAAATCCTCAACGACCCGCATTTGGTGGGCGCGCACGGCACGCATTTCGACTTCAACGGCCGCCCCGACAAGGCGTTCTGTTTGCTGACGGACCGCGACCTCCACGTGAACATGCTTCTTAGGGGGTATTACGACGAGAAGACCGCCGATAACGCCGCGGTTGTGGTCGACGGGAAGGCGGTGCACACGTGGATTAAGGAGCTGGGAATCGTTTGGACTGCGGCGGGTGCGGATCATAAGGTTCGGATCGCGGCGCGCAGCGGCAAGCAGCAGGAGCGCGGCGACGGGTTCGTGAAGAGCATCGAGATCGACGGCGACTCGATCCCTCGCATGCAGGTCGGCGATAGGGTTACCAGCGCCGGCGGGCTGACGATCGAGTTTCGCGGGCTGGAGAAGGAAGGTCCGTTCGACGTGGATTACTACCTCCTCTCCATCGACGGGCTGATCTCCCTCGACCTGCGCCTACGCGTCGCGCATCCCAAGCTGCAGACCCCGACTGAGGCCGAGGCGCACATCAACGTCGGGATTGCCGAGCTGGAGCACACGGAGGAGATTCACGGCGTGCTCGGGCAGACCTACCGCGCGGATCACGCTGCGCGCGCCGCGGATTTCCAGCGCCTGATCGCGAGCCTGCACCGTCCGATCGCCGCCGATGCCGCCGAGGGGAAGGGGTTTTTGGATGGGACCCCCCGGTCGTACGAGGCGAGTGATGTGCTTGCCGTGGACTGCGCTTATACAGCGTATGGCCGTGCGAGGAAGGTGATGCCCGTGCAGCAGCTCCCGTAAAGAGCTGACTCGATGGGACTCATAGTGGGCTGTATTGTATAGTCGGCTGGATGTAGATATTGGGCTGAATGTAGACATACTACAATTGTTCCTTCCTATGTATGTTCTATTCGATTCTCCCATGTTCTCTTTTCTGGTTTAACCAATCATGGCGGTGAAATCAAGAGGTATCTCATATGTACACTTATGAACGCAAATCAGCGGCAGTAATCTGCCCAGAATGTGTCCCATTCCTTGAATATTTATGGTAGTTCCACACGAAACTTGCCGCACAGCTGGTGCTGGACCATAGGATGCTGCTTGAGGAAATTGAGTGAGTTGGAAGACGGTTTGTGTTGGGGGAGCCATGGATGTTGGAAGTGAGCTAAGACTAGCACACTGGCCCACAATCCTGCAGTTGACCACTCTCCTTAGTAGGTAGGAAGGAGCCCTGGTTTGTCGAAGCTGACAGCGGGAAAACCACTGGTGCTGGCGCTATGAATGTTCAAGGTTCTGGGAGGGAGCAGATGCTAGCGCACTGGCCCACAATCCCTGGGAGGCCATACCTGGGGGGAAAGGGGGATCAAGTTGGGGAGAATCGGTCATGCTATGCTGCATCAGAAGAAATTACTGCCATGTCTCGTCCCCCTCACCCACTCGGTCAACCACCCTCTGTTGAAAAAATGTCATCCCTTCCAAAACTCTGCATGCCATCTTACCCTCTCCCCCTCACTCACTCTGCAGACCACCACCACCTCTCCTCCCCCTCATTCACTCTGCAAAACACCACCACCTCTCCTCCCCCTCGCTCACTCTGTAGAAGACCCTCCCCTTGACCAGAGCAAGGGGCACGGGGCCGTAGTGCCGTGAGTCAGTGGAGTTGAAGAGGTTGTCTCCCTGCAGCCACACGTGGCCCCTTGGGACCTGAAGGGGGGGGGGGGGGGGTGGTCATAAGAAGGAAACTAGAGGCAGATGAAGGTGTGTAACTACACTCTCCAGCCGTAGTGCCACGCCCGCGAGTCAGTGGAGTTGAAGAGGTTGTCTCCCTGCAGCCACACGTGGCCTCTTGGGACCTGAGAGGGAGTCACAGGAAGGAAAGGAGCATATGTAGGCACATGATGATGCTCCTTAGCCATTGTGCCGAGAGTCAGTGGAGCGGAAGAGGTTGTCTCCCTGCAGGCTGCAGCCACAAGTAGCCTCTTGGGACCTGAGGGGATGGAGTGGGAGAAAGAGACACCGCTGAAGGAGCAGGGAGGGGGCAGTAGAGTGCAGCTGGGGGAGGTGTCGCCCTGCAGCCACACGTGGCCTCTTGGAACCTGAGATATTCATATGGCATGAAAACCAGCTATACAAAATGAAACAACGACTCTACAATGAGACTATTCATGAAATTAAACCATTTATAAAACTATTGATGTGAAATGATGCCTTCCATCTGTCAGTTGCTAAAATGGACTTAGTCGATTAAGGGCTGATTCACCACTCACCACCACATCCACCACTCACCACTCACCCTCCACCACAGGCATGACTCACGACGGTATGGCACTCCCCATGCCCCCCTCCGCCAATCACAATGCCTCTGGGCGGCGGCCTGGCATGCACCTCATGCCCCTCCGTTGCTGCTATGCGCCTGCACACCAGCATGCGCGGGTTGGAGCCTGGAGGGGGACAGTTGGCGCGCAGTGGCTTCATAGTGTACAGTACAGGGAGGGACTACATGCGCCTCTCACTCACCACCACTGTATGCGGATCCTTGGACATCTTCCAGTGGACATCTCACCACAATCATCCTTGGACACCACTTCCAGCATGTCCAAGGATCTGGCTTCATAGTGTACAGTACAGGGAGGACTACATGCGCCTCTCACTCACCACTGTATGCGCCTCCCCATGCCCCCCTCCAACGGCAAGTCCTCTAAGGGGCGGCATGCATGCACCTCATGCCCCTCCATCGCCACTATTCTCTTGCACATCAGCATGCATGTGCAGGTTGGAAGGGGACTTCGCCACAACAGGCATGACTCACCACGGTGTGGCACTCCCCATGCCCTGCTCCGCCAATCATAATCCCTCTGGGCGGCGGCATGGCATGCACCTCGTGCCCCTCCCTTGCCACTATGCGCTTGCACACCAGCATGCATGCCTATCCACCAGACCCTAAACCCGAGACCCTGCACCACTCACCACTGTATGGCACTCCCCATGCCCCCCTCCGCCAATCACAATGCCTCTGGGCGGCGGCATGGCATGCACCTCGTGCCCCTCCATCGCCACTATGCGCTTGCACACCAGCATGCGCGGGTTGGAGGGCGATTTCGCCACCACTATGTCGCCGGGCTTTAACCCGTGAAGTTTGGGCGTGATGTGCTCGAGTAGAACCACGTCTCCTGCTGCGTTCAGTGTTGGGAGCATGCTGGGTCCCATGCACTGTGGGATGCGGGGGGTGGGAGGTGGGGTATGGATGGAGAAGCTTCAGCCCGAACAGGGTGGGGGTGATGTGCTCCAATAGAACCAAGTCGCCTGCTGCGTTCAGTGTTGGGAGCATGCTGGGGCCAATGCACTGTGGGATGCGGGGGGTGGGAGGTGGGGTATGGATGGAGAAGCTTCAGCCCGAACAGGGTGGGGGTGATGTGCTCCAATAGAACCAAGTCGCCTGCTGCGTTCAGTGTTGGGAGCATGCTGGGGCCCATGCACTGGGGGCAGATGGGGGGAATGAGGTAAAAGAGAAGGCTTCAGCTGGTGCAGGGTGGGAGTGACGTCCTCCAGTAGGACCACGTCTCCTGCTGCGTCCAACGTGGGAAGCATGCTGGGGCCAATGCACTGTGGGATGAACGGCAGGGGTATGCAGAAGGGAGAGAGAAACATGGGTGGGTAGTTGGAGGGCGATTTTGCACTGTATGCGATTTTGCCACGACAACGTCGCCAGGTTTCAGCCCGTGCAGGGTGGGAAGTCTATTTTTGTTTTGAGGCGCCTCAAAAATCGACTCCTTTTGTTTTTGAGAATTCTCAAAAACAAAACACATCCACAGCCCGTGCAGGGTGGGAGCGATGTGCTCCAATAGAACCACGTCTCCTGCTGCGTTCAGGGAAGGGAGCATGCTGGGGCCGATGCACTGCACCAGTAGGAGGGGCGTGAGGAAGAAAAGATGGGAGACTTTAGCCCGTGCAGGGTGGGAGCGATGTGCTCCAATAGAACCACGTCTTCAGCTGCGTTCAACGTAGGGAGCATGCTGGGGCCCATGCACAGCATTGGTTGGGGTCAGGGGAGGGGGCGAAAGGGGTATATGGATCGGGAGGCTTCAGCTGGTGCAGGGCGGGCGTGATGTGCTCTGGCAACACCACGTCTCCTGCTGCTGCTGGGGCCCATTGGCTGGGGGGACTGCTATGGGAAGGGGAGGGGAGGGGGGGATGAGGATATATATGGCTGGTTGGGCTTCAGCTGGTGCAGGGTGGGAGTGATGTGCTCTAGGCTCTAGCAACACCACGGCTCCTGCCGCTGGCTGGGGCCCATGGGTTGGGGAGACTGCTATGGGAAGGGGAGGGGAGGGGGGGATGAGGAAATGTATGGCTGGTTGGGCTTCAGCTGGTGGGGCGTTTGAGAAGTACTCTGTTAGTGAATACATGCTATTGAGTCGACTCGATAGAAGGGACATGCGATTTAGGTCATCACATACGATGCTAACATCGTCATGTAATACAGTGACGTCATCACATACATGGTAACATTCACGACCACGAGGTAGTTAGTGAAAACATGGTAGCAGCACGCGGATTGGGTCATCACCTGCCATGATGACGTCATCACGTACCGAGCTGAGGTCATCACATACCATGGTGACATCCATGACGTAGTTAGTGAACACATGCTAGCAGCACGCGAATTGGGCCATCACATACCATGCCATGCTCACGTCATCATATACCATAGTGACGACATCACATACCATGGCGACATCCATGACTTAGTTAGTGAACACATGGTAGCAGCATGCGAATTTGGTCTATCACATACCATGCTGACACCATCACACCATACCATGCTGACGTCAGCTCGTACCATGGTGACATCCATGACGTAGTTAGTGAACACATAATAGCAGCACGCGGATTGGGTCATCACCTGCCATGATGACGTCATCACATACCGAGCTGAGGTCATCACATACCATGGTGACATCCATGACGTAGTTAGTGAACACATGGTAGCAGCACGCGAATTCGGTCATCAAAGCCGCTCTGTCCCACGCCTCTCGCAGCAGCGCACGCCACATCAGCAGCGCTGACGTGGATTCTGGTAAATGAGAAGCCGCTACGATGACGTGGACGTGGACTAATGTGCTGCTGCTGTCATGGACATCGATGAGCGCGCTATCGGTGCTAAGGCTGGCACCTCAATCGGCCTATTACAGCCTTGTATGTTACGAAGCTGCCAGCCTCGGGATCGACGAAAGAGGCTGTTTGGATTGGAAATAAGCGCGAGAGCGACGATGGAGGCCCTGAGGACGACGTACGGCGAAGAGAAATGGCGAAGAACGAAAGAAATTGGCGAAATGAGCCGTGTCGGTATAGGGTGACGAGGGAGCTCGGATAGGTTACGCGGAGACTGCGCCGCGGCTCAAGGCTGGATGGAAGCCGCCTCGAGCGCGCCTGCCGCACACGGCGCGGTACGTTTTGCGACGCCGGCAACTATTGCGGAAGGTGCGCCGCGTTCCACGCCTTCCTAGCGCAGCGAAACGTGCGTCCGCTAACCCACACAACAAGCCGGATTTTTTGCGGCTATGGAATGAAATTGGAAGCATAAGGTCAAAGAGTACGTCCGAATGCGGTTGAGTAAGGTGAATTGCGTTTCAAAAAGATCAAATAACTCTGTAACACGGTTCGGTAGGGTATTGGCAACAAAAACGAACACTTAGGACACGCCCTCAAGTGGATGAGATTAGTGGATTGAGCAGAAAGGTCGAGGGCGTAATTTTTGACTTCGAGGTTCGGTCAGGTGCCCTTAGTCGACGGGTTCAGTTAGCGACGCAGGCGAATTGACGAGAGATGGTCACGAAAACGGAGGACACGAAACACTCTAGTCCAAGAAGTTCGCCGCGAGGCGAGAAGTGGCAAACAAAAATGAACCTAGAGAGCACCTTGAGGAAAGCAAGGTTACCGTGCCGTAAATTGCATATTCTGGAGCACAATTTCTGGCCCATTTAGAGCAGTGCGTTTCCGTCCAAATGACAACCCGAATATATTCAAATCCAGCAGAAATGGGCCCTGATGGCGAACCAATCACACTTCACATAAACACGCAAGACCGTTTCCTACCGTGTGGCACCTTACTTGACCGCATGTAAGTGGCACATTACGTCCTCTCTTAGACACGCCCACTAAATATTACTTTTCAGAACAGTCATGCTGCTGCTCTGACTTGCCTACGGTTTTAGTTCAGCCAATGTTAGCTCGTCCTTCTCAGGCGGCAGTCATCATGGCTGATATTCCGTCCGTCATAAGCATTTAGATATTCTAAGCTGAATCTGTCATCCGCTGTAGATGTAGATCTTATGCTATCAGATTCCGTCAAAGCTTGACCAGCTCGTTTACTAGCCCCCGTCCGCCGTCATGTCGTCTGACGAAAGCCGTCTGCGCGAGGCCGTCACGGCGATTCTAGAAGCCGGCGACCTGCAAGAGTTGACGGAAAAGAAAGTCCGTCAGTTAGCGCGCGAACGGACGGGGATTGACACGTCAGCAGAGGACAACAAGAAACTGATTCATAAGATAGTTAAAGCCTTTGTAGAGGAGGAGGCGGAGGATCCTATTGGAAAAAAACGGAAGAAGCGGCGAAAGGGGTCAGATGAGGAAGGCGGGAGTGAAAAGGAGGAGGAGGAGGACGAGGAGGAAGAGGAGGGGAGGAGGGGGAAGTCAAGTAAAGGGGGGAAGAAGTGGAAAGTGGGAGACAATGGGGAGCTTGTTATCTGTGAGGTAAGATATAATTTTTGTGAATAGGTTCAACATGGTATGCTGTATAGAATATACAAAATTGACAAAAGAGAAGACATAATTGTGACGAGGTCGGCATATGTGAGGTTCATATGCGAGGTAAGGATTAGCAAGTGAGATATAATTGACATAAGTGACACAAGGTTGTGTGCAAATTCGTGTTGACACTGAGATGAGGTTGACAGAAGTGAGAGACGGTTGGCATGTTTTGAAGCTGGCATCTGTGGATTGAGATTGAAGGTTGAAGGTTGACAATCTTTGGATTAGTTTGTCATACTAATCAAGGCTTGATAAATGTAGCTCATCGACAGCCATCTCAAGTTCTCTCTCTAGCATCCCATATTTCTCTCTCTCTCTTCCCCCTTCTCCCCCATACCGCTTCTGCATCTTTTTGGCAGCTGTCTGAAAAGCGGAAGGTGACAGTGAGTGATTTCAAGGGCCAATTGGCCAACTCCTAGGCTGGTAGCTCCTGCCGTAGCGACACCCATGTAGCCATCCTGTCCCATCCCATGTCCCCGCCCACCCCACTCCCCCCTCTCTTCGTACTGTCTTTGGCAGCTGTCTGATAAGTGGAAGGTGACAGTGGGTGAGTTCGAGGGCAGGTTGTTGGTTTTTGAGCCTGCTTCCCTTCCCTCATTGCCCTTCCCATCTTTCCTGCAGCTGTCTGCAAAGCGGAGGGTGACAGAGAGTGAATTTAAGGCAGGTTGTTGGTGTCTGAGCAGACTAAGAAACCACCCCATATCAAACCTGTCTTCCCCCATCTCCCCCTTCACATGTATGTGGCAGCTCTCTGCAAAGCGGAAGGTTACAGTGAGTGAGTTCAAGGGGCGGTTGTTGGTGTCGATACGCGAGTACTGGAGTAAAGACGGCAAGGAGCTGCCCTCCTCTAAAGGTACATATATAAAGGTACATATATATTTCCTTACACGTGGTGTCATTGATATAACCTACAATGTTTGGAGCCATGTGGTACCATAATCACCCGGAGAGACGCCCCTAGGGGCGTTTACGAGACTGGTTTGAAAACTTGAGGGGGCGTTTAATTGAATAAAAAATAAACGCCCATGGGCGTTTTAAATGGTTTATATGGAAAATTAACGTTTGACATTAAAATGCATCTCCTGGTCTGACCTGTGCAATGGGAGCATTTCTAACGAAGATCCATCAGTCAATTGCACTGGAAGTCCAGTCGACGAGGTGCCAGCCTGGAAACTTGCGGTTCTGACAAGGATCGTGCTGGCGCGAAGTGCCAGAGAGCGCGAGTTCCGCTTCTGACAGCCACGAAACGAGAAGCCTTGGTATTACCTGGATCCGCTCCGTCATTTTGCGCAGTGTCTCACGAAAAATTATGGGGGGGCTTATAGGAAACAGGTTTTGTAAAAAGGAAGGGGGGCTTATAATCGAATAATGCCTATAAGTCCCAATGCACGAGTTAGAGCCCATGTGACTAATCTTATGGAGGGGCGTCTATCCGGGTGATTACGGTATGTGCTTGGTTGCCTTCTTCACTACACCTCACTTCACCCCACTTCACCTCACTTCACTTCACTTCACCACCACCTTGTGACTCCTCCTGGTTTTGCCTTCCTTGCCATGTGTGCAGGCATCAGTCTTCCGCCTGATCAGTGGGAGAAGCTGGTGAAACACTTGGATGTCGTAGACGAGGCTATCAAACACATGTCATAGGTCATAGAAACTCATGTCACCATGTGCCTCCCTGTTCTCCTTTCCTTGCAATGCCATGTGTGCAGGCATCAGTCTTCCGCCTGATCAGTGGGAGAAGCTGGTGAAACACTTAGATGTCGTAGACGAGGCTATCAAACACATGTCATAGGTCATAGAAACTCATGTCACCCTGTGCCTCCCTGTTCTGCTTTCCTTGCAATGCCATGTGTGCAGGCATCAGTCTTCCTCCTGATCAGTGGGAGAAGCTGGTGAAGCACATCGATGTTGTACAGGAGGCCATCCAGCATATGTCATAGATACACTCTGCATGGAGCAACGCAACTTAACTTGATATGGCCTTTCGTACATTAACACAGTAGGGGCGTTGCAACACTTGTCAGCTTGCGTAACGTGATACTAATGGTTGCTGTTCAAATTCCCTTTCTCATGGTCCAGCCTCATGAACTTAAAGAAAGCTGGTTACCCTATGAGGCACGTTACCCTCCAAATACCCTTCAAAGGGAGGCTTGGAAAAGCGGGATGATTGGGCTGTTACCAATATAATCTTAGCAAATATACAGAAAGGAAACTGGTAGAACTAGACATTGCTGCATTACATAAACCACACAGAGTATCGACCACCTAAGGGGAAGAAAAATAACAGCAGGACACGGGTAGATCCTTGTGAAAGGATGATTGGATATACATGAAGGGGAGGGTTGAGCGTGCTAAGAATTGTGGTTGGTATTCTGTGCCAGTGGTGTTTCACTGCCCAAAGGAAAGTCAAAAGATGTTGAAACGAGGTCAGAAGAAGACGAGGGGAGGAAAGGCGTTCTTTCCTCCCTCGAGCGCTTCTTGAGGTGCCTCAAAATAGCCGAGTCACGAGGTTAGGCGGTGTAGAAAGGGTTCTTCCCTCCCTTGATCCTGCGAGCCAGCTGAATGTCTCGGATCACTGGGAGCAGATGGGTGGTACAGAGTGGAGACATGAGATCAAACAAAATGAGAAATGGGGCGAACGGGGGAGAGGGGGAGGGGGGAGAGGGGGGAGGGGGGAGAGGAGGGAGGGGGAGAGGTGACTGAATGTCTTCTAATGGGCCAGCTGAATGTCTCGAACACTGGGAGCAGGTGGGTGGGACAGAATGGAGACATGGGGTCAAACAAAATGAGAAATGGGGGAGAAGGGGGAGAGGGGGAGGGGGAGAGAGAGGGGGGGGGAGGGGGACTGAATGTCTTCTAACGGGCCAGCTGAATGTCTCAAATCACTAACAGCACATTTTCCCGAATGCTAGGTCCAATGCCCGAAATGAAGCCCATTTCTTGCTCATGGGCAAATACGCAAGTCGGGAGCTGTAGAGAGGTGCAATGCTTACTTATGGTGACTCTCTTAGCGTGTATGGAACTGTAGAGGGGTGCAATGCACACTTACGGCGACTCTTTTAGCGTGTATGGAGCTGTAGAGAGGTGCAATGCTTACTTATGGTGACTCTCTTGGCGTGAATGGCCAGCAGAGTGCCGTCTTCAAACAGGTTCACCAGATAGGCCTCGGCCGCCTGATGCAAAAGGCAGGGGGATGGGGGCAGAGGAAAGGGGGGGGGGGGAGGGAGGGTTGGGTGAGGAGAAGAAAGAGTGCCATATTCAAACAGGTTCACCAGATAAGCCACTGCCGCCTGGTGTTAAAGGGGAGAGAGGGGAAAGAGGGGAGGGGTGGGGATGGGGGAGGGATGGGGAGGAGAGGGTGGGGGGGGGGGGGGGGAGGAAAGGAAGAAAGGGTGCCAACTTCAGACAGGTTCACCAGATGGGCCTCCGCTGCCTGGTGCAAAAGGCGGGGGGAGGAGAGGTGAGCGGGGGGAGGAGAGGTGGGCGGGGGGAGGGGGGAGAAGGGGGAGGAGATATGGGGGGGCAGTGAGCAAAGGAAGCAGGGGTGCCATCTTCAAACACGTTCACAACATGGGCGTCTGCTGCCTGGTGCTGAAGGAAGGGGGATTGGGGCAGAGGGAGGGGAGGGGAGGGGAGGGGAGGGGGGGGGGGGGGGAAAGGGGGAGAAGAAAGGGTGAACCTTTAAACGAGTGCACCAGATACGACCCTGTGAACCTCTGAACGTCTGCCTGATATATCGGGGAAAAGGGAGACAGGAAAAGGGGAAAAGGGAGACAGGAAAAGGGGAAAAGGGCGCACCTCTGAACCTCTGCCTGACACAATGCGTGCAGAGGGGGGGCGGAAAGGCGGCAGGAAGATTTTGCAGGGTGTTTTTGAGAATTCTCAAAAACATTTTGCAGAGCAAAAGGGGTGGACACAATGCGTGCAGAGGGGGGCCGGAAATGCGGCAGGAAGAGTGGAAGTGAGAAAGACGTGGGGAGAAACGGATATAGCATCCTGCAATTGCCGAGTTTCCCTAGACATATTGCCATGCTCAGCGGAAAGGCCTCATCTGTCTGGCCACCTTCCCTCGAGTCGACTCAGGCTCATTCTGAGCCAAACTCATGCGGTTTTTAGATTGACGTGTTTAGTGGAAAAGTCCTTCTGCCTGGCCCCCCTTCTTTGCCCCCTTCAACCCCTTCACCCCCCTTCCCCCTTCACCCCCCTTCCCCCTTCACCCCCTTCCCCCTTCACCCCCCTTCCCCCTTCACCCCCTTCCCCCTTCACCCCCCTTCCCCCTTCACCCCCCTTCCCCCTTCACCCCCCTTCCCCCTTCACCCCCTTCCCCCTTCACCCCCCTTCCCCCTTCACCCCCCTTCCCCCTTCACCCCCCTTCCCCCTTCACCCCCTTCCCCCTTCACCCCCCTTCCCCCCCTTCCCCCTTCCCCCCCCTTCCCCCTTCACCCCCCTTCCACCTTCCCTTCACCACCGCACTCCCTATCACCCAGCGTGCCCCTCCCTGCAGCCCGAGCACGGCGCTGGCAGCCCACCTCACGTCCTTGTTGGTCAGGCAACGACTGATACCTCTTGGTTGCCCAAAACCACCGCACACCATACTACCACACTCCCCACCACCACATTTTCTACCACCGCATACCATACTACCACACTCCTCACCACCACATTTTTCTACCACCACACACCATACTACCACACTCCCCACCACCACATTTTCTACCACCACACACCACCGCAACGCACCTCCTGCAGCCCGAGCACGGCGTTGGCAGTCCACCGCATGTCCTTGCCAGTGAGGCAATCATTGACGCTGCTTGGTTGCCCATTACCAGCGGTCTCCATACCACCGCACTCCCTATCCCCGCACACCACCGCAACGCACCTCTTGCAGCCCGAGCACGGCGTTGGCAGTCCACCGCATGTCCGTGCCAGTGAGGGTTTCGGCGATCTCCTTGCACTGATGATGGCGGGGGGGGGGGGGGGGGAGAAGAAACAGGGGGAGGGGGAAGAAACAGGGGGAGGGGGAGAACGTGGAGAGCCACAAGCTTTGTCCTTGTTGGTATGAAGGCAGGGCATCAAGTTTGCACGAAGCGAGCAGGAATTTTCTGCAAAAAGGGACTTTACCAGTCGCACAAACGACGTACGAGTCGCATGAAGGGCAGTCGGCGAATGAGGAGGTCCGTCGTCTTCTGGTACCTCCTGATCTCCATTAAAGCCACAGTGCCCGGCCGGTAGCGATGCTTGCGCTTCAGCCCTGAGACCAGGGAGAGGGCAAAAAAACAAGGAGAATGCAAGAGGTCCGTCCGTTGGTCCGTCTGGTACCTCCTGATCTCCATTAACGCCACAGTGCCCGGCCGGTACCGGTGCTTGCGCTTCAGCCCTGAGGTCAGAAAGGATGGGAAAAAAAAAAAGAAAAAAAAAAAAGGAATGGGAAAACAGCAGGGGAAATCAAAAACAGGGGAAGTAGAGCAAGCATTGAATTTCAAGCATAAACTTCAGGGGTGCGTCTTTAGGCGCGCCGGGAGCGTGTGGTTAAGGCCGACTGAACCACCTGCCAGAACGGCAGGTCTGTCAGGCAGCCACAGACGCACCCCTGAAGACTTTTGAGTCGACTCAAAAGTCATCTCGCTGGGGGAGGGGGTGCGTATGGTTGGGGCTAACTGGCTCAACTTCCGGGGTGCGGCGGTTCTTTCGGGGGTCACAGAAACACCCCGGAAGTTTATGCTTGCGGTGCTCTTTAAAGGCACCTCAAAAGTTCAAAGCGTCATTCTGAGTCTCTCGAAAAAGTCAGAACCTTCCAAAGCAACGCAATTGCGTTGAGGAGATCCGTCAGGTGTGAGGCATCTCCTGAGGGATGGATATGCATTTGGAGGGGCCTCAAATGTTCGAAGTATAATTCTGAGACTCGCTAAACAATTCAAAACCTTCCGAGGCAACGCAAATACCGGTGCCTCCAAAGGGGATGTCTGAAAGAAATACCGGTGCGGCAGTTCTTTCAGAGATCCCCTTTGGAGGAGCCAAAGGAGAAAAAAAAAAAAAAAAAAAAAAAAAAACAATCAAAAGAGCACCCCTGAAAGTTCCGCCGCCCCAAACCCTCCACGAATAATTCTGAGTCTCTCAATAAAAGTCAAATCCTTCCGAGGCAACGCGAATGCCGATGCGGTAGCTCTTTTAGGAACGTTTCGTCCCTAGGACGCGCGCGGTAAACTGTTTCCGTCTGTTTCAGTCCGTTTCTGTCGGTTTCTGTCACTTTCTTTCCTCACTGTTTCCGTCTGTTTGCCTGCCGGTTGGCTGTCTTTAATATCACTCTTTTATCTGACAACCCTGGCTGCTATGGCTGGCACTTCCTATCTTAGCTGGTTCGAAAATCGATGAAGGAAGAAAGTGATCCTCAAAACTCCAAGCACACACGGGCACTCGCCTTGGGAGTGCCTCGCGTCGAACCTTCGTTCAAGTCGCCCGAAGCTCACCTCGAAGTGGGATCGCTCTCCCCCGAGTGCCAGGTTTTGAGGCGCCTCGAATTAGCCTTCTATTACCCAAAGCTCACCTTGCGGCGGGACGGCTCTCCCCGGAGTGCCATGGAGTCGACTTGAATCTAATCAAGTCGACCGCTCTCACCTCGTTTGACTCTGTTCAACCTCACCTTGCTGTGGGACCGCTCATCCCGGGGTGCTATGGAGCTTGACTTGCGACCACTCAGAGCGCCTCGGCGCTGCAGCTTCGTTTGACTCTATCCAAAGCTTACCTTGCGGCGGGACCGCTCTCCCCGGAGTGCCTCGCGCCGCCGCAGCCGCAGCCGCCGCGGTTGCCCTGCTCCGCTTGGGCATGCGCTGCTTCGTCCTCGCCATGCTTATAACGAATCGAAACCGTGCGATGGAAAACCTCTCCTGTAAAACGGACACTCTCCTTTTCTACCAGAACCGAAGCTTCTTCTGAGGCGCCTCAGAACTGAACCGACGCGTCTTCTTCCCCGATCAACTACTTTCGCGGCCTTGGAAAGTCCTTTTTCTCGCAATTGGTCTTTTCTTCTAAGAAGTAACACTTTCCGAGGGATGTCTCTCACGCTACAAAAACCTCCACTAAGGGGTGTTTTCTAGCCCGTCTATAGGCAGGTTGAAACACGGAGCAGGACTTCGGAAAAATATGGTGAATGACGCGACGGTGTGAGTATGAGAGCAGATGAGACCGAAGCCGATTACAGGTGTCAAGGAGAAGAATGGCGCTAAGGAGAATCAACAATCAAGGGAAATGGGAATCACCAAGCGAAATGGCGCGCGTAACCACGTGCAAGGCTCGGGATTTGGACGGAGGTATGGTGCACGTTCGGATCGAAGCAAACCTGGGCGCGAAGCCACGACGGGAATTCGGGGGAGGTGTTCGAAGGGCGCGTCGACGGAGATGGAGACATGTGGCAATCACAGGCCAATGAGTGAGGCTTGCGCACTCCGTCATAAGCAGCAAGCAACCTGCTAGTGTGTTGCGCCAGTTTGTCACGTAATAAATTAATAACCGGTATGTCAACATAGAGCCGGCAGAGAAAGCATATGATTAGAAAGCTTCCGCTTACCAAAACCATTCATAGTGTTGGGCTGAGAAAAAGCCCTTAGGATCTTTTGCAGAGACTAAGTCCCAGATGTAGAGACTTGAGACTTGGAGTAGTGCAGCGGAAGTTGAGACAGTTGAACCCTTGTACTAGTATGTGAGAACAAGTGATTAATTAAAGAAACAAGCATACATCAATATATAGAAGATAAGAAAGCAGTTGCAGAGTACAGTTACAGGAACGGTTTATCGAGTCGCATAGCGACTCGATTGCCGCTTCGGTTACCATACGTGATGCTGTAACGGTCAGTCGCAACCTCCAGTTGCGACCTTTCGGGTCTTTTCGCATTCTTTGTCCGCCCCCTCGTGTAACCTCCGTTGACTCGCGTGCTCCCCTGTAGTCTTCCTCGAGTGTAGTGTTACACTTCAGAAACGCTTAAGTTCTTTGAGATATTTCCAACACTCCCCTTCGTTTCTGGAGTGCTGTCATGTTCGGGTCCGGTGACGTTTGTTTGCCCGGTCAGGAGCATGCAGTAGTCGAATTTTGCTTTCGCCAATTTCTTCGTCAGGTAGTCTGCGGCCATTTCTGTCGTCGGGCAGTAACTGAGTTGAAGTCTCCCCTCCGCGATTTCATCTTTGACGAAGAAGTACCGCAGGGCGATGTGCTTGGTTCGGTTGGCGAAGCCGTCCTTGTTTGCGATTTTGATCGCAGATTGGTTGTCGCAGAGGAGTGAGAAGGCGGGCAGGGTCGCAATCTTCGCTTCCTCGAGTAACTCTCGTAGATAGAGTCCTTCCTTGGTCGCAGTACAAAGGGCGATATACTCTGCTTCGGCCGAGGATAGTGCGATTAACTCCTGTTTGCTCGACTGCCAGGAGATAGTTCCGATAGGTTCTAGTCGGTAGATGTAGCCCGTCCTAGACCGTCGATTTTCGCTGTCTCCCGCGTGGTCGGCGTCGACGTATCCGAGTAGTCGTACGGACGGTGTTGTTGCCTTGCTGTAGGTGAGCCCGATCGTCGGCGTGGAGACGAAGTAGAGTAGCGCTCGATTGAGTTCCTCGAGATCTTCCTGTTTCGGCTGCTTCAGATGTGTCGCCAACTGACTCGCACTATAGGACAGGTCGGGTCGGCAGGTTACTGATGCGAATAGTAGGCAGCCGAGCTTCTGTTGATACTCCTGGATTTGTTTCGCGGGGAGTTTTGTAGAGGCGCTGCTGTTGTTCCCGTAGCGGTAGGGAGTTGGGACCGCAGTCGGTGTTAGACCGAATTTCTTCGCGACGGTGCTTGAGTACTTTCCAGCGTGTAGGTAGAACGCCGTGTCGTCTTCGACGACGTTCAGTCCTAGGTACTGCGTAACTTCGTCGGACACCGTGAGAGTTAAATCTTCTTTCAGCTCCCCTTCGAACCAGGTGGCGATGTCGGTAGTGGAGCCGATGTAGAGCAGGTCGTCGACGTAGACGATGAGCAGAACATACTCTCTTCCCTTCTGCAGTCGGTACATCCCTTGGTCATGCGGCAGCTGTAGGAAGCCGATTTTTACGAGACGGCTGTGAAGATGCTGCTGCCAGAGCCGCGGGGCTTGCTTGATCCCGTATAGGGATTTTGTCAGTCGGCATATTTTCGTGGGGTCGTCGATGAATCCGTGGGGTTGTTCGACGAAGATCTCAGCGTCCACAGGTGCGTATAGGAACGCATTCGCGACATCGATTTGGCGTGGTGGTAGTGTTTTCGTGGCCGCGACGGCGAGTAGGATGCGTAATGAGGTGTGACGGGAGACTGGAGCGAAGGTTTCTGTGTAGTCGGTTCCGTATCGTTGATCGAAGCCTCGTACGACCCATCGAGCTTTGAATCGTTCGATGGAGCCGTCTGAGTTGGTCTTGATGCGGTGCACCCATTTCCCCGAGAGAACGTTCTTCCCGTTGATGCTCGTTGCAGGTACCAGTTTCCATGTTTCTCGGTCTTGCAGAGCTTTTAACTCCTTTTCCATCGCTTCCTTCCATTTTACCTTATGTTCCCCCCCCAGAGCCTGCGACAAGGTTGAAGGCTCACGCGTAGAAGGCGGCGGCGGATGCTGGACGGAGACCCAGAGGCCTAGAATCTGGAGTCCCGTGGGTGTGTGTCGAGGGGAATTGTCATTCCCGGAATAAGCTGCTTCGTCACCGTCTTCGGGGTCAGGTAAGAAATTGGGGCCGATGCGTTCCGAAATATTCGTGTCGACGGGGTGAGGTGTAGCGTAACCTTGGTCGGCGAAGTGGTAAAAGGTGTCGAGGTTGTTGCTATCGAGGGGATTATCTTCATCGAGTGGAACAGGTACGGAACAGAATGGGAGTGGCCCGGCAGCTTCCGAGGCTCCAGGTACGTCTTCTTCTGCTGCGTCAGCTTCGGCAGCACGATCGGCGAAGGAACGAAGTCCCGAGAGGCCGTCGGTGGGGTCTTGTGTGTTGGCAAGGTTGTCCAGGTAATGCTGCAGAGTCAGTCGTTCGTAGAAGATAACGTCTCGTGATGCCACCGTGTTTTTGTCTTGTATGTCGAGAATTTTCCACGCGTGAAAATGTTTCGCGATGCCGAGGTGGAGTCCCCACCGAGCTCGTTGTGTGAAGCGTCCTGCTCGAGCTGTGTGGGGTCTGTACTGTACCATGCAGCCAAAGACTCTGAGTAATTTTGTGCTGCCCCTTTTTCTTGTCCACAACAGGTGCGGTGATGCGTTGTTGGGAAGTGATGACGAGGACAGCAGGTTGTGCAGGTGAACAGCATGTGTCATCGCGTCTGGCCACAGTGTGGTTGGCAGTCGCATCCCCTGAAGCAGTTTTCGCATCGTCGTCTGCAAGGTCCGATTCATGCGTTCTGCTACCCCCTGCTGTTGGTGAGCATAGGGCAGGGACACCAGGCGTCTGATTCCCCTTTCCGCCAGATAGGTCCTGAAGCGTTGTGACTGGTATTCCAGTGCACCGTCTGACTGGAAGCTCTTGAGTTTGAGTCCTGATTCTCGTTCGGCGATGGGGAGCCATGTTGTGAAGGCTTCGAAGGCTTGGTCGCGCGTTTTGAGATTGAAGTGCCAGACATATCTGGTTGCGGCGTCGATGAAAGTGATGACGTAGTTAAAGTCGGCTTCGGCGTCGTCTCGAGGCATGTTTAAAATATCGCTGTAGACTTTTTCCATCGGAGCGTAAGTAGGTGCGCTTGGGTTGTGATGGGATGGAAAAGGTTGATGAGGAAGATCTGCTTCGGGGCATGTGAAGCACCGTGCGCGTGGTCGTCGAAGTTCTTGACCGCTCGTCGTCAGAAGGGCGTTGCGTTCTAACACCTCTGCTTGGATTGTTTGAAGTATTGTGCTGTTTGCAGGGTGTCCGAGGCGTTGGTGCCAGATGTCGTCGGGAGCACGGTGACCGGGCGAGCGGTGGTAGATGTCGGCGTTGGAGAAGAACGCGACGACCGAGGCGGGACTTCGACAAGCTTCTCGTGTGGCGGGCATAAGTTGGTCTGCTTCCGTTGGCGGTCCTCGTGTTGATGGTGGTGGTACTCGGCTGGGTCCTGCTGCCGATACTGCAGGTGATGGTTTTGTTGGGACACTTGCGGGTACTTGTCTTTCTTGTCTGATAACTGCTAATGCTCGTGTTCTCTCTGCTGCAGGTATGGTGTTGGAGTGCCAGAAGCCGTCACTGTCGAAGTCGGGATCAAGATCTGGCGGGTGAGTCCAGGCGGCGAACGATACGATGCCATCGCTGTCGGCAGTTCCGCGGTCGGGGACGAAGTCCAACACGAAGACACCGGACTTCAGGAGGGCACAACCGATGAAGAGGCCGCCCTTCCCGTGGTAAAGCCGGAACTCGTTGGAGTAAGAGTCGCACTCCAGGTGAATCCCTTTGGCCATTAGTTGGCTTACGCTTAGTAGATTGTATCCCAGGTTGTCGACAATGAGCACTTTGTTGAGCTGCAGTATTACGTTTGTTTCCATGGATTGTAACTGAACCACGCCTTGTCTGTTTGTCTTCAGGTTTTCGTTGTTGGCGACTGTGATGACGACGTCGCGGTTGAGTCGTTTCTCCTGTTGCACGAAGCGTCCCGAGGAGCACATGTGTTGACCGCAGCAGCTGTCCAAGAACCAGGTGTTTCGCCCGGTGGGTTCGGCGTTGGCGACTGCAGCGTATGTCGGGTTGACCTGAAGTCCTTGCGAGCGCGGCGGCGGGAATTCCTCTTCGTCTGGTGCGTAAGTGGGTGGTGAACCGGGTGCGCAGTTGTCGATGTGTACCATGCAGTTGATGATGTTGGGTGTTTGTTGTGCAGATGTTGAAGAGCGCCTTGGAGGACTTGCTTGAGTGGAAGCGACTTGTGGGTCTGCTGCACGGTAAACGCGAGGGCGGTTGCAGTTGACTTTGGAGTGCCCGGAAGTCTGGCAGTTGTGGCAGAACGGCGGTACGATGGTGAGTCCTCGATTGTCGCGTTGATCTTGCTTGCTGCGTCGGTTGTAGTTGTTGTCATTTCTTCTTTGAGTGTAGAAGACTAACTGCTGTTGCTTCCTTGGTTGTCTTTCCTCGAACAGATCCATCTCCTGTTGTTCAGCGTGAAGCTCGGCGCAGAGGTGCATCTCCGAAATTCTTCCGTGGGCTCGAAGAAGTGATCGTGTGGTTCTCCATTCTGGCCCGAGCCCGGCGAGGACAAGTGTC